CACAATGGACTGAACCTGGAGGAGCCCAGTGTCGAACTACAATATCGCCAATCGTACATCCCAGCGTAAATAGATGTCGGGTGACCCCGCAAATTGTCGTTTGGGATTGGAGCTGAGGGACGTGGCAAGACTTTATTCGTTCCCAGGTACAATACGTAAGACTGGAACAAGAATGGCCCTGACAGAATCCCATTAGATATTTATTTCAAAAGACACATGCTTCTTTAACCACTGGGATGGGAGCTGTGAATTTTCCTTTTTTGACTTTCGATTCTCACCCTACGCTAGCTTTTCCTCTAAAGTACGACTGATTTTTCTGGCATGTTTCTTGCCTGCGGTATCACCCTCGGTGGACATTAATACCACTTATAAACCTGTTACGGTAAATCTCTTTGATCTTTGGGGTATATTCTATGCCCGGAATAACTTGCGGTCTGAAAGTCGGGGCGGCTTTGTATATATACAGGAAAATTTGGGGTTATTCTTCTGAAAGTTTTTCTTTAAACCTGTAACAGGTTATTCTTCCAGGGTAGGTTTTTTTCCCATAAGAAACAGGATATAAGGTTTTTCTTACGGGAATTCTGTGATATTCTCACCTTGCGTACATGTAAACATAGACGGTTTATAAGCAAGATAAAGTCCCCGACTTCGGTTATGCTGGGGAAGAAAGACTTCAGAAAAAACCCTCGACAGAAAAACTTCGGCCTACCGGCCTCGGTTTTTCTTTTTCTCGGGTTATTTTCTTCAGTCTTTCTTTCCCCAGTATAACCTCAGTATCGTGCTTTATCCTATACGTAACAAACGGGTTTAGGTCTGATAACTTTATAACGCAAACAGAAAAACCGGTAACTCCTTAGACAAGAAGTGGTATCAGCGATTTAGAAAGCGAGGAATACCGTGCCTCCTGCAAAAGTAACCAATCCATTTTTTTAAAAATACTTCATGAATAATAGGCTTTAGGCCGCCTGATTAGAAATTGATTAAACTCATATTAATTTGGTTATTTTACCCAAAAGATTGTTAGGTATGTGAACGCTTGTGGTATAAGGTGTTCTCGAATTCGATTTTTAGTTGACAATAACTAAAACATTAGGATGAAATGAACACGGTCAACGCAATATACTATTTAAGTGTGATGAATATGGGAGATAATTTTCATTCGGGAAGGACCTGTTTTCCAATTGTGTCTTTGTCCTGTTTACAGCCGGGAGACTAGACGTTTGTTTCTCATAGAAAGATCCCAGTGTCAAAATTCAATGCACAAAATTTGACGCATTGCGGGTATTTTTGTCTTTATTACAGGCGAAGCAAAGAGTTTGCTATAGCTAAAAATATATACAAATATAAATAGTATGCATTGTAAATTAAATCTAGCCTACATAGATATATTCCCAGAGAAAACCCCAACACAATACACATTAAACAATTTTACTTTATTACATACTAAGAACGATACTTCCACATACCCACCCCTCCCCTCCCCCAAAAGATAAAAACAAAACGTGTACACGTAAGCATGTACGCAAAAGAACCCTTGGCAGTTCAAAGAGTAGACGAAAAAACCGCTGTCCCGGCAACATTAATTTCCTCCTAACACACTAATAAGAGTATGTCCGTCGCTGTATAGTCCAGTTCGTGCAGAACAGTAAGACGTTAAACCCCATTTCATTTCGTTTACTGTATAAAGCATATTATGTACAATATGCTTGCGCTGGCCTTAAATAACCTATTGTTAATCGTATCTGATTGTTTCATTCACTGTACCATAACGGCTCCGTCAAATTCCCCCAGGGCACATTGAATATAATAAAAACTTTGATTTATTTTTCACCTATACACTTTGATCTACAATGCCGAAATATTTAATAGCTAATTATCATTGAAATATTCAACACAGCTAGGTAACAGTACAATTATTATTTACACCCTAATTCAAACATGATATTATAATGACAGTTATGTATTAGTTACATAAAGCCGGTTTATTATGCTACCATTGTTGTGTCGAAACAAAATCACGTGTTAACCATAACGTTTTATAAATATTCATGATATAAATCTATTTTAATCACAATGTAAGCTATCCTGTGAAAATAAGATATCAAATACTTCCTGGTACTTTACAGGGTAGTCATTAGTTAAAGACTTGGGTGCAATATTTTAATGGATATAAGTGTAGGGTTTTGTATTAATTTCGGGCTGTTTCTTCTGTCCCGGAGGGAGGAATGGGGCTTAACGTCCACTCGACACAAACTAGGTCATTTCGGGACTAACACATGGTTCAGTTATTTTATTTCAATAATTCGCTTGCGCGTAGGGGTCTTTAGCAGTGGGATGAAACCGGAGGACCCGGAGAAAACCCACGAGGTTGGACAGGCGACCCTACTCCTTGTCACGTACAACCGGGGATTCGAAACCCCGCCAGTTGACTCAATGACAGACCGTATGATACAGCGCAGCGCGCACGTGCTAACCATTCGGCCATCCAACCCCCCACGTTACCCAGACCTTGCTGCAGCCCCCATATCAGTTCATAATTCGGCGCCCAAATAATGTTGGACCACGACTGTTCATATACCAAGATAACAGAAAGCAGTAGACACTATTCACCAAAATCTGCCAGAAAATTGAAATTCAAACACTATTCTTTGTTTCTAGAGAAAAAAGTCATTCTAAAGCGGAAAACAGTGGTCCTTATCCTTATTGTACACAACTGCGCAATATTTTGATCGGTTACATACTATAAGAAATATAGTTTCTGGTATGTGTAAGTTTATTCACGTAGGAAAAAGATGAATAGATGTTCAAATGATTTTTAAAGTTTGTAAAAGATTTTAGTATTGAAAAACACCAAACTAAGTCAAAACTTGAGACAAAAATAAATTAAGCATTTTTAAACTGGCATAATTAAACGCTAATAACAGGAAAATGATTAAGATTTTATCATCAATTATTTTGTTGTCATATTATCAAAGAAATGAAATGAAATTGGGTTTAACGTCCTACTGTTCTGCTCCTATACTGGGCTAATGAAGACGGGTATATATCAGCAAACAAACCAGTTAAATAAAGTCAAACAATTAAGCAATCTCAAAATCTATTGTTACTACATGTATTTTTTAACTGGATTAATTAATCGCAAATAACAGGAAAATAATTTACATTTGATTATCAATTGTTTAATTATCAAATCATTAATTATCAAGTTCCTTATTAACAGTTAAAGCGGAAATTGCAAATTTTTAAGTTATATTTTTAAAATTTATTAAAAAAAGCCTGAAAATAGATGGTATCCATAAACAGTCCTACCTTGTTAAAGAATAATCCTATTAATCCTATAATTCACTATTGCCAGCTGAGAAATTGGCAAAAATATCATTTTCCTCTTCATTTTCAAACGTTGAAAAAAGCTACTCCGTGGTGGAGAATAGAAAACAAGGGAGGTACTTGTGAGGTAATTGTGTTATTATTTCCTGTGTAAATGAGTTGTAAGTGTGAGAATGACACCTATGATCGTATAATTGGGAGTTGACAACCTATTGAGCAAAAGACATAGAAATAATTACGTTTTGACTTTCTTAGAAAATTTGCAATTTCCGCTTTAACATTACGTCAGTTAACAAAGAAATCTAAAAATCTAGTATAGCTATGAGAAATGAAATGAAATGAAATGGAGTTTAACGTACTACTGTTCTGCTCCGAACTGTGCTAATGAAGACGGGCATACGCCATACAGTGTGCTATGAGGGAAATTTTGCCCGGACAGCGGCACTAGGGCCTACTCTTATATCGAATTCCAACTGCCAGGGGATCTTGAACGTCCACGCCAATGTGTACGCGGGTCCTCGGTTTTTTGTCCCATCCAAACGACTAGACAGCTGTCCTTGTCAGGCCCTCCGTCCTCCATCACTGACAAGGGGCAACCACGTCGGTAAATCTGGATAAACTTTCTCGGCCAATGTAGGGATCAACACCCGACCTCCAGACTAGCAAGCCACCGCCTTACCTAGCTACTTAGCCACCGTGATCCCCGTATAACTATGGGAGAGAGAGAGAGAGAGAGAGCGTCCACTCAACACAAACTAGGTCATTTTGAGACTGTGGGGTCAAATTTCATTCCAATAATTCGTGTAAGTATAAGCAGTGTGAATAAACCGTGGAATCCTGAGAAAACGCATGCCAGGTTAGGCATCATCTGGGTTCAAAATCTACGCCTATTGGAGATATTTAATCCATCAAAAACTTTATGTTGACTGCATTTCCTGCAGGTTTGTTGACATATGTCTGACCTATGTCAAGGGCACTACCAATTATAATACGCACTTTGATACATAATATGTTTATCAGTAAAATAAATAAATCAATTTTTTCCGCATTAATTATTATTCGTGTTAACATTTTTCTTTTTGGTGGATTTGATAGTAGATTCGGATTTTTATCTTTGACCATGCTGTGGACGTTATAAAGTAAGGGAAATGAAATGAAATGAGGTTTAACGTTCTACTGTTCTGCTCCGACTGGGCTAATGAAGTCAGGCATATGCCATACAGTGTGCTATGATAGCGGCACTATGGCCTACTCTTATATCGAATTCCAACTGCCAAGGGATCTTTTACGTGCACGCCAATGTAAACACGGGACCTCGGTTTTTCGTCCAATCCGAACGACTAGACAGCTATCTTTGTCAGGCCCCCCGTCCTGCACCACTGACAATAGGAAACCACATGTAAAGGCATTTAAATCTACATAGTGAAAGACATTGTTCAAAACCAGTTATTTTATGTCGTTAATTATCATAATATTTTGTATTACTTTTTTATATTATTAGCATAAAGGCGCATATTAATATAGCTAAAAACAATCACATAGCTACCCCCTCCCCATCCTCCCGCGGCGTCTGAAATTCAAGACAAAATCCTTGCTATAAGTATTCTTACTTTTCTAGAACACTCGATACCACATTGTATTGAGAACTTCGCATAGCTAACAGACACGTGGCTATGAGTAGTAAAGGATCTCGTGAAGAGACAGGGTATGTAAATTTAAACTAGAAGACCTGATACCACTTCCAATTTGAGGCGTTCGCATAACTAATGTATATACGTATAATGAATGTTTGGAAATACAAAATATATTTTGAAAATATATCCAGAAATGATGATTATGAGTAATTCAAGCAATATAAATAATAAATATTCTGATCTTGGACGCATGACGTATTGTCGGGGTAATAAATGCCACAATAAAAATCAGGAATAACAAGTGTAAGGATATATAAAAACTTAAATTCAATCTGTTATGCACACATAATCATAAACTAGAGGTCTGCTCTTTATCGAGCGTTTTCAGCTGTTAAAATGTATATTACACACGAAGGCATGCAAGGAATGAAAATGGTTTAAAGGGCCAATCTCGATTATATTTTGGAGAATAAAACTGCTTAACTTTGGGTTAAAGATCTTAAATCCTCTAACTTTGACCATGCTGTGGACGTTATAAAGTAAGGGAAATGAAATGAAATGAGGTTTAACGTTCTACTGTTCTGCTCCGACTGGGCTAATGAAGTCAGGCATATGCCATACAGTGTGCTATGAGGGAAATTTTGCCCAGATAGCGGCACTATGGCCTACTCTTATATCGAATTCCAACTGCCAAGGGATCTTTTACGTGCACGCCAATGTAAACACGGGACCTCGGTTTTTCGTCCAATCCGAACGACTAGACAGCTATCTTTGTCAGGCCCCCCGTCCTGCACCACTGACAATAGGAAACCACATGTAAAGGCATTTAAATCTACATAGTGAAAGATCTTAAATCCTCTAACTTTGGACCGAGAAACTAACGTGATACATTTTTATTTTATAAAAATAACGTGTAGGAACGGCAATAGATTATCGGGTCACCCAACGTAGAAATAAAGGAGTTACATGTTACATGTAAGGATAATCGGTTTTGACGTTCACTTCCAATATTGAGCTGAAATTTTGAGATAAGGTAAATACACCATTCTTCTATATTTTGGCGCTTAAATTTCATACGAACTCGAACATTTATTTCTGAGACTCTGTTAAAATCGGGATGGTCCCTTTAAGTCTGTCCTATTCATTATTTGTTGTATCTATATATTAAACAGGGATTTAACCTAGATTTTAAAACGGTTAATAATAAATGCGCTGTGAAATATAGTAAGGGTAGTAAAGAATTGCGGTGCAGCCAAGCATAATTAGCATACAATAACATAATATATCTATGCGATATAATTAAATGTTATGATATGTTATGAAAGCGTTGCCGAAAATGTTCTTGACCTAAGAAATACAAGATGGGTCTAATGCGGGATAATATTAGTCTGAATTTTATTAAATATTTTAAAAGCGTGAAGGACAAAGTTTTGTTAGATTTAATGAGAAAGGTGGTATCATTCGTTATTAAATGTCCCTGGGTGACAGGTATACTAATTTAAAGGAGCTAAACCGCTAATATTTGGGACCTAGAAATTGACATAAATGGGTCGCAACGCATATAATAATGTAATGTGAATGTATATAAACTGATTTACATTCAATCGTTTCTGTTTTTACTGTAATTTCTAATCAGTTATGTTCGGCGAAATACGCCAGAAGTCTCAATTGAATGACAGTCTTTAGCGTCTGGTTATTCCAGTCTACACCGAGGATATTTATTACGCATGCTCTCCAGATAAGAATATAGCGTCACCATTTGGCATGACTTGTGGAATATGTCTAGCCGCGTTCTTTGAGTCCCTTGTTCCAAATGGCGCTGAAACGCATTATGGTACACGATTCGTGTACATATGGTAAAATGTTTATTTTGTCTTGAATATTGGATATCAGAAGCCCATCTTTTCCCTGTAAGATCACAAGACCAATGTTGATTTGAATTGACAAATAATTCGTGTTTTCAATGTCGAAGATTTTTGATGATATTGAGTTAGAGACTTAGCTACTTTAAGTCTGACATGGAATCAGTCGATTCACTGTTGGTTAAGGTATCCCGTAAAAAGTGGCGAGGACGAAGCTCGTAAATGTTGTCATAAATTTGATTAATAAGAAATGCTATAATATATAATGTTATGACACACCTCTTTGGATAGCATGTAAATATAATTATAACATAAAATCTCTAAGAAGTGGGGAACATGGAAACGTTGGATAATATATTCAAGGCAGGGGTTGACTAGGGGCTGGGTCCCTGTCTCTGGCCCAGTAAAGAGCTCCCACTTTAATGGGGTAGGGTGTTCTAGGGCGGTAAATGGTGCTTTCTAGTGTATATCCTGATGTTTCTAGCTTCTGCGCAAATTTAGCGTCTGACAGTCTCGGCAATTCAAGACCCAATTAAGGCCCCAGAACTAAAATAAGCCCCCCCCCACCCCCATTCCATACCCAAAGGCCCCTTCTTGTCCAACCATATGCAAACAAAGTCGTATGTATATGAATATAAACATAAACAAAAAACAATAAATAAAAATAGAAAATCTAGTAACAAATTTATGGCCCATGAGGAAAAGCCTAAAAGAAATATAATTGAAATGATATGGTACTACAACATTGAGGTTATCTAGGCTACCATTTGATTAAAGCTGACGATGAATCACATTAGCACATGTAATTTACTAATAAGAATGTATTTCCTTCTCTATCTTATCATATCCTGTTAAACTTGATAGTATTCTAATATTCTAATCAGTAATACCCACACTTTCATTGGTGGGTGACATAACAAAAACTTTTAAACACGAAATATAATGAATCTTGGGTTAACTCCGTCTACTTGGAATGTGTCGCTGATCTAAATCATTACTTTGCTCATTTTCAGTCTGTCATATATCATGTGCGTGCGACAAGTTTGTTCTCCGGATGCCTCCACTCAAAAAGGGACATATTGAAATAAAATGTCTTAAATGAAATGAAATGGGGTTTAACGTCCTACTGTTCTACCCTAACTGGGCTAATAAAGACGTGCAAAACGCCATACAGTGTGCTATAATGACATTGTGCCCGGACAGCGGCACTAGGGCCTACTCTTATATCGAATTCCAACTGAAAGGGATCTTTTACGTGCATGCCAATGTGTACACGGGGCCTCGGTTTTTCGTACCATCCGAACTACTAGACAGCTGTCCTTGTCAGGCCCTCCGTCCTGCACCACTGACAAGGGGAAACCACGACAGAAAATCGTGATGAACTTTCTCGGCACGTGCTAAACATTGGGCCATCCAACCACCGCATTGTATCATAAGGTTACTGAGTCAACTGGCGTGGTTTTGATCCCCCAGTTGTACGTGATAAGGAGTAGTGTCGCCTGTCCAACCTCCTGGGTTTTCTCCGGATCCCCCGGTTTCCTCCCACTGAACCATATGTTAGTCCCGAAATGACCTATTTTGAAACCGGTACGTCCTACTACCAACAAGAACCGGGCCTGGTGATAATGAGTTCTTGAGTAGAAATACTCATGCGCCACAGCCACAGTGACCTTGGGGCCACTTTTGCTAACATTTTTGAGCCAAAAATCGAAAGTGGATTTTTAACCGGCATATCAGAATAGTGTACAATATTGTTTTCAGAATAATCGTGATTTTTATACGCCTACATATTCATGTGGAAGTATATTATCGTCGCCCTTGTCCTTCCGTCCACAATTTGTTCGTGGACACTCTACAGGTCACAATTTGTATCCGATTTTAACGAAACTTGAAATATAGGTTTATCTCCTAAAGATCTCGTTTTCTTTCGATATTAACATATATCGGACTTAACTTCATGGATTATTGCCCCTGATTGTATGAAAAATCATGTTTTTAACTTGTGGACACGAGAGGATTATGACCTCTGGTAGTACAAAAAATTGTGGATCCTCTATAGGTCTCAATTTTTAATCCGATTTTAAAAACCATTCAAATATATCACCGTTACACCAAAATGGGGGTCGAATTCGAATTTCGTGAAAATTGAACCGAAACTGTTCGACAAAATGGCCACTCCTCGTACGCAAATAGTATAAAAGTATGTAATACCAAGGTTATGAACCCTCTAGAGTTTACAATTTTTATCCGATTTTGATGAAACTTGAAGTGTATGTTTATAGCCCAATGATCTCGGTTAAAATCGATATTTGTGCATATTTGATTATGGGTGGACCCTGGTTTTGGTCACTCTAGAGGGCACAATTTTTATCCGATTTAACAAGCCGTTTAAATATATCACCATAGTGATGGCTGAGTCCGAATTTCGTGAAAATCGGACCGAAACTGCCGACAAAATGGCTGTTTCACGTACGCAAATACATGTAGTGTAAATTTTAAGCATGTAATGATGCCCAGGCACATTTTTTCCGATTTTGATGAAACAGTACACAATCGGAATTATGAATTATTTTTTTTATTTTACAGCCCAGGAAGAAGAGGAGACTGAGCTAACCCCACAAGATGGTTACTACAACAATCTCATTCATCCAGACTGGGGTGCTATAGGTATGTGTGATTTATTTAATTCTAGTAATATATAGAATAATCTCATTCATCCAGACTGGGGTGCTATAGGTATGTGTGATTTATTTAATTCTAGTAATATATAGAATAATCTCATTCATCCAGACTGGGGTGCTATAGGTATGTGTGATTTATTTAATTCTAGTAATATATAGAATAATCTCATTCATCCAGACTGGGGTGCTATAGGTATGTGTGATTTATTTAATTCTAGTAATATATAGAATAATCGCATTCATCCAGACTGGGGTGCTATAGGTTTGTGTGATTATTTAATTCTAATAGTGTATGGAATAATCTCATTCATCCAGACTGGGGTGCTATAGGTTTGTGTGATTATTTAATGAAAATAGATACTGTATAGGAAGACAGCAAAATAAAAGAAAGATCAAATCTTTATAAAAAAAAATGATAAGGAATGGTTAGAAATAGGTCCGTGGCGGTGCACTATGCACACCTCCCTCCCACACCAAATAAATACATAAAAACAGCTATCAATATGATCGTTTATTATGAGGAACCATTGTCTTTAACCCCATTTAAAAGATGATTCTGTTATGAGTGTTTAAACGACTTCACAACTTCAAAAACATATTCACACTGAGTGTTTGGAACCTCATATGTATATAAACATAAGTAAGGACACACACCCTTTATGTGCCTTTTAATTCATTAACATATAACAAATGGATTTGTTGACCAGCATGCTTATATTATGATTTGTTTTACATCTAGTTTCTGCTTAACAACACATCTTATCTGAGGATAAAGTTGAATTATTTCCTGATAAATTATATAAATAGTCACTTTCTAACAATGGTTTCCTGTAAATATTTACTCATTTACCGGTATATTTATCACGGGACTTTTGGATTGATATGATATTTATTCTCACATAGACTATGTCTAAGGTCTATATTTGAAAGAACAGTTTAAAAACTGCTAAGATATAGAGAGTTCTCTACCTTGAACAACACGTTTATTTCCTCTAGTACTGTCAATAATTCATCAGAATAGTAACCACAACAAATATATGTTAGTTATATTATATATGAGGATGCTTGATTGGCTTAAACATACAGAAGTTGAAAATTGGATATCATGACATGGTGAGGGGAGAATCCTATTCAGTTATATGGATCTCAATTTATAATTGTATCTGCCTGTAAATTGTATTGACAGAAAGTATCAATGAGAGCAGGAAGTCTGTTGATAACAGGCGGCAGACCACCATTAAATTCCACCATCTCGGTACCCACTGTAGTTCCATCTATTTATAGCTATTCTCTCCCCCGTTTTTCCCCTTTCTGCCAGGTTTTGGTAAATGTTCTTGATTTAGAGGCGGGGTTAAGAGGTTGGTTACGTTGGATAGTAGCATGGGTTTACTTCAAATTTCACTGGTCAACCTATACAAAATCTGAAACAAAGACATGACCATTTGATGCTCTGTCGGTAGTAAAAAGCGTTCGACCCAACGAAAATTTGGGGCAATGTTGGAGTCGGACAAAGAGAACAGAATTAACATTGAAGTCAATGGAGAAATTATATGTGGTCTGCTTCCAACAATATGTTCAGGGGTTGTTTCCCTTTATTATAAAAGGTAGCAAATTTATATCCACCATTCACATCTGATCATAACTGAGAAGAAGTAAATTCAGTAATTTATATAAAAGTTGAAGAACTATCACACTGAATACATGTACAAAAACCTTAGCTTTACAAAAGAGAGAAAAAAAAATACAGTACTATGGGCAAACTATACTGATGCCATGCCAATGGACACATTTTGTTATTCTATCTTTTGAGTGTTGTATAGGTGTGTGCCATTTTTTTTCCCATTTCAGATGGTCAACTACTACGTCGATCACCAGTTGCTTATGATGATGGAGTCTTTGAATTGTCAGGAAAGAAACGACCTAACCCATTTCGTATTAGTGATCTTGCTCATGGTGGGGATCAGGGAAATGCTTCAGTTAGGGGCCGCAATTCATTTCTGGTCTTCTTTGGTGAGTAAATGTATATTTTTTAAGGGTTTTCAACTAAAAACTCAATTTTCTAATTTGAAATAGACAAGGTAGGAGTCTTAGCTTCTCGTTGAGAACGTTCATGTTATCTTAAGAGGTTCACATGATGTTAAAAGGGTCACATGAGAGGGTGCGAACTCAAGTCCTGAGACTTGTAAGTCTGACCTTAGTCACATTTACTTGACTCGGGCTCAGCTGTCGTGACAACTCGATACTTGAAAGGACTATATGGACTCTAGTGCCTGTGGGGGGAAATAACTCTGACTTGCCATATAAACATAAATTGCCAACACATTTGATGCACTTGCGACTTGAACAGGACTTGTATAATGGGCTTTGTGAAGACTTGTGACTCAATTCAGTGCTAAAGTCAGGGACTTGGAACTCAAGGTTCTGTGACTAGTTCCCATCTCTGTCACATGGACATTTTTAACAGACTTTGTGTCATAGACTTGATTATCTAACACAGTGGTTCTCAACCTTTTTTCACCAACAGCACACCTTGGAACACATGAAAAATTAGCGGCACACATGGCTAAGTATATATGAAAAAATATTTGAATTTTGCAAAATAAAAACATGGTAAGTCAGACGGACTACAACCGTGGACACAGACTAGTCATAGACACATAGAATAACTCAAACTAAATATAGAAAAACACAGCTATGAATAACAGTGAATACTCAATTGGAATCATGTGGTTTTTCGCATTTTCTTAGTGTGCTGTTTAAAATACCGAGGCACACTTAGGAAGCTGCGGCACACTGGTTGAGGATCACTGCTAAGAAGTGAGAATTAGCGAGTATTGCTACAGGTTGATAGAATGCAGGGTAGTGAAATTGGATCTAACCTTTAGTCGTTGTTGTTTCTCATCTATCTGATAGACAATCGGTTTTGGATGAGTTATTTGCCCCTGAATTAAAGATTCAATTTCAGACCATTTTTTTGACATGAACGTAATAGACTTAAATTTAGATAATATACCTATTTACAGCTTAATGTTATTTTGGAAGAGATTTTCCAAGCTACTTTTAAAGTTTTCATTCTGTGAAACATATGTTTTGTAACATTTCCAGGGCAACAAGTGGTGGAAGAAATCATGGATTCACAGCGTCCTGGTTGTCCAAGAGAGTTCATCAATATTGATGTTTATAAAGGTCATCCTATCTATGATCAAGGTGGTAAAGGTGATATTAAGATGCCATTGTTACGAACTAGATTTGATCAAAGAACAGGCTATTCCCCCAATAATCCTCGACAACAGGTATATAGCAATATATTAATATGTGTCTTTTTGTTATATAAGCCAACATTTACCATGGACACAGTGTCATGAAGAGAGTTGGCGATGCCTGGCATCAACTCTGTGATTGTATGCTCCAAGGAAGATGTTTTAGATATGTAAACACAGAAGAAATAAACCTTTTATTAAAATTATAATTTCAAATTTCAAATTTTTTTATTAGATTCCTGGGGCCATCACTCATCTGCCCCACTCTATGCAAGTCACTGCGACTACGTATATTGTCAATCCCACTGTCTTGTGAACAACAGATTCTACACTTTTCAGTCGATTTTATAGAAACATGGCATCAGGGTTTATGTCCATGATATTTTGAATGAATTCCGTTAACTATTATGGAGTCACAGTGGCTCATTATGTAGATGTTCGATCCCTGTGTTGACAAAGACAGGTCATCAGGATTTTCCGGCTTGGTTCCCCCTTGTCAGTGGTGCAGAACAGAGGGTCTCATTAGTATGCACAAAAAAGTGCCTTTGGCAGCTGCAATTTGATGTAAAAGTAGGCCTAGCACCGCTGTCCATGCAAAATTTACCTCATAGCACACTTCATTAGCCCAGTCTGAACAGAACAGTAGGACATTAAAGCTCATTTCATTTTGTTAATTATTCACATAGTTATTGCCCAACAATATACACCAACAATTATTTTCCTTGATTTTTTTTATCCTTGTTTCAGCTAAATGAAATAACACCATATATAGATGGTGGATTAATGTATGGCACATCTAAAGCATGGACTGACACATTAAGATCATTTAAAGATGGGAAACTTTTGTCAAATGATGAGAGTATGCCTATTTCTGAAAGCTTCCCAGTTAAGAACTCCATCCGTTTACCAATGGCTAATCCACCACCTCCTAGAGAACATAAACTCAAACCTGTTAATAGATTTTATCGTAAGTTTCTTATTCAATCAAATGTAAATGTATGTAAGGCCGTACAAAAAAAATATTCTGGTTCTCATGTTGTTTAACAGGAAGGTGTGATTATCCAGTATCATTTATGATTGTCAGTATCATTTATGAGGATTGCGTACTTGATAAATGAGCCTATACCACATTTCAGCCATATTTGAATTTGTTTCGGGTCCCTTTGAAAGATTTGTTGAAAATATTGAAATTTTACTGCAATTTTACCAATTTTCTTACAGGGGTTTTAACAGGGGTTAATAAGGCTCTTTTTATTTTTTATTTATTTTAATAAAAACTGGTCATGCGGCCCTTTTTAAGTGAATTACCAGAATATTTTTTTTATATGACCTAAAGATTGTGCTTTGAATAATATTGGAAGCTTAAATAGTTATTCTTAATCCATACAAACTACATTTATTTTTTGAATAGAGAATAGTTTAATATTGGTTAATTTAAAGTGAATAACATGGAGAATAGTTTAATATTTGTTAATTTAAAGTGAATGATATAGAGAATATTTGTTAATTAAAAGGGAATGATATAGAAATAGTTATTTGTTAATTTAAAGTGAATGGCATAGAGAATAGTTTAATATTTGTTAATTTAAAGTGAATAATATAGATAATAGTTTAATACTTTTTAATTTAAAAGAGAGAGAGAGAGAAATGGGGTTTAACGTCCACTAGACACAGGTCATTTCGGGACTAATGTTAATTTAAAGTAAATGATATAGAGAATAGTTTAATATTTGTTAATTTAAAGTGAATGATATAGAGAATAGTTTAATATTTGTTAATTTAAAGTGAATAATATAGAGAATAGTTTAATATTTGTTAATTTAAAGTGAATATGTTAAGAAAACCACCTAATTAACTGAACACATGGTATAATATGTTAAGAATACCACCTAATTAACTGATCACATGGTATAATTGTATTTGCTCTTATCAAATTATAAGTAAAATTTAAAGGTGTTCTTGGAATTTGATAAGATTCTCACATAATAATTAACTTTTTATTATTCTACTTAACATACTATTTACCTATATTTATGCACAGGTCTGGGTAATCCAAGAGGTAATGAAAATCCAATGTTATTGACTTTTGGTGTTATATGGTTTAGATGGCATAATATAGTAGCTGAAAGATTAAAAATTCAACATCCATCTTGGAATGATGAACAACTGTTTAATCGAGCAAGACAAGAGGTGATTGCTCACCATCAGGTAGTGTTTTTAATGTAAACTACTCTATTTAGGTTATTTTGAGACTAATATTATAACAATTTATTCATTCTTTTCCTGAGCCGTAATGTATTGTAATGTAATGTAGGCCTATTATTATTTTGATCTTTTGATCTTTCAATAGATAAGAGATTATAGAGACAACAAAAATACCAGTATTCGAATATTCAAATTCTAATAGTTTTTCAAGGGTATGCGAAATAGATTTTCAGTATCATTTAAAACTAATGGAATCTGGTCTGTTATTTGTCTTTTGTGAAAGATTTATTAACATTATAAAGACACATTATGTAAGATTTGAGATACAGAGCTGGCTGGCAGTTCTTGCTATAATAATTCAAAAATAGATAATGCAAAATAAGAATATTGAAAATTTTATTCAAATTACTTTATTTTGAGCGAAGTTATCACTGTTTAAAGTTTTGACACAATGTGGCTTAGATTGTATATTATTGTAACAACGGTACTTGTTATTTGAGACTTGGCCTCATTTCGCCATTTTGAAATGGTGACAGTTTTTATACGCCCACATTTTCATGTGGACGTATATTGTCGTCGCCCCTGTCCGTCCACAAATGTTTGTGAACAGTCTACAGGTCACAATTTTTATCCGATTTCAATGAAACTTGAAATATAGGTTTATCACCCCAAGATCTTGGTTCCTTTCGATATTGGCATGTATCGGATTGTTATTTCATGGATTATGGCCCCTGATTGTACGAAAAATCACGTTTTTAGCTTGTGAACACTGTAGAGGTCACAATTTTTATCCGATTTGGTTTAAACTTGAAATGTATGCTTTTAACCCAAAGATCTCGGTTCCTTTCGATATTCGTGAATATCGGAACGTAACTTCCTGAATTATGGCCCCTGATTGTATGAAAAATCGCGTTTTTAGTTTGTGGACCCTATAGAGGTCATAATTTTTATCCTATTTAAAAAAACGTATTATTATATCACCGTTACACCCTAAGGGCAACTGAGTTCGAATTTCGTGAAAATCGACCCAAAACTGACAGACAAAATGGCCGCCGTTCGTTCTCAAATTGCGTAAAAATATGGTATATCAAGGTTATGGACCCTATAGAGGTCACAATTTTTATCCGATTTTGTTGAAACTTGAAATGTAAGTTTATAACCCAAAGATCTCGGTTCTTTTCGATATTCGCGCATATGGGACCGTAACTTCCTGAATTATGGCCCCTGATTGTACGAAAAATCGTGTCATAATTTTTATCTGATTTAAAAAAACGTTTTATTATATTACCGTTATACCCTAAGGACGACTGAGTTCAAATTTCGTGAAAATCGGCCAAAACTAACAGACAAAATGGCCACCGTTCGTTCTCAAATAGCGTAAAAATATGGTATATCAATTTTTATCCAATTTTGTTGAAACTTGAAATGTAAGTTTATAACCCAAAGATCTTGGTTCCTTTCGATATTCGTGCATATCGGACTGTAACTTCCTGAATTATGCCCCCTGATTGTTCATAAAGGTCATAATTTTTATCCGATTTAAAAAAACGTATTATTATATCACTGTTACACCCCAAGGACGGCTGAGTTCGAATTTCGTGAAAATCGCCCAAAACTGACAGACAAAATGGCCGCCCCTCGTTCTCAAATTGCGTAAAAATATGGTATATCAAGGTTGTGGACCCTATAGAGGTCACAATTTTTATCCGATTTTGTTGATTGAAATGTAAGTTTATAACCCAAAGATCTCGGTTCCTTTCGATATTTGCGCATATCGAATTGTAATTTCCTGAATTATGGCCCTTGATTGTAGGAAAAATCACTTTCGTTTCAGCATGTTTTCTCGAAAATGTGGGCGTATCCTGCCTGGCAGCCGCTGGTTTCATCTGTTAAAATCTCCTCCATTTGATGTTCTAGAGAGTTGATTATAGGCTTGCCATGTGAATAAATGTCTAAATAATAATTTACATAACATTTGATGGCAAAATAAAGACGTTGAATAGGAAGATTTAGCTCTTACATAATACATGTTTTATTCAAGAAGATCACCTAATATCCCAAAATAATTATATCGAAAATATATTGATTTGAACAATCTATTGTTTCATTGGGTTTTTTTTACTTGCTTTAAAACTGTAAATCCCTTCTTTAGGCAAGTGGGGGGTTGGAAGGCTGAATGGTTAGCACATGCGGGCTGTATCATAAAGTCTGTCATTGAGTCAACTGGCGTGGTTTCAATTCCCCCGGTTGTATGTGACAAGGAGTAGGGTCGTCTGTCCAACCTCGTGGGTTTACCACTGCTAAAGACCCCTAAGCGCAAGCGAATTATGGAAATAAAATTGAACCATATGTTAGTCCCAAAATGACCTAGTTTGTGTCGTGTGGACGTTAAACCCCATTTCTCTCTCTCTCTCTTTAGGCAAGCCAAAAATTGATTTTGGCCTCACTCTATATTCACCAGCATGTTTTCCTCAAAAGAGTTTACATTTTAGTGTGAGGAAGAATCCATTTAAATTTTATGGATTTTCTTATCTTGTTTAGAAATCATGTGACAGAATTTACATACATGAAAATTAAATGTATTGTATAGATTATGATGATTAATAATTTAAGATAATTTTGATTTCAGAAAATTGTGATGTACGATTGGTTACCAAGATGGTTAAGCATTTCAAGTGATCAGGCGAATGCAACTTTCACAAAAATTCCACCATACGTAAATAAAGGTAGTTATTATGTACCTACTATAAATAGCAGTAAGGAACAGTTAGCATCAGGGTAATGATGGTCCCTATCATTTTTGAGCATTTTCAAAAAAGTAAGACTGATAAAAGTACATTATCGTACACATACTCAATCTACACAGATACGTATTTTAACATGTTTCAGAAATAATTTGTATTGAGCTAAACATCATTCCTGGTGATTCCAGTCGCATCCTTACAATCATTTCCACAGTTATTGCCCCTGACTTATGATCCTTGATTAAAGGATACCACCCTATATTGTACATTGTACAGTACTCACAAAATTGAAATAAATATTCACGTTTTCAGACTACACTTTGACCTTTATTGGTAATATTTGACCTGAAGGGTGTTGACATCCTTTCAAACAATCGTTTAAATTAATCATTATTTGTGTCTCAGAAATTTTGAATTTCTATTTGGGATGTATTTTAGTCAAAGGATAATTCAAGATCAATTTTTAAAAATCCAGATAGCCATTGCAGTAGATTTGTTGGAATGGCTAACATTGTAGCCTATTCCTACATTTAATTTGAACAGATATTTTTCTTTCCTGCATGTCACCGTTAATTGAATTTTTATAGGCCCACATTTTCATGTGTACGTATACACAAATAGTGTAAAAGTATGTAATACCAAGGTTGTGGACACTCTAGAAGTCACAATTTTCATCTGATTATTTTGAAATTTAAAATATATCTTTATATCCCAAATATCTCAGTCCCTTTCAATATTCGCGCATTTCAGACCATAACTTCCTGGATTATGGCCCCTGATTGTTCGAAAAATCGCTTCTTTTTTTTTAGCTAGCTCTCTATCCGTTTCTTGCAAAATGTGGGCGTATCTTCCCTGGCAACAGTGGCTTTTTTTATAATCACAATCCGCAGTACTTTTCACTTTTGGTATATCTTTATAGTAACCATTCTTATAGTAACCATTCTTATAGTAACCATTCTATCAGCCCCACCCCATGCCCCCACCTTTCTTTTCATTTTTTTCAATTTGTTTTACACTAGGGAATACTAATGGCACTTCACAGGTAGACCTTACTCTGAAATATCAGCAAGGCTATGACCCAAACATACATCCAGGTATTTCTCAGGAATTCCAGACAGCAGCATTAAGATTTGGTCATACTTTAGTGCCCTCTGGTATAATAACTAGGTATGTTTTAAAATATTATATTTAGAAAAGGGACAAAAATTATATATAGTATACTAAAAAAACATTTCATTGAACAACTAGATTGAACAAGAACGTGAAAATTTTAGGTTTATATACATGTAGTATATGTTGTGCATCGGGGGGTTGGATGGCTGAATGGTTAGCGTGCGCGCGCTGTATCATAAAGTCTGTCATTGAGTCGACTGGCATGGTTTCGAATCCCCGGTTGTACGTGAAAAGGAGTAGGTTCGCCTGTCCAACCTCGTGGGTTTTCTCCGGGTCCTCCGGTTACCTCCCATTGCTAAAGACCCCTATGCGCAAGCGAATTATTGAAATAAAATTAAACCATATGTTAGTCCCGAAATGACCTAGTTTGTGTCGAGTGGACGTTAAACCCCATTTCTCTCTCTCTGTATGTTGTGCATCACGTATTGCATTTGCTTGTCTTTCTTCTTCTGGAGCCATGGTGGCTAAGTAGGTGAGACGCGTTTTCGATCCCTGCAAATGGGATCCTAATCCAGTAAATATTGCAGGCTAGCGATAACATTGAGAGTTGATTATGGTCTGGATAAGTTAATTAATGTCTAATTAATAATTTAGGTAACATTTCAGGCCTGAAGATTTAGCTCTTACATAATGTATGTTTAAAAGAGAATATACTAACATAGATGTATCTATTTATTTGGGGGATCACGTGGCTAAGTGGGTAAGACACTGGCTCGCTAGCCTGGAGGTCGGGTGTTCGATCCCTGCATTGGCCGAGAAAGTTCATCCGGATTTTCCGGCGTGGTTCCCCCTTGTCAGTGATGCAGGATGGAGGGCCTGGCAAGGACAGCTGACTAGTCCTTCGGATGAAACGAAAAACAGAGGTCCCATGTATATATTGGAATGCACGTAAAAGATCCCCTGGCAGTTGGAATTCGATATAAGAGTAGTCGATAGTGCCGCTGCCCGGGCAAAATTTCCCTCATAGCACACTGTATGGCGTATGCCCGTTTTCATTAGCCCAGTATAGGAGCAGAACAGTAGGACGTTAAACCCCATTTCATTTCATTTCATTTCTATTTATTTGTTGTATAATATGGTATTATAGGAGAATTCTTGACAATGGTAACTGTGTAAATACTACTAATTCTGTTACCGCTGCATTAGGACACAGAGAGAATTTTAACGGTATTCGTGTGTGTACATCTTACTGGAATTCACAAGTAAGTTGGGGTTTTTAAACAAATTGTTAGAATAATTTTATTTGATTAAATTAAATTGCACCCAAGATTAACCTTCAGTAGTCCTGTTGGTAGGGATCTGGACTGTTAATTAGCATAGGCGAGTGGTCTAATGCATACACTTTGGATGATGAGGTCTGTCAATGAGTGAATTTGTGTGGTTTTTATCCCAAACTTATGAGGAGTAGGGTCGTCTGCCCATCCTCGTGGGTTTTCTCCAGTACCTCTAATTTCCTTCTACTGCTCCGTGCACCATGTGTTAGACCCTAAATTATCTAGTTTATGGCTAGTGGGGGGGTTGGATGGCTGAATGGTTAGCGTGCACGCGCTGTATCTTAAAGTCTGTCATTGAGTCGACTGGCGTGGTTTCGAATCCCCGGTTGTACGTGGCAAGGAGTAGGGTCGCCTGTCCAACCTCATGGGTTTTCTCCGGGTCCTCCGGTTTCTTCCCACTGCTAAAGACCATATGTTAGTCCCGAAATGACCTAGTTTGTGTCGAGTGGACGTTAAACCGCATTTCTCTCTCTCTCTCTCACTCTCTCTCTCTCTCTCTCTCTCTCTTTATGGCTAGTGTACATTTCTCTCTCTAGTCTCACATGATGTTTATATTGCTTGATGTACATTGATGTAGCATGCTCCATTCAAATTGTAATGGAATAATAAAGTTATACTCCATGGTATAGATTGTTGTTTCTTATAGTTTGAATTATTTAATTGTAGGAACCATTAGATACACAACAACCGGGTGTAGATGGTGTTGTATTAGGTATGATATCAACTTTATCAGAAAAAGAAGACCATATTATTGTGGAAGATTTACGAGGTTAGTACAAATCGTGTAAGGAGCCATGGTGGCTCTGTGGATATTACTGAGGAGGTCGCCAGTTCGATCCTTGTGTTGGTCTAGAAAACTCTTCGGGATGTTTCAGCCTACTTTCCCCCTGCCAATGGTGTGGGATGGCGGGTATGGCAAGGAACAATGTTTAGTCAATTGGATAGTAAGAAAAAATGTTGATGTTCACATAAAAATGTTCATGACAGTTGGAATTTGTCGATTGGAGCATCATCATAAGATGCTACTCCAATTTACTATCAAACATTTGATTAAGAGTACAAAACCGAAACAATTAAATAAAATAAAGCCCATTGAAAGATTATACCCATTCTTATTGGCAGCACCATCCTGGGTATCCCTAGTCATCTCATTCCGTTCAACTCTACTAACTACTGGGTTAATCCATGGAAGGGGGGGGGGGCATCTTTTTGTGTGCATGTCACTTCGTTTATATTACATACCTCAGAAGAGACAAATCATCTTCATTTTGTGAAAAGAAATGGATCGCTGTACTTACTAAAAATAAACTATACGTTCAATTTATGTTATCTGTCGATGGCTCAGATTAGCTGTATAAATCAGCAATTTCATCACAGTCACGGTCGTTCAGCGAATTTCTGCTTATTTGTGTGGTCTCTGCATATTGTTGTGAACGTAAACAGTGCGGCTAAGACCGGTTTGCAAACTGTTTTTTGATTGTTTCGCAGACTCGAGCTATGATCAAGGGCAGATAATTTGATTAACCCAGAGTATAATGGAGTAGCACGGAATGAGACCACTGGGGATACCGAGGATGTAGCGACACTGGCTTGCATTGTCTGCAAGGGATGGTGAATGCTGCAAAATTTTCAAATCATCATATCTTTGTACACAGAGATTCAACTTTCACAATGTTCTAGTTTGCAAGGGATTTAAAATCAGTGGCTTTAATCATGACAAAATCATATCTTTTGACATGTTTTCAATTTTTATTACAGGCAATGTGTTTGGTCCATTAGATTTTAATCAACGAGATTTGGCAGCCATAAATATACAGAGAGGAAGAGACCATGGTTTACCAGGCTATAATAAAGTTAGAGAAGCTTATGGTTTAGCGCCAAAAGAAGACTGGATATCTATTAACCCACAGATTTCTTCGGTAAGTGTCAGAATATCTGTAAATAGGATTCTGAAAATTAAAACCCTCATACAAAATGATTAATTTTATAGATTACTTGGAAAAATGAAAGATCTGATTGCTTTACAGATCTTAAATAAATTGCAAGAATTGTATGGTAATTCTCCAAAACCTGATGAATTAGATGTCTTTACTGGTGGGTTACTCGAGACGGTAGATGATGGTCCAGGTGAGCTCTTTAGAGTAATCACATTAGAACAATTTTTACGGATTCGAAATGGTGACAGATTCTGGTTTGAGAATAAAGACAATGGGTAAGTTTGAATTGTTTTGTCTACATTGTTACATGTACATGAAACTGTTTCATCTGACAGTGAGGACGTTATCAATCATTTCAATAACAGGGTTGTAGCTATTTATATTGTTCCATATCCAACCCCCAGGGAGAGCCAGACACAATTTTTGTGTTTATCGTCTACAGACTGCAATTCCGAATGGATCATCTTGGAACTTTGCATATTTATTCCTTATACCATAAAGACAGAAACTATTTATTTTGATGCATTCCCCGACCCCATGGTGCGGTGTTACACCCACTTTTTTGTTAATATTTAGTCTGTAAATTTGCCTCTTGTTATATTACACTCATTGCAGCCATTTCATATTTCATGCTCTTCATTTTAAAAAGTACTATATCAATCATTTTAAAAAGTACTATATCAATCAAAGCAGGAATGTGGACCTATATTGCAGCGGTACCGATGCTCTAGTCTATGGAAAAAATCAGGAATTTTGTTTTTTTAAAGAAATATTTTATCTTAATAAGGATTTGGAAATGGGCATAGCCCATATTAAACCTCTCTCCCGAGTCCCAAGACATCTAGCTGAAATAATCTTTTTTATATAGCCACCCACTTAAAGTTCTGGCTGAAGTCATCGTGTGATTAAAAACTGTTTATTTTTTCCAGTTTATTTAGTGAAGAACAGGTAGCTGAAATTATGGATGTTTCAATGAGAGAAATTCTTAGTAAAACAACAAACATTAATAATAGTTATTTAACAGATGATGTTTTTAGATGTGGTAAGTCTGTTAAACTATGGGCAGTAGCTTGTTTAAACCTTCTCTACATATGAGTCCCTAAAGATTTTTTGTTTTGCCAATTTTAACATGTTCTTGTTACAACTAGAAATTTTCAGTAAAGAGGCATTATGCAAGAGCTAAATCTACCTATTGCAGGCCTTTTTTCTAACTTCACATTAAGAGACACCAGCCCAAATTAAACTGCGACGATGGACTTCATATTCATAGAGCATATGACATTTTGATTAACTAACTGTGCCTAAGTGAACATATAAATTGTAGTCAAATGCTGTGTTTTTTGGTGGGGGGTGGGTGATTTTTTGGTTTTTTACTATCTGATATTCACAATACCTTTGCAATAATTATTAGCTATGTGTTAAAATGAAGCCTTATGTTTTTCTAGCTTATACTAAATATGTTTTCTTTAACCACCTAGATCTTAACCAATTAGTTTGTGTAATGGCTTCCTAATTATCTAAGTATTAAGTATTGTAATCATAACTCCAATTTGTCTTTGATTTTTATATTTAAAAAATTTTATACTTAAATGCTTACTCCCAGGTTTTTGTATCATATTATCGTTTTTACCCTGTGGTTTATAACGACAAGGGGATACTTGTTGAAACGTTGCACTATTAGTGTTGCTAGTGATTGTTATCCATAAAGTTGTGTTGTGTTTTTTCAAATGTTACATAAATTATTAATTAGACATTTATTCACATGACAAGCCCATAATCAACTCTCTAGACCATCAGATGCCTGAGATTAGATTGAATGGATTAGAACACCAACGCCATATAATAATTTAACATTAAAATGGACGCTATATCTTTTCAAAACTTCAAACACTCAGAATAAATTAGTAATGTGACAGAAATTTTCAATATCTATTTTTGAACTATTATAGCATTTTTCATTTATCTATTTTTGAAGTATTTGAATGGCCAGCTCTGTATCTAAATCTTTCAAAATGCTTCTTTAATATGTAACTATACTGTGAATATAATAGAAAAGTTTTTATTTAACTATTTCATATTTCAGTTCAAGGCACAACTGAATGTGGATGTAATGACCCGTTTCATTCCAATGAAACAGACGGGAAATTTGAAACATGTGTCCAGTTATCAACATATGATTATTTTAATGACAGTGAAGTTTCTTTTACTTTAACATTTGTTGGCGTTGGACTTTTTATACCGGGTAAGCATTTTATTAATTTTCTGTTTTTTCAACAAACTGTTAATACAGGAAACAGTTTATTCCCATGTTGGCTTTTGTCATATTTTTTAAGCTTTCTTGTCTCATTCTGTGCAATCTCTTTATTATTCTCTTTACATGCATCTTTCTTGTGAAATCTTTCTTTTAAATCTTATAAAGCAGTAAATCTTTTTGAAATTATTTACATGAGGTGTCTATCTTATTGAAATGAAGATGTCTAAGCTATATATATATATATTTCCTTCTAGAGTTATTCCAATTGTTAGGAAGTCTTAGTATTAGAAATCACAGGACATAATTATCAAAGGCCCTTTTCAAAATTTAAATTGGGTTTCTGCTACAAAAAAGATGAATTCTACTGATCTTTAAAAATTCTTAAAATTAAGAAACCTACCGATTTTAATTCATGTTAATCTTCTTGTTCTTGGCCATGGGGTGACACATGTTCTTCGAAAGAGCTTAAGGCTTGTCAATTCAAGTTCGATCAACATGAAAATTGACATGCTTGTTCTTTGAACAATTTTGCATCGATTTGGTGAATTAGATTTTTGAATTTCATCCAACAACATATGGTCAGTACCTGGTCCATAGTACCATCGTATTTGTTAATAAGTTATAAATGTCTCTTGCTAAAAACGTAGTATAAAATAATTTGTATACTGGTATTTGTATAATGGTATTCATACTTTGTATGAATTATAGCGACTATTGGTGTAATGATACTGATGGCCAAATATAAAGAAAAACAGATGAACATGGCTAAAAGACGAACTCCTGTAGTGAGTGGAAGTGATCCTAATAAATTCTTTGGTAGGCTATGTAATTTTTTTTTTTATCCTGATGAACAATTCAGTTATAGTTAAATATGTATGAATATTCTTCAAACATTTTTGGGAAAAGCCTGGTACTTTTCTAAGGGGTGAGGCTACACGAAAAATGCTTTCTGGAATTCTAAAGCTAGTGAATTGAAGATGGCACAAGTAGTTAGGAAATGTTATAAACAAGGGAAAACTAACATTAAAAATAAAGAAATAAGTTGTTGCCAGGGTAACACCTTTTTTTGGAAAAAGTATGAAAAACGTAGGTACACCACATCTCTGGCACTAATAAAGATAAATGTCTCAGAGAGTTTTTCTCTATAATTTTTATAGTTTCTAGGCAAAGAGTGTTTAAAACATTTGCCTAACCACAATATTTTGTCTTTGGAGAAATATTTTGATAACTTTAAAATACTAATGATAATTCAAATTGATTTCTGTCTGATTCTGTGGTAGATATTAGTTTATATATCATGCCAATTTGGTGAAGATATCTTAATTAGTTACAGAGATATAGTTTACCTATGTTTTACATAATTTCTTCCCCAAAAATGTGTTACCCTGGCAACAACTTTTTTTTAATGCTAGTTTTGCCTTGTTTAATACATTTCCTAACTACTGGTACTGTTTTCAATTCAAAAGCTTTAACATTTCAGAATCAAATTTTTCTGATAGCCTCTCCTTCAATATGTCTGTTGTTGTTTAATTTTTATCACATCTGTCCCCTTAACATTGACTCATCTGTGTCTTATGCGAACCATGTGTATTGCAATATGGGAAGTCCATATAGGCCAATCCAGCAAGATAAATAGAGTAATTTCTCAGAAATATTATGTGGACTCCTTATGGGTGTTCCCAGAAAAATGACATGTATATTGTATTTCATATTAAAATATTGATTGATTAAGCAGGATATATAAGTAATTGTCTTTCCATGAGAATGTTTAACAGTTTTATTATACGCCCACATTTTCATGTGGACGTATATTGTCGTGGCCCCTGTTTGTCCGTCCGTCCGGATGTCCGTCCACAATTTGTTTGTGGACACTCTACAAGTCACAATTTTTATCCGATTTCAATGAAACTTGAAATATAGGTTTATCGCCCTAGGATCTCGGTTTCTTTCGATACTGGCATGTATCGGACCGTAACTTCTTGGCTCATGGCCCCTGATTGTACGAAAAATCGCATTTTTAGCTTGTGGACACTCTAGAAGTCACAATTTTGATCTGATTTTGATGAAACTTGCAATGCTTGTTTATAACCCAAAGATCTTGGATCCTTTCAATATTCGCGCATATCGGATCGTAACTTCCCGAATTATGGCCCCTGATTGTACGAAAAATCGTGTTTTTGGCTTGTGGTCTCTCCAGAGGTCACAATTTTTATCCGATTTAAAAAAACGTTGAGTTTGAATTTCGTGAAAATCGGACCAAAATTGCCAGACAAAATGGCCGCCGCTTGTATTTGTACGCGAATAGTGTAAAAATATGGTATATCAAGGTTGTGGACCCTGTAGAGGTCACAATTTTAATTCGATTTTGATGAAACTTGAAATGCATATTTATAACCTAAAGATCTTGGTTCCTGTCGATATTTGCGCATATCAGATCGTAACTTCCTAAATTATGGCCCCTGACTGTACGAAAATCGCCTTTATTAGCTTGTGGTCCCTCTGGAGGTCACAATTATTACACGATTTAAAAAAACATTTGATTATATCACCGTTACAATGTAATGAAGGTTGAGTTCGAATTTCGTGAACATCAGACCAAAATTGTCAAACAAAACGGCCGCCGCTTGTACGCGAATAGTGTAAAACTATGGTATATCAAGGTTGTGGACCCTTTAGAGGTCACAATTTTAATCCGATTTTGATGAAACTTGAAATGCATGTGTATAACTCAAATATCTTGGTTCCTTTCGATATTTGCACATATATCGGATTGTAACTTTCTGAATTATGGCCCCTCATTATACGAAAAATAGCCTTTTTTAGCTTGTGTTCCCTCTGAAGGTCACAGTTATTTCCAATTTTAAAAACCGTTTGAATATGTCACCGTTACACCGTAATAAAGGTTGAGTCAAATTTCGTGAAAATTGGACCAAAACTGATCAAATTAGCTGCTGTTGTACGCGAATAGTGTAAAAATATGGTTATCAAGGTTGTGGACCCTGTAGAGGTCACAATTTTAATCCGATTTTGATGAAACTTGAAATGCATGTTTATAACCCAAAGATCTCGGATCCTTTCGATATTTGCACATATCGAAGTGTAACTTCATGACTTATGGCCCTTGATTGTAGGAAAAATCACTTTCTTTTTAGCTTGTTGTCTATCTATCTCTCGAAAATGTGGGCGTATCCTGTCTGGCAGCCACTGGTTCCTCTATAAGTTATTGATATAAGTACATTCATTTATTGGGACCATTACAGTAACCAGATACATCCCACATTAGGTTTTGATATATAATTTACTAAAATTGTTACAAGTGAAGCACTTCACAAACATAATCGACACGTACAAAAACACTGGTAGTTTATGGTATCGATCTCAGATAAATTTAACTCAAAATATTAATGTAGAAATGGAGTTTATAACTTGACACAAGCCTGGTCATTTTGAGACTAAAATATGGTTCATTTTTATTTCAATAATTCACATGAGAGTAGTGGTCTTTAGCAGTGGAGGGAACTGCATGGACCTGGAGAAGATCCATAAGGTGGGGTATGAGACCCTACTCCTTGTCACGGACATGCTTGGGATCGAAAACCATGCCACTTTACTCAAGCATTAGATCACTCAACCTCCCCACTCTCCCTACACATTTTGTCAGATAGGGTATGTTCTGTTGGCTGGCAATGCATGTTTATATTTAATATCAACATCTATTTTGCTTTTACTTTTCTCTCTGTTAGCAATTGAATGGATTGGAACAAAATCGGGAGAGAGAAATGTGAAAGTTGAGTTAGAAAGAAGTCGTAAAAAGATAATGGTTTCTGACAGAACGGGAAAGATGTTAAGATTAATAGACTTGAGACGAACAGACAGAATACATTTTAGACTGTCAGATGATAAAGATATGTCCTTGGCTTCTATTCGAGTACCTGGTGAAAGTGATCTGGTAGGTTGTCAATTAAAATTCTAGATTAGTTGATTAGGGCCTACTTGAAGAAAAAAGAACTGAAAGACTTTTTTTTAGGGGAAATGTGACCAAGTGTCACATAATCTCAAAGTTAAGGCTGGGAATCGATATGAAATTTCAATATCGATTATCGGCAAGAATTTGTCAGCGATTATCGATAATAATCGATTATCATTTTTCCGGAAAAATCCAAACTTTACCGACCTGTTATTTGTGTTGGAAGACACAGGTTACTACTATTTTATTGTATTTGTTCTTCAACAGTCATGTTTAATAATAGTATTGTATAATAAAAATATTCTAAAACATCTTTATTTAAACACATTATATTTATTAATATTATTATACAATCTATCAATACTCAATCGTAATAAAAAAACAAAATAAAGTAAATTGAAGTTATTTATCTTCATTACTAGAGTCCATGAAGGTAGATAACTGTTACATTTGCGGCGGTCGGTTCCGTAAAAACCAAAACAATTCCATACCTCGCTTTTTGCCTTTCCCTTGAAATCAAAAACATGTTTTGTATGGGCTGTATCTGACATGATTTAATAATAAAAGCTGAGTTGATCATTAATAAGCAAAGGATTTCTCTACAAATCAATCAAGAGCAAAGAAGGGAGATAATTCTAATTTTACTATATATCACGTTTGATTGTCATTGTTCACAAAGTGTGTGACTTATTTTAGTTTCAACTAGTAATAACACAAAAACAACGAAAATATTAAAATAATGTATTTAGTCTTAAAGTTTAGTTTTTTACAATAATATATATTTAAAATGTGCCAGTTTGTAAGCAGAGGGGGAAAATAGTTGTTGTGTTGATGTTGTGTATTCATTCATTCGTCTGCTAATGCCAGACTACGGCAAGTTCAGTCATGTGAAAGTGACCGTAACTTGCCGTCAGAAGGTAAATATACCGATAATCGATATTTGAATTTCAATATCGATTATCGTATCGCTAAATAACTTCTACCGATTATCGATTATATCGATATTTTTGCACAGCCTTACTCAAAGTGTTAGGAAAACAAAACATTCTTAGAACAGATCTTCTACTCTTTTATTAAGGAACAAATAACAGGCACTTACAATTGTACCTCTGACTAATGTTACTGGTTCACAAAGCTGATCACCATAATGATACCTTATTCGAAGTACAAAGTAGATATGCTAAATCTGCCTATTGCAGGTCTTTCTTTAGGTCTGAAATGTTTTCTAAATTATTAATTAGACATTAATTAACTTAATATTAAATAAATTAGAACAGTCATATTATGAGGTAAGCTAAAATTGGAGGAGCGAGACTTAGCTTCGAACAACCAGTACGTTGCTAGAAATGTGCACACGTCTTGTCAAACCTTCAAAGCCTAATATCTTCGCTCGCAATAGAATATTTGAATGAAATATTCAAATTATTCATTTTACATTATCTATTTCAAACTATTATAGCAAGATTGGCTAGCTCTTTATCTAAAACTTACATAATGTATCTTTAGGGCATTTAAAACAGGAACAAAAGGAAACAATTAACAGATTGCCGATGACATATACTGTTTGATCTTAATGGCTAATCCAAGGATTAAAAACTATTGCAGATTCTCCGATTTCCTAGTATGTCCGAACGTCAGACTGTAGTTAGTCATATTGAGAAATTTCTACAAGATCTGGGCATTAACCGTGAACAGCATGAATTCAGAGAAGAGACCATCATGAAGGATGCTACTTCTTTCGATGATCGTAAAGAACTTCTTGACACTTTCTTCAAAGTTATATGTTTGCAAGTAAGTAGTAATTGGTTGTTAATTAATAGTGGTGCTTATATAACTTCACTTATCTACCTTTGGAATTGCAGGTCGGAGGGCCTGACAAGGACAGCTGTGTAGTCGTTCGGATGGGACGAAAAACCGAGGTCCCATAAAACATCCCTTGGCAGTTGGAATTCGATATAAGAGTAGGCCGTAGTGCTGCTGTCAGAATAAAATTTCCCTCGTAGCACACTGAATGGCGTATGTCCATCTTCATTAGCCCGGTCACAGTAGGAGGTTAAACTTCATTTCATTTCACCTTTGAAATTACCAAATAAATACTAGAATGAAAAGTGTCCCCAGAACCAACGACATAAATTCATGATTTATATCAGGAAACTTCCAATCATTATTGATGGCATCACTAATAAATTCTTTAATTAAGAGTAACATTTCAAGAGAAGCACCTAGAATTTTTCTAGATGTTGATGCAGGTAGACATTATTTAATATCTATCTTTTGGGGGAGGGGGGAGAGGGGAGAGGGGAGGGGGGAGAGGGAGGGGGGAGAGGGGAGAGGGCCTCAGTGAGTAAGATGTTGGTGCGCTAACCTGAAAGTTCTATGTTCAGTCCCAGTGTTGGCAGAAAAAGGTTCATCAGGATTATCGCTCGTAGTTCACCCTTGTCAGTGGTGTAGGAATGAGAGCCTAGCAAGAGACAACGTATAGTCATTCAGATGAGACAAACAATCAAGGTCATGTGTATGCATTGGCATGCATGTAAAAGAACCTTTGACAGTTGTAATTTGGAATAAGAGTAGGCAAAACTTCCCTCAAATGCCACTGTATGGCGTATACTTGTCTTTATTATCCAGTCGGTGCAGAACAGCTAGTAGGAAGTTAAACCACATTTCAGTTATCTTTTTTTAGAATAAAGAAACAGATGCACAATCTCTGGTCAACAGGTAAAGATATGATATGGGGTTTAACATCCTACATTCCTACACCAAGTGTTTGATTCAACATCAATATGCTTTTTGTCATTTTAAGGCATTCAAGAAGGATTCTGCCCTAACCAACATTGGAGAAATAGATCATGAGAAAGTCAATGAAATTGGAAAAATCAAACTGACAAGAACCGAATTTGCTGATGCACTAGGACTTCAACCAAACTCATTATTTGTTCGTAACATGTTTCTCTTGGTTGATCGTAGTAAAGATGGCTTTGTTTCATTTGAAGAATTTCTTGGCATGTTCGTTACCATGGCAAATGGTAAGTTGTTATATGTATAGTTATTTTGTATTTTATTAGACAATACAGTTTTTAATGCTCGAATTTTTGAAATTTTTAAGTGTTAATTTATTGAATAGGGGGGCTTTTTATCCACATTTTGAACATATTTTTTATATGCAACCATAGCATCCATTTCAAGGGGGCATCCAATCAAAGAGTGAAAATACAATGAATTTTTCTAAAATTTAAAATTATCGCTGTTAACATCTTTTTACAAGCTGCTCGGCAGTCCAAACACTACTCACTAGTTTTAGTTACCACCAGTATACCCAACACTAATCACTTGTTTTAGTCACTACCAGTATATACCCAACACTAATTGCTTGTTTTAGTCACTACCAGTATATATCCAACACCAATTGCTTGTTTTAGTAACTACTAGTATACCAAACACTAATCACTTGTTTTAGTTACTACCAGTATATTCAACACTAATTGCTTGTTTTAGTCACTACCAGTATATATCCAACACCAATTGCTTGTTTTAGTAACTACTAGTATACCAAACACTAATCACTTGTTTTAGTTACTACCAGTATATTCAACACTAATCACTTGTTTTAGTTATTACCAGTATACCCAATACTACTTGCTATTTTTAGTTACTACCAGCATACCAAACACTAATCACTTGTTTTAGTCACTACCGGATATATACCCAACCCTACTCACTAGTTTTATTTTTTAATCAGGTAATGCTGAAGAAAAAGCCAAGATGCTGTTTAATATGTATGATCTAAAGAGAACAGGAGAATTATCCAGAAAAGATTTTACAAAGATGATCAAGTAAATACAAGTTTTCAAGTTTTATACATAGGAACCCTGCTAAAAGGAAATACACATGATCACTGTCATAAAATATTATTTGAAAGTGATGTAGAGATCATCACAACCAATAATGTGTTCGCATATCACTCGAATTGTTGCAGTGGGGTTGGATGGCCGAATGGTTAGCACGTGCGCGCTGTATCATAAGGCCTGTCATTGAGTCAACTGGCGTGGTTTCAAATCCCCGGTTGTACGTGACAAGGAGTAGGGTTGCCTGTCCAACCTTGTGGGTTTTCTCCGGGTCCTCCGGTTTCCTCCCACTGCTAAAGATCCCTACGCGCAAGTGAATTATTGAAATAAAATTGGACCATATGTTAGTCCCCAAATGACCTAGTTTGTGTCGAGTTCACATTAAACCCCATTTCTTTCTCTCTCGAATTGTTCTTTGTTTAAGCAAATTAGTGGTTGGTTGCTCTTCTGCTTTGTTTGTAGACACTCTACAGGTCACAAATTTTATCTGATTTCGACGAAACTTGAAATATAGGTTTATCTCTCAAAGATTTTGGTTCTTTTCAAAATTGGAATGTATCAGACCTTAACTTCATGGATTATGACCCGTGATTGTATGAAAAATCACATTTTTAGCTTGTGGACACTCTAGAGGTCACAATTTTTATCCGATTTTAATGAAACTTGAAATGTATGTTTATAACTCAAAGATCGTGATTTTTGGCAATATCCACGCATATCGGACCATAACATTTTGGATTATGGCCCCTGATTGTACAAAAAATAGCATTAAAAAAAAAACGTTCGAATATGGCAACCGTTTGTTGATAATCTGAAAGTTTTTTTTTTTTTTTTGGTATTGAATATTATGTCTTTAACCTCAATTCTATTTTCATTAGGTCGATGATGGACTTGGCTGATGCTAGTATAGAAGATACACGAGTGGATAAATTGTTAGACCAAATGTTTCAACACGCTGGTATTGCCAACAAACAACACATGAATTTTGATGACTTTAAGAAAATATTTGTGTCTGAAGAGTATAGTGATATTCTGAAAAACTCAACTTTGGCTTTGGATAAAGGTAATAGATTCTGCTAAATGTTATCACTTTTGGATTCAGGTCAAGAATTCCATTAATGAAAAAAAAACCCTCTTAACAAACTTATGCATTGATTATTAGAAACAGTAATATACATGTTACAACCAAAGCCAAAAACCTAGAATAAATAATGATTCTCACCAGTTCCACAGATTAGTGGAATGGTTATAGCAAATTGTACATGCAAATCTAATCAGGAAACATTTGACCAGAGATATGTGTGCTTCAGCTGCTGGAACCATACCTGTTCCTCAGCTGGATTAAATGCAAATGCACATTTTATTAATGCTCCCGAATATCCATGACATCAACTTCAGGTTGACCCAAAATAATGCAAGTGGTTAGAAATAATTCTTAGTTATAATGAACTGATGCATTTGAAGACAACTGTTCCATCTATCCGAGTATTTTAATGTTTATACTTATAGTGCAGACACATGCTGGTGGTACTAGTGTCATACAATTGTTCCATCCACCCATCCGAGTATTTAAATGTTTATACTTATAGTGCAGACACATGGTGGCGGTACTAGTGTCATACAATTGTTCCATCCATCCATCCAAGTATTTTATTGTTTATCTTTATACTTATAGTGCAGACACATGGTGGTGGTACCAGGTGGTACTGGTGTCATACAATTATTCCATCCACTCATCCGAGTATTTAAATGTTTATACTTATAGTGCAGACACATGGTGGTGGTACTAGTGTCATACAATTGTTCCATCCACCCATCCGAGTATTTAAATGTTTATACTTATAGTGCAGACACATGGTGGTGTACTAGTGTCATACAATTGTTCCATCCATCCATCCAAGTATTTTATTGTTTATCTTTATACTTATAGTGCAGACACATGGTGGTGGTACCAGGTGGTACTGGTGTCATACAATTATTCCATCCACCCATCCGAGTATTTAAATGTTTATACTTATAGTGCAGACACATGGTGGTGGTACTAGTGTCATACAATTGTTCCATCCACCCATCCGAGTATTTAAATGTTTATACTTATAGTGCAGACACATGGTGGCGGTACTAGTGTCATACAATTGTTCCATCCATCCATCCAAGTATTTTATTGTTTATCTTTATACTTATAGTGCAGACACATGGTGGTGGTACCAGGTGGTACTGGTGTCATACAATTATTCCATCCACCCATCCGAGTATTTAAATGTTTATACTTATAGTGCAGACACATGGTGGTGGTACTAGTGTCATACAATTGTTCCATCCACCCATCCGAGTATTTTAATGTTTATACTTATAGTGCAGACACATGGTGGTGGTACTAGTGTCATACAATTGTTCCATCCATCCATCCAAGTATTTTATTGTTTATGTTTATACTTATAGTGCAGGCAACTGGTGGTGGTACTGGTGTCATTGAGAGAAAAAAAACGGTTATAAATCGTTATAGGTATGTTACAACCATTTACACATAATCTAATAAATTATAGGCCTACAATGAAAATTAATATTTGAAAATTAATTATACAATAAATCTTCTTCAGTACTATAACAATTGGAATAGTCATAAGACTTTATAGCATGACTCTTTCGTGAAAGGTTTACCAGCCTGAAGTCACTAGACTTTAAACTCCATTCTATTTTGGGGGATCACGTGGCTAAGTGGGTAAGACGCTGGCTCGCTAGCCTGGAGGTCGGGTGTTCATCCAGATTTTCTGGAGTGATTTCGCCTTGTCAGTGATGAAGAACAGAGGGCCTGACAAGGACAGCTGTCTAGTCATTCGGATGGGACGAAAAACCGAGGTCTCGTGTACACATTGGCGTGCACGTAAAAGATCCCTTGGCAGTTGGAATTCGATATAAGAGTAGGCTGTAGCGCCGCTGCCCGGGCAAAATTTCCCTCATAGCACACTGTATGGCGTAGGCCCGTCTTCATTAGCCCAGTTTAGGAGCAGAACAGTAGGACGTTAAACCCCATTTCATTTCATTTCATTTCCATTCTATTCTGGGGTTTTGGGTGGCTAATTGGTTAACGTGTGGCGGTTTGATCATAAGTTTTGTCATTGAGTCAAGTGATGTGGTTTCGATTGCCTGCTTGTACGTAACAAGGAGTAGGTTCGTCTGTCCAACCTTGTGGGTTTTCTCCGGGTTCTCCGGTTTCCTCTCACTGCTAAAGACCCCTATGTGCTGGCAAATTATTGAAATAAAATTGAACCATATGTTTGTCCCAAAATTACATAGTTTGTGTCGAGAGGACGTTAAAAACCATTTCTCTCTCCATCTCTCTTCCATTCCATTTTTGAATAATTTTTCTCTTAATGTAATAATAAATATCCATTCAATGCCTATATAAATCTTTTTTGAATAATTAACAGAAATCAGAGTTATCATGATACTGCTAATCGTCGTGCTTCTAAAGTAAAAATTACAACAACCAAAAAACAAATACCAATGGGCAAATTCCAAACTAAACTACATGAATTTACGAGATACATTGAAAACTACAGACTACAAATCTTCTGGTTTACGTTATTCAACTTGGTTAATTTTGGTATCTTCATTGAGAGAGCTTATTGTAAGTTATAATCTAATTTATTTATGTATATATGCCCACATTTTCATATGGACGTATTATGCCGTCACAATTTTTATCCGATTTTGATGGGGGCCCCCCACCAGAAAATTTTATGTACAACTGACTCCTATAAATGTGTTTTGTGAGCATTTCAGAAGAAGAAACTGCAGTAAGGCAATTCCCCCTCAGCACATCCCTGCACAAACAGATATTAAAGCGGCGTTTACACGATACAATCAATCCATACAATCATCGGATGCAACTGTCGCATCAGACCAACTGATCAGACAAATGGTGGGATAGACGGCTTATTGCATGGATAGGATCAGTCTATTCTCATCCGACCAACTCATGCAATCAAAGTGCGTTATATTAGACAACGTCATACGCCGTATGACGTCACATCTGACTTGGCAACCAGAATTCCTGATTAAAGATGTCTTCTTCTGTCGCTTCGAGGTTTTTGATGTCCTTTAAAATGGATCTGAACCTATCCTGGACTGAATTCGAATATCTAATAACTCTGTATGGGAAGCAAGGTCTTTGTGGAACCCGCGGCATCAAGACGGGGATGAGAAGTGACGTCTTACTGCCATTTTATTCAGTTACTAAGAAGGAATATATGTTGCCATACAACGAATAGAACCATTGTATGGTGTAAACGGTCGTCCAATATGTTGCATCCAACGGTTGTATGGATTGGTTGTATCATGTAAACGTGGCTTTAGACTCCAAATCAGTTGCAACCCCATGGCAGCATGGCGACCCTGATATATTTTTAAGTGTTTTCACACATAAAAACTGTCAATTTAACTCTTTTTTTTAAGGCTTTAAATTTTTTGATATTCTTTGAAATTCTATTTTTATGTCATGTTGAACAGGTAAATTCTTGGTCAAGTCTATCATTAAGTTGACCAATACAAGAGAATTGTACTGACCTACTCTCAATTGTCAATTTGATGTCTGCTTTCTACAGAAATTGTTACAATGGTAATTCAAGTAAAATCTGTCATGTCCATAATATTTCTCCAGTGAAGACTTAGTATATAATGTTTCTATTATTTAATTGTAGATTATTCTGTTGAAAGAGAACATGCTGGTTTACGTCGACTTGCTGGTTATGGTGTTAGTGTTACACGTGGAGCTGCTAGTGTACAGATGTTTCTATATGCCAGTTTGTTGGTCACCATGAGTAGGAATACACTCACGTTTTTTAGAGAGACTTTCTTACATCGATTTATTCCATTTGATTCGTTCCATGCCATGCATAAATATACAGCTGTAATAGCACTAATAGCTACAAGTGAGTCATTTACCTATTTTACAGAGATATTAATATACTTGGTGCATTGGGACTGTGCAGTACAGTGGATGCCTATGGGTTTTGTTTGTATGTAGTGTGGTCCTCCTTCATATACTATAAGCTAAATGAAATGAAATTCGGGTGTAACAATCTACTGTTCACGACAGGGTGAATAAAGATGGGGAAACGTCATACAGTATGCTATGAGGGGAATTTTTCCTGAACAACGATGCTATGGACTACTCTTATATCAAATTCCAACTGCCAACTTTTTGTGCACACCAATGTATACACAGGACCATAGTTTTTCGTTCCATACGAATGACTATACTTTGTCCCTTGCCATGCCGTCTGTCCTACACCACTGACCAGGGGGAACCACGTCGGAAAATCCTGGTGAATTTTTGGGGGGCAACACAGAGATCGAACAATGCTCCATGTTAGCGAATCAATGTCTTACTCCATGAGGCTCCTCGACTTCCCATATACTGTAAGAGGCGTGTCTGATCTAATGTCAAACATCATAACTTTTGAGATGGCTGTGACCTGAATAGAATGTTAGTTTGTTGTGTAATGGTTTGAAATTGATTTCATTATGTCCACTTAAGAGACTATTTAACCTACCATTTTTGATTTGATTTCTGAAATATTTTGTAAGTTATGAACAGCCTGATGTCTGTCAGCCATTGTGTCTTTTAAATAACAATTTGATTGTTGCTTTGTTTCAGTTATGCATGTAATTGGTCATGCTATCAATTTGTATCATATTTGTACTCAAGCATCATCAGATCTCAACTGTTATTTTAGAGAATATTTTAGAGCGTAAGTATTCTTTTATTACGAGTGATTGTTATTGGACAATTTGACTTTACTATATACAGAAAGAATCCCCCAAATCCTGAAAAATAAATAGAAAGTGCCGAATAAAGACTGAAAAATACTGAACAAAGTTCCAATTCTTCCCAGACTTCACTTGTATTGGCTCATTTGGGCACCCAGTACCCAGTAAGGCTTCCTGAGACCAGATCTGAGCACTTCCTGTGTGAGCCTATTAAACAGACACCTTTTGGAACCCATCAAGTCCGGTCAGGTCAGGGGAAGTGGTTTTAGGACAATTACCCCCATAGGCCTTTCATAAAAATTGCAGGGCAATGAAGGTGGCTTCCTCCCACTGCTAGAGACTCCTACGTGCAAGCGAATTATTGAAATAAAATTGAACCATATGTTAGTCCCGAAATGACCTAGTATGTGTCGAGTGGACATTAAACCCCATTTGTATCTCTCTCTCTAATAAGATTGAGTCAATGTATTACAAATTTAACACAGGATCTTCTATATATAATGTTTGGAATAGCTAGTGATACTATATCACTGGTTTCTTCATTGGATTTGATATGTGTCCTGTGAAATTTCTTTTGATTAATGTAATGCATGTATGAATATTAATATGGTTATACTCTGGCAGTGTTGATAAAAGAATTTATTAGACAAATCAGTCTTATCCCCAAAATTATTGCAGGTATATCTGTTATAACCTACCAGTGACAGGTAAAATGAATGAATGTATATCTTTATATATAATTTGAAATAAAGCCATTGCTTATCAATATGCCTACTTATATCTTCTGTTCATAATATTTTAAAACAATTTGTGGTTTCAGTACTGATGTCTTGTCCACCTTTCATTACTGGGCCTACACCACAGTCACCGGTAGGTTAATATTATTAGTTTGTTTGCCATTATCCCTATTTTTGAGCATTTTTACACATAAAATCTATAAGTGTTAACTCCATTTATTGTGGTTTACTTGTTTGAATTCTTATATTATGGCATGCATGTTGACAGACAGGCTGTCCAGCCAGTCAGTCACAACAGGTTCTACAGCCAGTCAGTCAAGCAAGGCAGGATTTTCAGCCAATCACTAAAGACAGGCTTCCCAGCCAGTCAATCAAAACAGGCTATAAAGCTAGTCAGTCAAGACAGGATCTCCAGACAGTCGCTAAAGACAGATTCTCCAGTCAGTCAGTCAAGACAGGCTCTACAAATAGTCAGTCAAGACAGTATCTCCAGGCAGTCACTAAAGACAGGTTCTCCAGCCAGTCAATTATAATTGAAATGAGAGCCCTGTTATACCCCGACTTGCCTCAGGGCTCACACTGTCGGTCATCAAAGTAGCAATTTGCAATAAAAAATGAAAGTGGCAATTAAAATTTAATTTGGGGGATAATGTTTTGGAGAACTTTGGATTCTTTTTGAGATGTGGCACAAAAAATCTTAAAATTCCAATCATATATATCCTAGATTGACCAGTTCATTGAATGTCAATCACAACCATGGTCACCCTACTATAAACTAATCAACAGGCTGATAACCCCACGGATCGTGTCATTGAGTAATACAATCGAATTGTCTTGGATTAATGATTATAGTTCACTGATATTTGCCAATGATAGGCCTATCTAATCGTAGTAAATCATCTCATAATTTGGCTAATGTATTATGTAAAGACAGATTTTGTAAGTTGTTGGATATTGTATGTACCAGTAATTGTTTTATAATAGGACTACTTGATCAAGGAATTAAATCATCACGTCTTTGGTTTTTTTCACACATTTTTGGCAGATAAAATATTTCATTTGGCGGAAATAAATATGTACATTTTTTATATAATGATGAAATATTTATCCATTTTGGCGGAAAAAAATGGAAAGCCAGTGTGAGCCATGCTTATTCCTATTCTTTTTCAGCGTCTAAACAAAAAACAAATGAACCCTTGACAGTTTGAATTGAATTCGAATTAAGTGTAGGCTGTACGTCCCTGTCTGTGCAAACTTTTCCTCCTGGAACACTGCATGACAAATGTTCCATCAGATGGAGCAGAAAAATATGCATTAAACCCTATTTCATTCCATTTTATTATTTGCTATTTTTCAGGAATAACTGGAATAATTCTCACTGTAATTATTATCATTATGTATGTGTTTGCTACTGAATATGGACGTCGCCATGTGTTTAAAGCCTTTTGGTTCACACACAATTTCTACGTCTTATTATATATCTTTATGATATTACACGGTGCTGGCCGTTTGGTACAGGATGGTCTATTTCCGTGGTTCTTCCTCGGTCCTATGGTTATATTTGTTCTGGATAAGATGATTAGTTTAAGTAGAAATAAAGTGGAGATAACTGTCAAGAAAGCTCAAATTCTGCCTTCAGGTACGTCGCCCAAGATTTTTAATTTCCTTACCCATTACGAGTTGTTCCGTTTAAATTTTCCTGAGTGGATTGGAATGCCAGATTCTGTACATTCCCTCTGCCAACCTTGTGTTGTTGTTCTTAGTGCTTAACGTCCACTTCCACCGAAGTTGATATCGCAGACAAGTTGTCTTATTTTCATTTTTTTATTAGCTTAGCGCACGCGCATGGGTCTTTTCTCTAGGAGTAAACTGGAGTACCGAGAGAGTAGACCCACGAGGATGAGAATGCGCCCGTTCTCCAAGTCACATATGCTCACACCAGGGATCTAATACTTTTATTGAGTTTGGTCTTCTAAAATTTGGGGTTGGATGGCTGAATGGTTAGCGCGCGCGCTGTATCATAAAGTCTGTCATTGAGTCGACTGGCGTGGTTTCGAATCCCCTCTTGTAAGTGGCAAGGAGTAGGGTCGCCTGTCCAACCTCGTGGGTTTTCTCCGGGGCCTTCGGTTTCCTCCCACTGCTAAAGACCCCTACGTGCAAGCGAATTATGTAAATAAAATTAAACCATATGTTAGTCCCGAAATGACCTAGTTTGTGTCGAGTGGACGTTAAACCCCATTTCTCTCTCTCTCTCTCTGTTCTAACATCACAATTAGAATCAGGGTATGCAATGAACTTCAACAGATAATCCATGGACTTTATAATGTGGACATAATATATAAGTATAAACTTTATTGTTGTTATTTTGAGCAGGCATGTGGTAGTTGGGAAGATAACATCCTCCCTATCAGCTTTTTGAAAAATTCAGCAGTTTTGGCCATCTTTAATTACAATTTACCATACATGTGAATTTTATCAATTGTGTGTTTCAGGTGTTACAAATCTTGTATTCAAGCGACCTTTGAACTTTGATTATAAATCTGGACAATGGGTAAGAATAGCTTGTTTGAATTTGGGAGAAAGTGAATATCATCCATTCACACTGACATCTGCTCCAAACGAAGAGAATCTTAGTTTACATATCCGAGCTGTTGGACCTTGGACTTCCAATATCAGACGAGTATATGATCCTAACAATGTAATCGACAATAAATTTCCAAAGGTGAGTGCTCGTATTATTCAGTAATGCTTTTATTATTGTTCAATAAGTCTATACAATGCAGGCCAGAATAATAAAAATGTTGTCATTCATCACCTTTCAATCACACTAAATGTTGAATATGCATATCGATTTAGCAGTTTTATTGGCTTTCTGTAATGGGTAGTTTCTTTCTGTAATGTGCAGTTTCTTTCTGTAATGTGTAGTTTATATATGTAATGTGTAGTTTCTTTCTGTAGCATGTAGTTTCTTTATGTAAAGTGGTGGACACACAAGCTGAATGATTCAACCGAATCTCATTCGGCTGCAATTCGGCGCAAAATGTGTCCACCGCTTAATGGGCAGTTTCTTTCTGTAACATGTAGTTTCTTTATGTAATGTGTAGTTTCTCTGAAATAATCTCAACATAATTTATTTATTTAATTAATTCAATCACATGTTGATGAGTAGGGTTAGGTAATGGTTTATTTTTATCGTTTATTTCAGCTGTATCTAGATGGTCCATTTGGTGAAGGTCATCAAGATTGGTATCGTTATCCAGTAGCTGTATTAGTTGGGGGTGGAATTGGTGTCACACCTTTCGCTTCTATTCTCAAAGATTTGGTTTCAAAATCTAGAATGAAAGTTAAATTCCCTTGCCAAAAGGTAATGATATTTTTTGAAAAATACAGATGACGTACTAAAGTTGCATTATGTAAAAACTAAATCTGCCAATTACGGGTCTTTATTTTAGCTTCAAAAATTATATAAACTACTATTTAGACATTTATTCACATGACAAACCAATAATCAACTCTCGACCATCGGAGGGAGGAGATTGAAACAGACTAAACCACGAATCGCCATTTAATGATTTAATTTAAAAATGGTGAAGCTGGTCTAAGTCTTAAATAACAAGTACTGTTGTTACGATAATTAATAAACAATCTTGTCAAAACTTCAAATAGTGATAACTTCACTCAGAATAAAGTAATTTGAATAAAATTTACAATATATTCATTTGGCATTATCTATTATTGAACTATTATAGCAAAAACGTCCAGCTCTTTATCTAAATCTTACATAATGCGTCTTTAATGTGTTGACATTAAAAAACTGGATCTTTACCCTGTTAAATTATTTTCATGGCAGGACTATATAGATATGAATATGTAATATTGTAGGTATATTTCCTGTGGGTTACAAGAACGCAGAAAAGTTTTGAATGGATGACTGATATTATTAGAGAGGTGGAAGGTGGAGATATTAATGGATTGGTGTCAGTACATATCTTCATCACTCAATTTCAACAAAAATTTGACTTCAGGACAACCATGTTGGTAAGAAGTATACATATTTATAACTGATGAATCGCATTTCCCTGCCTATGTGTTTAGCTGTACGAAAACATTTTTTGTACACTTTGCAAATAAATGATGAATTTGGTTGAAATCTGAGATACAGGGTTCCCGCGGTCCTTGAAAATCCTTAAATTTAAAATTTAATTTTCAAGGTCTTGAATATCCTTGAATTTCACGGAAATAGGAAATGTTCCTTGAATTTCAGTTGAGATCCTTAATTTTGTTTCAAATGTCTTCAATTCCTTTTAAATATGAGATTATAACGATAGTTGGTAATGTTTTGGTTATTTTTAAGATGAAAAATTGTAACTTTAGGCTAAAAAATGTCCTTGATAATCCTTGAATTTGGCGTATATTTATCCTTGAATATCCTTGAAAAAATGTTTGACGAAGCCGCGGGAACCCTGAGATATCACAGATACTATGAGTTACTTACCAAATATCAAATTTAATTACTGCAATGCATTTAGAAACTGACAGACAGGTATAATTCATTTGTAATCAAATTTTTTACAAGCAAAAACAAAAGCCCTGAACTACTTACAACTTAAAATAAATTATTAATATAGAACCACATCAAATATTCCACTGTCCTAGCAAAATTCAATCATTCATAAACTAAAGAAATGAGGAAAGGGTGCTTGTAAAAATTTCAAAAAGTGAAATCCCTTTTTATTATACGTCCACATTCATAATGTGAACGTATTATGCCGTCGCCCCTGTCTGTGTGTGTGTGTGTGTGTATGTATGTATGTGTGTGTGTGTGTGTGTGTGTGTGTGTGTGTGTGTGTGTGTGTCTGTGGTTCGCCTACAGGGCGCAATTCTTCATGGATTTTCTTCAAACTTGGTATACTTATTCCTTATACCCCAAGGAAGATCCCTATTGTTTTTGGTGCATGCCCGACCCCCCGGGGCAGAGCCACGCCCATTTCTAGTATTTGTTTGTTTGTCGTCTACAGGCCACATTTCTTAACTAATAATCTTGAAACTTTGCATACACATTCTTTGTACCCTAAGGAACATCCCTATCGTTTGGGGTGCATGCCCAACCCCCAGGGGCAGAGCCACGCCCATTTTCTTTTCGTGTGTCTTTGTGTCGCCTACAGGGCGCAATTCTTACTGGATTTTCTTCAAACTTGGTATACTTATTCCTTATACCCCAAGGAAGATCCCTATTGTTTTTGGTGCATGCCCGACCCCCAGGGGCAGAGCCACGCCCATTTCTAGTATTTGTTTGTTTGTCGTCTACAGGCCACATTTCTTAACTTATAATCTTGCATACACATTCTTTGTACCCTAAGGAACATCCCTATCGTTTGGGGTACATGCCCAACCCCCAGGGGCAGAGCCACGCCCATTTCCCATTTTCTTTTCGTGTGTCTTTGTGTCGCCTACAGGGCGCAATTCTTACTGGATTTTCTTCAAACTTGGTATACTTATTCCTTATACCCCAAGGAAGATCCCTATTGTTTTTGGTGCATGCCCGACCCCCAGGGGCAGAGCCACGCCCATTTCTAGTATTTGTTTGTTTGTCGTCTACAGGCCACATTTCTTAACTTATAATCTTGCATACACATTCTTTGTACCCTAAGGAACATCCCTATCGTTTGGGGTACATGCCCAACCCCCAGGGGCAGAGCCACACTTTATATACTTATTCTTTGTACCCTAAGGAACATTCCTATCATTTGGAACATCCTTATCATTTGGAGTAGGCCCTACATGCCCAACCCCCAGGGGCAGAGCCATGCCAATTTTCTTTTTGTGTGTCGCCTACAGGCCACAATTCTAAATCGATCATCTTGAAACTTAAAATACATATTCCTTATACCCTGAGGTTGGTCCCTTTTCTTTTGGGTGCATGCCCGATTTTGGGGAGATAACTCCATTTAACAATGTCAAACTCCATTTAACAATGTCAAACTGACGTGATATGCTTTAAATAGTTGTCACCCATGTAACATTCGGGTTTTTGTGAGTGGTTTCTGAGAGCCTTTGTTCAACGTTATGTTTATAAATTTGAAATAAGATATTGTTAATATCCTTAAATGACATTTAGAAGTAGAGGTTAATATTCATAACAACACAACTTTATAGATTTACTACTTCTTGGTTTATTACATGTAAAAATATGGCACGCTTCACGATGATCCCTATTGTTGTTTTTGTGTGGTGGCGGGGGGGGGGGGGGATTGCCCGACCACCAGGGGAAGTCACATCCATTTTCTTTCTTTGTGTGTCCGTGTATTGCCTATAGGCCACAATTCTTAATGGATCGTCTTGGAACTTGGCATATGTATTCCTTATATCTGTTGATTTTTGTACATACCCCGATCGCCAGGGGCAGAGCCACACCCAATTTTTGTGTTTAGCGCACATAAGGAATATAATTATACCCTTAGGACGACAAGTATTGATTTTGATGCATGCCCCCCCTCCCCCTTCCGCTTTTTGGGCGGTGTCACACCTAAATTTTGTTAATATTTTGTCTGTAAATGATATACAGGTTACAATTATTAACAGATCCATCATAAGGTTGTACCTATTTATATTGGTCCGTGTCCAACCCCAAGGGGCAGATCCACGCCCAGTTTTTGTGTTTTTGTCTACACTCTGGAATTCTGAATGGATCATCTTGGAACTTGGCAAATTTATTACTTATACTGTAAGGGTAGGAACTATTTATTTTGGTGCATGTCCCGACCCCCAGGGGTGTGGTACCACGCCCACTTTTTGTTAATTTTTTTTCTGTAAATACACCACAGGTTGCAATAATTAACAGGTTTGTTCATTTCAATAACAGGGTGGTACCTATTTATATTGTTCCGTATCCAACCCCCAGGGGCAGAGCCACGTCCAATTTTTGTATTCATCGTCTACAGGCTGCAATTCTGAATGGATCATCTTGGAACTTTGGATATTTATTCCTTATACCGTAAAGACGGCTGCAACTATTTAGTCTGTCAATTTGGCAAAACAAACCCAACGCCTAGCCTTCTTTGCCTCTTGTAATATTACAGTCACAGCCATTTCATATTTCATTCTGTTCATTTTAAAAAGTACCATATAAATCAAAGCAGGAATGTGGACGTATATTGCAGCGTTAGTGATGCTCTTGTTTACACTTAACCACGGACTTACAGCATTTTATGTTGTCTCATAATATTGATAATACTTTCATTAACCATTTAACCATCGGATTGTTTTGGAGTTTTGACTACGAACAGAATATAGTTAAGAATATATTCTGTAACTCTTTAAATTTAAGAATAAATCATACAAATTGGAAAGATCTTGAACTCCTCTATTCAGTGGTATTAAATATTTAACATTTTTTGTCATAACCGTCTGTTAGGACTCATTTTTAAACTTATGAATATGCAAAACGTTCCATATGTAACCTCTGACCGTTAAAGGGTTAATAACTATTATTTGAACAACAGTCATAACATATTTCAATTCGATATATATTTGTCTTTTTTCAGTATATTTGTGAAAGACATTTCCAGAAAATTGCTGGACAGAGCTTGTTTACTGGTCTCCGTGCTACAACTCATTTTGGACGTCCTAAATTTCAAGACTTTCTCCAGACTCTTGCCTTTGAACATGAAGGGGTAAGGTTTATAAAAGAAATTGTTTCAGTTAATGCACATGATCTGACTGGCTGGAGAACTTACCCGTCAGTCAACTTACATTTGACGCAATCAGAATTTCAAGCATATTAACTGTTATATATTCATTTACTTCTGTCATCAGCTTGATATTGGCACGCGCTCTACAAACAACATTACCATGTGTACTACGTCACTGTTCTATCTACACTGTTTTGTACCACTTAATACATGCACCATGTTCCTTTCTATGGTGGAATAAACATCATGTCTTGCACTAATATAGACTTTAACTTCATACCCACAGCTTTTTAACATACACAATATTAACCTTAATGTATAGTTTTTATGTCTAAAACCATTTAAGAATCTATAAAAATGACCCCTACTTTGTTGTATCCTTATCATTATTAAAACAACTTTAACATTAAAAATAATTTATTTCAGGTTCAACAAATAGGAGTATTTAGTTGCGGTCCACCTCCCATGACCCACAATGTGGAAAATGCCTGTACTTCATTGAATAAAATTGAAGGACCAACTTACACTCACCACTATGAAAATTTCTAAAATATTTTGGTTTGAATTGGGGCCTTTAAGGCTTTGGCACTCAGCCTTAGATTTATTTATCCTTTTAGAGGCATTTAGTAACTGGATAGAGCAATAAACTATAACACATACTTATGGAAGAACAATTACTGATTTATTTGGGCGACGTTTCGAAGAGTATTCTCTCAAGAACAATTGCTTGAAAACGTTGAGAGAATACTCTTCGAAACGTCGCCCAAATAAATCAGTAATTGTTCTTCCATAAGTATGTGTTATAGTTTATTTATTTATCCATGATGGGTTTATTATAAAATAGAATCACGTAGTCTTCAGTTGAATATAGCATCTTTTTTTTATTTGTGTACATTCACACTAAATCTCATTATGATCAATTATTATTAGTTTTTCAGTATTGTATGGTTTTGAACAAAGTACATTGTATTTATTATAAAAGATTACCATAACATGGTATAAGGCAGGGATATATTTGCATCTATGTGTAGCTTTTTTCATTATATTCAGCAGTCAGTGGTGAGTTGTGCCTTAGGAATACTGGTCAGATAGACATTTTTCTACATGACTGGCCAAACTATGAAATCAGAATTAAACATACATTATGCAAGAGCTAAATCTGCCTATTGCAGGTCTTTCTTTAGGCCTGAAAAGTTATCTAAATTATTAACTTATCCAGACCATAATCAACTCTTGAGATGTCAACTCTAGCCTGCGATATTTATTGGATTATGGGGAATATATTTAGTATCAGATATACTTTAATAAAAATTAGATTAAACTAAATGTCCTTTATATATTAGTTATACCTATTTATCTCACAGATTTAATGCTGAAAAAAAAAGAGCTAACTTAATGGTCAATAAATGGCAAATGTAACTTTCAGACTTCTGAATCAACCATAATCTAAAAATCCATGTACAATTTGTATATACAACTTCAACTCTGTACATTTTATTTCGTTTACATCTTTTAAACTTTAATGCAACAAACAAACTTTTTTTTATTTGAATATTTTATCATAGCGTATAATACAATTCTCACTTGCTACTTTCATTGTACATATATAGTTAACAATATTTGTTTTAAAAAATGTATAAATTTTTACTACGTAATAGTATATTCATAGAACTCTTTTTATTGTATATTTTGATATATGAATTTTCATTTACAGATTAAGTAATTCTGTTAAACCACTTACATGTATATTAAAGCTTATGTGTGTAATTCTGTTAAACCACTTACATTTATGTTAAAGCCTATGTGTGTAATTCTGTTAAACCACTTACATGTTTAAAGCCTATGTGTGTAATTCTGTTAAACCACTTATATGTATATTAAAGTCTATGTGTGAAATTCTGTTAAACCACTTACATGTATATTAAAGCCGCTAGTTGTGTCATTTGCATTTTGGGGGAAATTTTCGAAAGCTTAATCCATACTAAAATGTACTCAGATAATTATCTAACACATAATTATGAAAACAAATTCAAAATATTTTGTGCGGATAATGTGCTGGCTTGGATTCAATCAGATTAAAAAGACAGGTCCATCAAAAGATTTCCATCATGAATCTCAAAGATGGAACTGCCTTGTGTTATAACAATAATGGCTTTAAACCTAAACAGACCTAACATTTATTTAGTCATAAAAAAAATTCAAAAGGATAGATTAAATAATTGTTATTTAATAAAAGTGATAGAAGATAAATTTTGACCACATTTTTTCTTGCTTCGGTTTTCGTCTGTTTTGACCATATCCGGTTTATATCATCTGCAAATAATGCTGAATGTTGCCAACTTTTCAATTCAGCATGTAAATACTGACCGGAACTAACCCATTTTTATACTGAGATCAAACTATCACAATCCTTTGAATGACATTCAGAGACTTTGTTCATTATGCTTAATATTTTACATGATTATCATATAATGTAATATGTATTTACAACTAGATCAAAGTATATGTGATAGATTGTAATTTTTAAAATAAAATGTATTTACTATTTACCCTTTAATTATACAGTCTGTAGTTAATTGTAACATGGGCAAGCAGGTAAAAAAAGACACATGAGCAGTTAGAATAGGAAGCAGTTGACAGGAATGCTGCTGGTCAGGGTCAGACAAAATTTAGCTTTGACCATCAAGTTCAATGTTATTTCCATTCAATATTGTCTTGATATGTCTACAGCATATAGAGCCTAAATAGGATTTTTGAAGCACATCAAACAGCTTAATTAATCTAAATGAAATGTCTGTTCTTTAGGTTAAATTTCTCATTCCTAGTTAAACTAGGCAACACTGAGGCTGATGTCCCCCGCCGAAATCCCCCCAAAAAACAGATGACACAGTTAATAAATTGCACATTATCTTTTTCAAAAGTATCAAATAATCAAACTGATTATCTATGCTTAGTCCAAGCATAAAATGGTCACTATCAAACTCAGGTTTTGAAGTACCTGTTAGTGAGTGAAACTATACACTAAGTTTCATCACTCTCCATCAGTTAGAATCAAATTTATTTTGTCCCAAAGCATCGACCAAAGAAATGGCTTACCTCTGCTTAGCTTTAATGGGAAATATTAATCATTGAAATCAGTCAAGACATTCACCTAATGAACATCTACACCCCAATTAAAAGCAGAATTGTTATGTTCCAAAGTTTTGACCAATCAAATTGCTTATCGCTACTTAGCCTAAGCAGAAAATTCTCATCATCGAACTTAGTCAATGTATTGATATAATGAATCTATACTCAGAATTTCATCGCTTTCACCCAATTAGAACCGCAGTTATCATGTTCCAAAGTCTCAACCAATCAAATTGCTCATCTCTGCTTAGCCTTAGTGGAAAATGCACATGAACGAACTATGTCAAGGCATTCACGTAATAGACACCTACAACAAGTTTGAACATTCTACCTCAATTAGAAGGAGAGTTATTGTGTTCCAAAGTCTCGACCAATCAAACTGAAGTCTCTACTTTGGCTAAGCAGAAAATGCTCAGCAACGAACCTTGTTAAGGTATTGATGTAATAAAACTGTACATGAAGTTTCACCACTATCACTCAATTAGAATCAAAGTTGTTGAGCTCCAAAGTCTCGGCCAATCAAATTACTTATCGCTTTGCTTACCCCTGAGACAAAAATGCTCTACACCAAGTTCCATCACTTTCACTTAATTAGAACTAAAGTTATCATGTCCCAAAGTATCAACCAATCATTTTCTGCATACCCTCAGCAGAAAATGCTCATCTTTGAATTCCATCAAGGCATTCACCCAATCAATGCCTACACCAAGTTTGAACATTCTAACTCAATTCGAAGGAGAGTTATTGTGTTCCAAAACGTCACTTCAACAGTTGACACTACCCCAACTGATATGTGATGAAAAAACATTTAGACACTATACATCTTTGTAGTTTTATTAGCAATATACATATAAATTTGATGCATGACTACATGAATCATTTTGAATAATACTAAAGAAAACAAAGATACTGTACTAAACGTAAAAGGCAACTATTAATTAATTGCAAAAAAACATTTAGCACCAAACTTCGAAGACTATTCGAAGAATCTGAAACATAACAATCTTTCTAGCACTATCACTAAAAATGATAAACCCCCACAAACCTGTTAAGATTTTATTTTTATAACTGAGATAACAGAAGGTATATTATTAAATTAAAAAAGACAGTTTCTTTCCATTTCTCAATAAATACCAGTAAATTCAATGATTTACTGGGGTTCAATCCCACTGTTGACCAACAAAGTTCCTCAGGATTTTCCGAGCAGGTTCCTTCCCTTTGCCAGTGGCGCCAGTGACGCAGGGCCTGGCAAGGAATAGTGTCAAGTCGTTAGGATGCGACCAAAAATAAGATCCTATGTACACGTTGGCATGTACATAAAAGAATCCTGAACAGTTGAAATTCAATTGAACAATTGCCGAAAACACGACCATAGCCCACTGCACAGCATTTGCCTGTCTTCATTCGCCTCATTAGTGCTGAAGAGCATTTCATTTCTAATTTACTGCATCTTTGTCAAAACTCCTCATTTCAAAAAGAAGGTTATTGTTATATTGCATCAATCTGGATTGAAAGCCTAGTGAAATTTTCTGGAGTTTAAAAGTGTACAGTACTAAGAAAGAATTCTAAAATAATCTTTGAATATTTTAATATTCCATAACATTGCGTATTTACAAGGATAATGAAATTAATTTTTTAAAAATACATATTTACATTATTATTTAAAATTTGTGTATAAGAATGTTCTGTATGTCTGATTAGATATATAACCAATGTGAATAACTCCAGATAGTTATTAATGCTCATTTCTGAAGTTGATGTTCATAAACTTTATTTAATTCAACCATCTTCTCGGAAGCAAAGCTCTCTGAAATCTGAAAGAAAATGAAACTTCATTGAAACCTGTGTAAAGATTGTCTGTATGTGTAGTGCATAAGTAATCAATAAGGAATATAGGGCCTACCGCTATTGACACAGTACATTGGATATCATTATATATAACCAACTGCGTGGTGTATATGCCTTCCAGTAGCAACATGTCACCTCAGATAAATTCTATTCCCATTATATACGATAAGTGCACAGTTGTTTGGTGAATCAAAAACAGTATGTGTGGTTTAATGGTCGAGAGCAAGACCCCAGATTAAACGAAAATTTGTCATGTTGCTGTACTTAGGAGAGATTTGATTGAACAGGTAGAATAGACACACTCCCTTAAAAGCTCAAGTATCGCAAGTCAATCCAGCAATGGCCAGAGAGGGATTTCTCAGGTCATTGCTTCAGGAATATGCCAAGTTTGGTGAGTCAAAAACAGTATTTGGGATTATATCCCCCCATCCATCACCATTAAAATGTCACCAAAAAAGGACCATTAGCCCTGGTTCTGTTCTTGCAACATTTTCATATTTTGAAATCACAATATAATGGGTAAAGATAGGTTGCCAGGCAATGAAACATATGCCCACAGCAGCTATATCGTCCGGGCAGTCAACAAGAGTTGTCACATATTTTTACTTTTTTCAGTAATGAAACATTTATAATACATTAAAATCTGATTAAGAGTAACAACTCATTAGAATTTGTTCTGCCTCATGCTAACATTTAGTATAGGAAACTTTAGCTGTTCAAGTCATAAAGATTCATTGAAAATCAATATACTTGTTCGTCTCAAGACCTTAAACTCTGTGTATCAATCTGAAGTCAATCAGATATTAACTTTAGCCTCTAGAGCGTCCACAAGATTTTTTAAAGTGATCAAGGGCCATAACTCTTGCAAAAATTATCGGAAATCGCTGAAAATCAATAGGATTCTTCGTCTCATGACCTTAAACACTGTGTATCAATTTAAAAGCAATCAGAAATTAACTTTAGCCTCTAGAGCGTCCACAAGATTTTTCAAAGTAATCAAGGGCCATAATTCTGGCAATATTAATCGGACATCGCTGAAAATCAATAGGCTTTTTCGTCTCATGACCTTAACCCTTCCTGAGCTAACCACTTCATACCCATAGAGGGCTATTGAGTAAAAATCAAGCTTTAGACCCTGTTGTGAAAAACCATGCATACCTTGAATATGAATGCGACTACAACTGTAAGAATAGTATAGGTTTTTGGGGAAAAGTCACTAAATTGTGATAATAATGGTTTTTTCTAAAAATAATAAAATGTAAACGAGCAGTATTGACAATTTTGCGGTAGGCAACACACATATAAAAATCATCAGTAACAAGTTTTTATTAACAATAAAATAAAAATAAATTAAATATTTGGAAAATAACAATCGAAATATTCACATTAGGGTTGCCATGGTAACCAATTTGACCATATCGTATACGTCTATATTTTTTGTGTCTTTACTTTGTGACAAACATCTGAATTTTCATCACAAGAAGAATCCCCACTAATAGTATAGTCACTACCCCAATCCAACTTTTTACGACCACATTTCAACGTGGGCGTATAAAAAATGAATCCATATACCTGCTTCCATTTGTCATGATATTCTTCTATTTTATCATTTGTTTCCATTATTTTCATTTGTTTTGATTTCAGAGCACCTTGTAATAATCTATTCTGTGACTCTAATGTTTTTAACATTTCTCTTAATTCATCTCTTTGTTTAATTTTAACAGGAAGAAGGTGTGCTTGTATATCAACTTCAGGCTCACCACTAGGTCTCCTACAAATAAATAAATCATATTTATATTCACTATCTTTAAATTCAAAATATATTTCTATGAAGTCTTGAGTACTAACAATTGTGCAATAAAATCGCACCAAATTGTGCTACTTGATAGATTTTGGAGTCGAACAATTGTTTTCAACCACTTAAAATTTGAGCTTTTGAATCACCTTGAAGACATCTTGTATGTTGATATCAGAAGACAGCCACATCTTTTAGATGAATTCCTGACACTAGTCCTCAATACTTACCTAACTCTCACATATGGCTGTGAAAAGCTGGTTATCGATCAGTTATTGCACATGCCACCGCAACTTTGTAAACTCTCTCATTGTTTCTTTAATAAGCATTTAGTAATTGAAATTATTAACACAATTTTATGGATACACAATTACTGAGTTTAACACTAAGCAAAGTTTCGACGAGGAAACTCTTCTTTATCAAATAGTAAGTGCAGGGGGACTGCACCACACAAAATTTACACAAAAACAAATACACGGACAAGACATCATACTCAGGAAAACACAGACCGACACTTCAAAAAAAGTGAATGGATCCGGGGGCTAGCCGTAAGCGTCCACTGCGCTGTACAGTCCTGGGTGTGTAGTGACACAGACTTCGCTCAAATTTGAAAACAATCAGGAATACAACCCAAAAAAAGAGTCATGATCTGCTATATGCTACACGAAAACAAATGATCATTTATTGCCCATGCCACCGCAACCTTGTTATTGAGATTTCCGTTTCAAACTTACTGGACATTGTTTGGCTGGTCATAAGGAGGAGTCCTATCGAAATGCATGAATGATACAATATTTCAGATTTATTGCTCTATTTTTAGTTTTATGGCTAGTTATTACCCATGTGGATATATTTTTATATAATTTGGATAAGGGACCTATCAATGTACATCAAAATGAGAAGTGAAATCAATAAGAAATGTACCCACCAGACATTACCCAGACTTTTATCAGAATTTTTACTGAGTGTATCCAACTGCTTCAATAATTCTGGTAATCTCTCCTCTTTATACATACATTCTAATTCTTCCTATAAAAATAAAATACAGGTCAAGGTTTAAAAATCTATTGTCAATCGTCATCTGCTTGAACCTAACACTGGACACATCCTGTAACATCCCTGAAAGGCTAGAGGCCAGTGATATCAGCTGTTCCGAGAGAGTAAGTACACTGTGCCTCATGCATGACACCTGTGACTTTTAACTCTGTGGTACATGTAGGCGTGCACTGTACATAACTTGATAAACGTAGCAAATGTTCAGAAAATGGGCATGAAACTGAATTAAATGTATGTCATGGTTTTGTAGAAATAGAAAGACACAGATGTAATTACTTGTATAAACGAGCTGCAAGCTGAAAAAATACACTTACAGATAAATGCTGACTGAACTGGCTTATCATTTGAGTGTGCATGTGCCTGAAACCATCTGGATCTTTCTTATATATTGGTTTTAAGTTCTGTGCAAACACTTTAAATCTGAAAATCCAAATAAATTGTTTGCATACAAATTACAATGATATTACTAGACAAGAAAAATACTCTGTGATACAAACATGGTAGGTGCCCAGTGAATACACGTTGTTATTAATTTACATTCAATTTTTTAATTTTGTCATTTGTTTGTAAACATACCGATCTACATGTAACATATATTAATCGTAATTTCTATACATTTGTGTCTGACGAAAATATGTGAGCAATCCAAATTGAATAAGGGACAACGTGTAGTTGTTCGGATGGGACAAAAAACACATTTGCTTGCACGTAACAATAAAGGTAACTGAGACAGTTGGAAATTGAAATAAGAGTAGGTCGTATCTCAGCTGTCAAGCCAAATTATTTAGCCCAGTTGGTGTAGAAAAGTAGGACGTTAAACCCCATTTCATTTCCAATAATATATGTTTTTATCATCAATACCTTACGTATTAATTAGTAGATACAATATTACAATAACAATATAGTACAAACTGGTCAAATTTCTGGATCTATTCGATTCAACTGATTTGATAAAGACTCTATTATCTATACTGTTGTTTATATAGTACTTGCAATATCTAATAATTTATGTGTCATTATAATTATTCATTTAGATATCTACAAATTATTGACATGCAATGCAATTATAAATATTTAAAGATACATTCCCGCGTACAAACTGGGTGATCTGATGATATATTTGGACTAAAAACATATTCAAACTAATTAATTTATCATAATTTTGCTTCATTCAAATCCTTCTAAAAACATTGTAATTGCCAAGGAATACCCTGCTATAAAAATCGGTCAAAATAGGTCATGTTTCAATTTGTGTCACGTAACTTAGCTCTCTCCGTCCATAATATATAGCAACGGCTGCGAAGTCAGAGGAGAATTCATTGCATACACAAAATGATGTTCTGTGTAATCGCTGACTATTTATTACAAATAAATATCAAATCCTAATTAAATTCTCAGATTATCCACTGCCTGCGTCTTTTTCCGTGATTTGTATCTCAGAAAGTGTTGTAGATCTAACTCTTCATAAAGTTTATCAACATGTACACAAAGCGCTCAATGTTCGCGTGCAGATACTCCTAATCGTCCGGCTGTCGATTAGGGGAACCCTTACATTTTTGTCCTGTATACGCTCCATGAGTGTTTTTCAGGGAATCCACTATTTTTCTAGTAAGATTGGGTATCTCTACTTTGCATATATACCAAAATTGCCATACTTTTATAGGAAATAACCACCCGATATTGATAAATACTTTTCTGGGAACTTATCTTTAAAATTAACATTCAATCATTGTCTGCAGATTTGTTTACGTGTAGTGCAGTCTTCCTGCACTTTCTGCTAAAAGAACAATATTTCAGAAAAGCATGTATTCATTCTCAATAAGATCTATATCAATTTCTCACTTTGCAACAGAGGCAAATTTGTCAATTGTTTTCTGCATAGAATGACGCAAAAGTTGCATTCTTCTACCGTCCGACTCCATTTTGGATTTACCGCGTAAACAATAAAGTTCGGGATTCAAAAACACAAAAACGAAACAACTGACACTTTTAAAATATTTTCTTGCTATCTTGTTGATATATTCCTGTTTCATTTTTAATCGAAATGTTTTGAGAATTAATTTAGATGAACATTGTTTTCTGTTAGAAATCTAACCTACAACATTCTGTATTCGTTTCTGGAAAACCGTTCTCTTCTCATGAATTTGGGAGAACCAGGAAACTTCCGGTTACCCCTATTAAAAAAAAAAAAGTAGCCTAAACAAAAGTAGACAAGAAAGTGAGAAACCTGGTAGCTATTTTTACAACAATTCTTTAGCCTGCAATTGTATAGCTTCATTGCTGAACACGTTTAACCTAGTCCAAAGACTACGTGTTTTTTTTGGTTTTTTTTATTCTTTCTAATATCAGATAAAGCCCATGCCATGGCTCTATTTCCACCACTGGCACCAGACAGTCAGACTGATTTCAAAACTGTTACCAGGCAATATTTACAAAACGTGTCCTTTAAAAATTAAGGGCATTCCTTAAATATTTTTAAAAGTTTTCATACATTTCAGTATTTCTGTTACACGATCCATCATCAAGACTTTGCCATTGTGTTTTCATTGATACACGGAACAAAATAAACAGTAGGGCCTACCCCAGGCATTACACTGTCACATACTCACTCTATGACATGAATTTCAGTCATTTGCAATACAAATATTCTCAACCATCGCATGTAGGGGGTGATATCCAGGATATTGTTTCAAAACCACTTCCTAAATTGATAGTCAATGCCTTCAGTCAGAGTCAGAGAAAATATGTTAGTTTTATACCATTGTTAATTTTCATGCAAAATTCCATTTGTTTCTATTTTGTATTCATAATCGTAGTCCAAATTTTTGTTACCGGTAGGCGGTTATTTTGAATATTTGCTAATTCATTCTTTCTCTTTACAGGTCATGCAGAAGTTGCTTTAAATTAGAAGATATGAGAATAAACAAGTGTAAAGTGTATATTATATCAGCCCTGCTGTTAAACTTGTTTATGATAATATATTTTGTTATACTACAACATAAAGACTTAAAAATGATTCCAGATAATATTCAAAGGCTGACTAGGCAAGAACTAACAGTAATCATACGTGAACATGAAGAATTTGAAAATAATTTGGAAAATACAATTAACAAACTATATGCATTGTCTGATAGAATGGATATTGTTGTCATCAGTGATAAAATACCATATCCACCAATAAAACATACTCCATCTGATAGAATTACGTTTATTTCTCTTGAACCAACCATAAAAAAATCTATACTAACAACAAGACCGGAAAGATTTATTAGGTCAGATTTCATGTTATTTTTGCCTGATTCTACGTCAATGTCAAGCTGGTACGATATTCAACAGGCTATAGATTTATTAATCAAATCTCCTAAATTGTATTCTGCCATAGTCCTACCAGTTTCACCTTCCCAAGTAAATTGTCAAAAACTGAAATTTGATGTCAAGAAATGGACTGTGATATACACTGATAGTGAATCAAAATGTGATATGGTAATAGGTAATCACGGAATACTCACTAAAACAGAAAATATTTTAGAATTTACTGATCCTTTTATCAGACCTCTGCATCTTTCCTTCTATATACAAAATTCTTTGAATGATTACCCTGTGCTTATTTATGATAAAACTGTGCTTAGTTCTTTAAGGATGTTATTCAGTGAACCACATAATAGCTGGAAGCATAAGAAACTTGAAGATCAAAGACGACAAAATCTGTTTAAAAATCTTGGTATTAAATTAATTAAGCATTCAAATGGTCACGAGGAATGGTTTGGTTGTTCAAAACATACAGCTAGATGTTTCGACACAGTTGTTAATGACATGCCAGAATATTTATATTTAGGAAGATGGACACCTCCATGCTGTCATAAAGCATTAAAAGAAACTGTGCACCATGTGTTTAAAATCTTATCGGACTGTGGAGCTAGATTTTGGTTAGAAGGGGGAAGTTTACTTGGTGCCGCAAGAGAAGGGGATATTATACCCTGGGATTATGATGTTGATATTGGTATATACAAAGATGACTTGTCAAAATGTGAACAATTTAAAATAGATGCTAAAAATGCCATAATTGATGAAGATGGCTTTGTGTGGGAGAAAGCTGTTGAGGGTGAATTTTATCGTGTGCAGTATAGTGAATCAAACAGACTCCATGTTGATATTTTCCCATTTTATTCTAAGAATGGCACTATGACTAAAAATACATGGATGAAAACTCATAGACAAGATACCGAATTTCCTGAAAGTTTTTTAAAACCTTTAACAAAAATCCAATTTGTAGGTTTAGATGCTCCAGCTCCGAACAATGTCAAAAAATTCTTAGAATATAAATTTGGTAAAGGTGTTATTGAAAACCCTAAATATCCAAATTCTCAAGATCCACACAGCTAGTGGGAAAATGTATGTTATTATTTATTATGCTTATGTAAAAAATATTGTACATGTAATAGGCATTTTATTTAATTTGAATCTCAAGGTTTCAGGGTAATTTCATCATATACATAATACACATGGTAAAGAATAAGCATTATTTTTATGAACGTTTTAGGATTCAGTACATATATTAAGATTGTCTTCCTATAATTTCATGTATTTCTCTAAGGAGTTCAAATACAGTAAACCTTGCCTAAGTCGGATCTTCACTCAACTCTGATAAAATCGTTTGGACCCTTTGCTCCTGGAAGTTTTTCTTATTAAATTTTAGTGCGCAAGTCAGATTTCCTAAGTCGGATCTTTGCTCAACTCGGATCAAAATGTTTGGTCCATTTGATCTAATTCAGGCTTTTTTCCTTTGCCCAAGTTGGATCAGCAGTATGTTCAGAATTTGACTAAGTAGGTTTCGTCTCGATGGTCTTAACCACGGTTAGCTATTCCATGCACAAAGCCCAAAATACTTTCCCCGATCATTTTGACTCAAATCAGCCTATTTGACGCGACACAATAATAGAATTTTCCTGGAAAATTCGAAACTCGCTGTCTGCTGTACGAGACACTTTCTGGGAAAATTTAGGACATTTTTCAAAGATGGCGACAAAACAAAAGTTATCTACTTGCAGATACAAACAAAAGCTTGAAATGTGCGTTTGAATCTATTATTATCTGGTTCTTGCAGTTTATTTGTAATCGAGCTAAGATTGAATTTCAGTCTTCATCCACCTCGGATCTCCTCTTAACTCGGATAAAATTGGTCAGTCCACTTAGATCCAACTTATGCAAAGTTTACTGTATATACACAATTTAGTCATTTTTTTTTTTATGCCATTAAGAAATTTATCTAGTCATCTTGAAGGGGCATAGCCAAATTTGGTATATATTTGAGATATTTCACAACTGATTTCAGGCTCTACCATGAAAACATATATCTCGTTACCCTGTAAATGTGGTTTCAAAATATTTCCTCTTATTGGCAGAATAATTTATTTTTGTAAACTTGAAAATTATTAATTACATGTACATGTATGTGGACAGTCTTTAAAAAAAATATTGTCTGCATAATTTTGGTTAGATTTACAAACGTCATACAGACGAGGCGCAAACCAAAAATGTGAAAGGGTTGATAAAAGTTACCATGATTATTTTGACTCCAGATCTTACTCTCAAAAAGCAAATCGTTCGTGTGAAATCAGAGAAATTAATTGTTTGGAATAAAAGATGCAGTTGTCTTTATGAACGTTATATTGGTCCTGTGTACACATTGGCATGCATGTAAAAAACACCTTGCAGTTGGAATTCCATATCAGAGTAGGCCATAGTGTTGCTGCCCAGATAAACCTTCCCTCATAGCACACTGTATGGCATATGCTCGTCTTCATTAGCCTAGTCTGTGCAGAACAGGAGGAGGTTAACCCAATTTCATTTCATTTTACGAAATTTTAGTCTACATGGTACATGTATATTGAATTGTTAAACAAATTTTGAATAGTATCTAGCATGACTGGCAATAAGCTTATTCCTTTAAGTTCATGCTTTTACCAAATAGAATTTTCTTTATCTTCAATAATACCTTTAAAGGGCAATTAGTGAGAGCAATATACATAGACAGCATTATGGTTAACATTCACTACGTTTATTAATGAGGGTACTCTCATAACGATAGTCCATGTTATCCATAACTCTGTCTGTTATCTCCAATAATAGTGAATGTACCATATTTCAAATAGTAATCTTATCTCTGTGTATAGTGGTGTGGCAGTCTTATACATAACATGACATTCCATTCAGTATTTTTCGTATATTTTTGTTGTAATTTTGTGGGAAAATATAAATCTTTGAATTTGCATTTTTTATTTTTGGAATATTTCATAATAAAACTTAATAAAAGTTTTACAATATTTTTTATATAAAGTATATCACAGAATAATTTATCAACAATATGAATAAATATTTCAAACATAAAATGACATTACAAAACAATAACTTAGTATGGCTAGTTAAGATGAATTTTTCTCAATGAACTTCTATTTACATAATAAATTTATACTTATAATACATATACTGTGTAATACAAAATTCAAGATGAAATGCTGTTATTTTGTTTTAATGCTTTTTTATTGATTTCTCATAATCATGTAGCTGCCCCAATTTTCTTAGAAAATCCAACAACTGACCGATGTTATTGTCGTTTAATACTAACTCTTGAATTTACAAAAGATGTAACTGATGTCTTTGTTTGTGGGGTATGTTTGGTAGCAGTATTGGTAAAATTATTTAAAGCATTTAGTTGGCTACATTAGACTCGGTTGGTTCTCGAACCATAGCTAATATCTTCTCTAATTTAGTTAATTCATATTGTTGTTTCTGAGAAGCATCCATTGGTGGTTGTCCTTTCTTTTCCTTTGGTACTTTTCTCAAGTTTGGTGAAAGTTTCAAACTAGTAACATTACCCCTGTAAAATAAATACATTTACATAGATTGAATTAAAATTTCAACCCAAAAAACTTTTGAATAGGAAGAAGGGGGGAACATCTTATTAGACAAGTCGGATATATCTTTACATAAGTACATGTAGGCAAACAAAATGCAAGGAGATATCTCTCTAAAGTATTAATGATTATACCTGATACATGTAAGCAACTACCATTTCAAACCACATTGATATAAAAAGCAGGATTGAAAGAGAGTAAAGCTTGTAATAACCTCTCTCCACTGAGTTATTAGGGAATTCAATAGGAATTTTTACAAGCCGGCATAAACAAACAACTGTTTGAGCAAGAGAAGCATAGAGAAGCTTGTAAGATGTTGATTTCTGACAACAGAAATAAAGATAGCCATAATTAAATGTAATTACCTATCATCTCCAACAATAATAATAGGATGAACAGGATTAAATTCTATGTGAGTTAACTTTGTCTTCTTTTTCTGGGCTACCATTTGTTCACAGATTGGTTCATATTTATTTACATTTAAATCATACACATATACCTGAAATATAAAATATAACACATTTTAACACCTGGATAATTGAAATAAATCAGGTTGTAACTGCATGTGACATCAATATTATTCAAGTTACAAAGTCCACTTTTAAAACCGATGATCTATGGTACACTTTTAATTCCTTGAAAACAGCAATACATGTATTGTGCAAGTTCCATCTTGATCCAAAAATGATTCTATTCTGTTCAGTATTTTGAAAGATATTAACAATTTCACAACATGCGACAAACTCTGCATGTCATATAAACAAATCAATGCCAGATATAAGTGTTGAATAAAATCTCTTGATAGGCCTCTTTAACTTTACATTTGATAGTGTGTTTCTCAGTCCGCTTTGATCTACTTTGGTTTTGCTTTCTTAATTCAATATTATGTAGTGTACCCGTATCAATTTGAATACATTTTAATCTGAATTCGATATTGTCTGAAAAATTTATATGACAATCTGCAGGTTTAATCTTGAACATATAACAGATATGATTTCTTAATTAAATGTTATGTAATCAATTGAAGTACAATTTTGCTTGGATTAAAATTAAAGTAAATCATTGGCTTTAATCTGGAACAGATCCATTAAACATATGTATTAAAGTATCAATAACTGGACTAAAGTAACTCAGCTTTATTTTGATGTCTTACAGTAAGTTGGGATATCTCTCCCCCCCCCCCCCCAAAGAAATTGGTTGAGTAAATTTTCAATTTCCCATTAGATTGTGTAATATTACCTTGCCATCAGCAGTTACAGCAGCAAACACAGTAGAAGAATAAGGAGCCCAGGCCACATCACCAACAGAGTTATTTAAATCAAATGAAAATAATGGCTTTCTGTAAAGATAAACAAAATACTTGCTTCATTAACGCATTCACATAAAGTTTTATGAGAAAAAAATGCTCCATTGAATTAATAACTATATTAGTCATTTTCACAAATTTGAAAGAAAGAAAAAGCTTTCCTCAAAGTTCAGCAGATAGCGTCCTTCAAGAAATAACTTCTAAGCAATGGTTGTGTTCTATACTAAATTGAGCATGAACTCACAAAATGATAATTGAGCATTTTTGAGATAAAAATGGGCAGTTTGTATATATTAATATCCTGAGCAACATCTATCTCTGTGTCAAAAGCAAACAGTGATGATACTGCTGTTCAAAAACTTTTAGTAATTATGACGTCTATTTAGACAAAAAGTGCTAATTTCTAGACTGATATTGCCATATAATATTTCTGTTGCAGTGTGAACAATGGAATGACATCACAATGTGGAATAAATGAAACAAATTAACTGCTATGAAGTAACACAAAATCTCAACCATACAATCACAGAAGTCCCAATTATGTACTGATACCAAAAAGTCTCAACAATGGAATGACATCACAAGTCTCAACAATGGAATGACATCACAACGACTAAATGACATCAAGAGAGTCTCCACAATGGAATGACATTTCAAAGTCTCAACAATGCAATTATATCACTAAGTGATTTCATCAACGCAATACCCTAAAAGGTAAAATATTTATTAATACCAGTTTTAGTTATGTACTTCAGTTGGAAAACACAAATCTTACCTTTCAGAAGATTCTGTGCCATCTGTATTTTTGTCTATTTTTGAACCCATCTCCCAGATTTTAACATTCCAGTCAGCACTACAGGTTATATAAAGTTTAGAGTGGAAATAATTCCATGCTACCTTATATACAGCCATATTATGGGCGTCTATTGAGTCAATAAAATGACTTGTGTAGGCTTTAGAACAGACATGAACTTTACCCTCTTCAGTACCAACTAAGAACAGATAATCTTTCTGTTTATGAAAATCAAATGCTGTACCACATCCTGAAGACAGAAAAAAATGAAAATTTAAGACACATTTTTTCTTAAGAGACATATTTCCATTTATGAGTTTCATTTCACATGAATACAATATAATCAGAACCCATAATCAATGCTGAGGGAAACGGCCACGTGAAACCTTGCATCCTTCAATAAGACACTTTTTCTTGATGATAAAAGCTTGAATTTGTCAAACTATAAGTATGAAACTGACAGGATATTTGGAACATATAGTATTCTAGTAACTGATACAGTGAAAATAACAATAATATGGGGTGGAAGAAGTTTCAACGGAATAGGTAATAAACAAACATTCTCAGATATATTGATATTGCTTTATCAGGCAATATTTTATCCTAAAGGCCTTAAAGATACATTATTCAAGAGCTAAATCTGCCTATTGCATATCTGTCTTTAGGCCTTAAATGTTATATAAATTATTAATTAGAACATGACAAAACCATAATCAACTTTCGTTGCCATCGGATGGTTGGGATTTTTACTAGATTTTGCATTATCTATTTTTGAACTATTATAGCAAGAACAGCCAGCGCTTTATCTAAATCTTGCATAATGTATCTTTAATTCATCTAGCTATGATGTTTTCTTTATAAGAGCTCTAATATTTCAATCCTGATATTTATCACATAATGCCTTTTTCTGTTTATACCTTATTTTAGTATAAATATGTATGAGATTAATAAGACTTTACCTAATGTTGGAACTTTAATACCATCAGGTCCCTCAGCTGAAGCATCTGGTATAGTTAATTTAATAACATCTTGATATATCATCTCATTCTACAAATAGAAAATTGTATTATTGTCATGAATTTATCATAAGCTTATTTTTAGTTAATTATAATCTAATTTAGCCATTGACAGAAATTCCTAAAACTTGAAATTTTATAGCAAAATTCTGTCAGTTTCAATCAAGTCCCAACAATGGTAAGTAATCGTGGAATGACATCACAATGTGAAAAACAATGGAGTGACAACACAATGGACTGTCATCACAGAGTCTGAAAAACTGAATAACACCACAAAGTCTCAACGGAATGACACCACAAAGTCTTGGCAATGAATTGACATCACAAAGTCTAGACAATGGAAGGCTAGCCATCACATCGACTGAATGTGATTATCACAAACTCTTTAACAATAGATTATCATCACAAATTCTAAACATTGGAGTATCATCACATTTGAATATAATCACAAAGTGGCAAAACTGAAATGACACCACATCATCTCAACAACAGAATGTGATTCATCACAAACTCTTTGACAATGGAATATCTTCACAGAGTCTAGATATTGGAATATCATCACAAAGTATTAACAATGAAATGACATCACAAAGTGTCAACAATGAAATGACATCACAAAGCGTCAACAATGAAATGATATCACAAAGTGTCAACAATGAAATGACATCACAGTGTCAGTTTCAAACTGATTTTGCCGAATTAAGAAAATAAATTGATTAATGGTATGTAATAAGTTTTTCACCTTTACTATTGTCCAGTGAACAATTCTGCCATCTGAAGAAATTGAGTAAAAGTTCATGTTATTATCCGAGTCATCTTTCTGCCATCTGACTTGCCATACTGGGTCTGTGTGTTTTCCGTTCTTTGCTGTACATCGGTGTACGGGTCCGTCTTTCTTTTCTACTGCATTAAATACGGCTACACTGCCATCGTAAAAACCAGCCGCTATTTGATATGGGTGTTCTGGATGAACATCTAAACACATAACTCCACTATCTGTTTCAAATACATGTTCAGGATAGGAAGGATTTTTTAAAGAGTTGAAGAGGATCAGACCAGTTCCTTGTTTCATAAAATCATCTGTAGATAAAAATAAGAAGAAAATTATAGATGCATATAAAAATAAGCACACCAGCTGTCCTTAACATCATCTGAACAAAAACACCCCAAATCCATCAAGTAATATCATTTGTACAGGTGTCAACCTGGCTAAGACTAGGAATATGAAAGGAGACAATTAAGGAATTGAAATAAAATGGGGTTTAACGTCCTACTGTTCTGCTCCGACTGGGCTAATGAAGACGGGCATATGCCTTACAGTGTGCCATGAGGTAAATTTTGCCAGGACAGCGACACTACGGCCTACTCTTATTATCAAATTTCAACTTACAAGGGATCTTTTAAATGCATGCCAATGGGTACGTAGAACCTCAGTTTTTTGCCCCTCCGAACAACTATATGTTGTCCCTTGTCAGGCCCTTGGTCCTGCACCGACAAGGAGGTACAACACTGGAAATCTAGATGAACTTTCTCATCCAAAGCAGAGATCGAACACGGGACTTCTAGGTTAGCGAGTCATCGTCTTCCTCACTGAGCCTCCATCAATTATAAGGACTGGCCATTTCAAGAATACTTAATAATCTAATAAATCTCTGGTTTGTCAAAACTCTTTTTGAGGGTAATTTTGCTAACATCCAGAGAGTCAATAAGTGAATCAATTAACTTACATGAACCAAATGAAGCAGCAAAAAGATCATTATATTTCGGATTCCAGCATAAAGATGAAACTGCCAATTTCTTTGCTTTATCGTGTGAAAATCTCCATAATGGTAAAAGTGTTCCCTCTTGATCTCGGTAGTCATCAGACACATCTTCCCAATAACGAAAATCTGAATCACAAAATAAAGATAATGAACACTGGCATCAGAAAAAGTTGGATCCTTTTGCAAAGACGTTTCAACCTCATCAGGATGGTACTAAGAAGCATATTATGTTCAAACATAATATCAAATATTTATGAATGATTAAATATGTACAGCAGTTTAACCTGTAATTAAGCCTTACCTTGTGCAACGTCATCATAAGTATTCTGGTTGACCATCCTTTCAACAATTTTACTGGCACTAGATACACGAGATATATCATCACTCTGTAATCACAAAAGCAAAATAATAAACTTACAGTCACCAGAAATTGTTAATACATGAAGTAAAATATTCTCCAGTGCTACAATTCTATACATTATGAGAAGATAATATACAGTAGAATCTATATTCAGCAGCCACTCATGGGAATTTTCATGACTGACCGCTTAATGGGAGTGACCTCTTAATAAATTCTCAGTGTTTGTTAGTACTGATATCAAGTAAATCACATGTCAAAATATCTATCGCTGAATTTTTCACCGATCTGCAGGAGATGTAACTCTGTACGTAATATAGAGGGTGCTAGCAACAAAGCAGAAAATAGATACTAGATGATCGTGACAGGACTTGTCTAATCATTCAGTATCAAATAATGTTCTTGTTGTGTGAAAACAATGATCAGGGGTGCCCTTTCTCTATATTTATACAACTCCAATGAAAAGTGTCGCTCCTATGTCTATACAACAGCACAGTGCCTGTCACTGTATTTAAAACTATGCAACTCCAATAACACAGTGTGAGTCACTGTACATGCGACTCCAATAATACTAGACAACTCCATTAAAAGTACCTCTCCCTATATCATTAAAAGTACCTCTCCTTAAAATCTAACTCCACTAAAAATGTTTACAGTACCTGTGTTTCGGTAATAGTTAATTTTTTCCTTGTTTTCTCCTCTTCTTTTCTACCAGGTATAGTTTTCTTCTCTTTAGATTTCTCCTGTAAAAAAAAAAAAAAAAAAAAAAAAAAATTCATAAAGTTATTTGGTTTTAATTTAATATGTATCAAATTGATCACATCTACTTGTGCAATACAAATCTTGAACAGTCATAATTTATCATTCCTCAGTTCACTACAAAATTGTAATTAAATTTCTTTCTTTTTTTCAGGAATAAATTTTATCCTTATTTTCAAAGCTTCCCGCAGGTGACAAGTTTTTTAGGACATTTTCCAAATTAAGAAACATGCCTATTGTTACCAATTATCATTATTATTATTATATTTAAAATTTTTATGATGTGAGGAGGGAATAATAGCTAGTATATTTCATCATATCCTAACCTGTTTTTCAAAATCTTCTAAATAAGCATCATATATTTCCCACTGTGTTACATTACCAGCAAAGGTGGCTCTTGGAGGTGGTTCTGTAGCTGTACCACGTTCCTGTAATATAACAAAATTTGTTTTCAGTAATTTAACAAGGCAAAAATTATTCTAAATTTGGAATACATTTGTTTTTAAATAAAAAAAACCATCCCGATATCTGGCAAGATAAATAAATAAAATCTAAATATTGGAATTTTTAATCATTGTAAATGTAACTGTAAAATATGCTAATTTCAGGTCATATATTCAATGATACTGTTCTAGAAAATCAATTTTCCCCAAAAAATGTAAGCTATTTCATTTCATGTGTAGGTAGTAAATATTTTTGGACAAGATAATAATTACTTACCCTGTATGGGTTGTTGTATGTTTGTGAAGCACGTTCACTATAATTGAACTGATTGGTTAGTTTACGTTTATCTGTTGGTGCTGGTGTAGCAGCATCATCAGCTCTTTCTTCTGCTGCCTAAAAAAAAAAAAAAAATTAAATTTTAGTTCCCGTTTTCTTAAACAAATATGGAGACAATCCCAAACATTCAGATTTATCTATTTTTTTCTCTTTTCCCGAATTGCAGACATTGAAAAGTTTGAAACACCTTAACATTTTCATTTAACAAGAAATAATTGTTTTTTTTATACAACATTCATTCCTGAACTTAATTAAAGTGTACAGAGAAAAACCAAACCACATTTTGCAACTGAGATGGCCACCGAGTGGTATTGAACAGATTGGTATAATTTAAGAAAACAAAGGTATACTAGATCCCTTCCCACTCCCACTGCAATTGACTGCACATTTCGATTGGCAATGGCAACAAATCTGTAATTACCTCTTGTTTATCACCTTCCCCTTCTTCTGCTGCAGCCCCAGCTCCTTCTCCTGCTTCACTCACAGCCTGTTCACTTGATGCTACAAAAATAAACCGTATTATAATTAACATAAATATTACAATCACTTGATACTCAAAACGTTGACAAGCTTTATAAAATATAATACAATAGTTAAGTTTTTAATTATCGAAAATTCGGATATCATATCAGTTACTGTAACATCCCTACATTTATTTCTACGATATATATTCATAAAAATAGGGAATGGCTATTTCTGCCAATTTGCATATAAATTGATTTTTGATTTGAATAAGTTGTAGGTAATTTGGGGGGTATTTTTATGCCAGTATGTGTGAATGATTGACATTCCTTTCTGGGGATTCAAGATGAAAGGGTTTTTTTTTTCATAAAGGATTGGTATGAATTTCTAATAAGGCTATAGTAATTGCGGTTTGTATTAAATAAATAAAAGGATGAAATAGGCAATCATGAAGATTTTTTGGTAACAGTTAATCACCTGTTCTAAGAAATTGTCAGTGAAACTAAATACAACATGCACTTGAGTGAATTGTTCTAGGAAAACAAGTTTAATTGCTTAATGGACCTTATAGATTTCACACTATTCTAAATCTAAACAGAGTTTTCTACATGCAGTCATAAATTTAAAATATGAGGTTCTGATAACTATATCCAATCTTTTTTTTTTATTCTTTTACCAGTACTTGGGGTCGCTGATAAAATTCTATCCTCTTCTAGCAGCCAGAAAAGAACATTGATCAACCAATGATAGTTAATTCTACTATGCACCTAAACATTATTAATTAACTGAGTTGTAACCATTGGTAGACTATGATGAATAAATTATTCAAATGAAACGTGGTTAAATCCTGATTCTGATAGAGGTATAATAGATGATTTCAATTATAACATAGGCTTAATGCATGATTTTCTTACAGACTTAATGCATGTTTTTTTTTTTATAGGCTCAATTAATTCATGATTTTGTATAAATACCTCAGACAACTTAGCCACACAGGGTGTTTGTTTCATTGCCTGACAACCTAATGTTTATCATGAAGATTTAATGATAAATTGATGTTTATCATTCATTACATGTATCTATACAATGATTTAATGATAAAATGATGTTTATAAATTATTATCTACAATGAATTAATGATAAATTGATGTTTATCATTATCTACAATGATTTATAAATTGATATTATCATTCATAACCTACAATGATGATTTATTGATATTATTATTTACTAAAGATTTATTGATAAACTATTTAATCCATACCTTCAGCTAAGCCAAGTTTTCCTTTCTGTCTCTTAGCCTCATCAGATTCTTTATGTAACATATTACCATCGAGAGAGAAATGTATAGCTAACTGATCAACACTTGATGTCTGTTTATATTGTTTCTCCTAGAAATTAAATTTAAAAAAATATTTTTCAGGTCCATTTTTTCAATTTCAATTCATACCATGCAGGGGATCAGAGAAGGCCTCAACAACCACAATTTATTTACCACTTTGTCACTGGGCCTTTGATATCAAGATGGCAACAATTTTAGCTTTGCCACTGTTTACAATATGTATTAAATACAATTATGCTTACATTTTCTCTATGATCTCAACAACTATGTTCATATAATTTGACGAAATGATCGACAAAATCAATAATATTTCCAACTTACTTTAAAGCTGTAACGAACAATATTTTGTGGTGCATGAGGATTATTGGCTGTTAGAATTCTTGTAAATTCTTCTTTTAAATCCTAAAAATACATTTTATATGGTTAATTACAATTACAATGATATTAATAAAAAAATAAATTGAGCTGATAAAATTTAATAACATTCATTCTTGGAATGAATGAATGAAATAGGGTTTAACACCCTACTTTATCCATCTTTGGTACAAAGAGCTAAAAATAGGATTCTGCTAACATCACAGTATCATAATGAAGAAGATCAAAACTATAATTTATTCATACCTGTTCCGAGAGCTGCAACTGATCAGATGGCTTTTCTAATGTTTTAGCCTAAAATTCAGAATAATTTAAAATTACATACGATTTATAGAGGTTTATGAATAATATATAAAAGTGTTGATTAAAGGGACTGCATAATAGTCAACTTATAGTCTCATGAAAATTAAAGATGCATTATGTAAGATTTAGATAGGGAGCTGACCGTCCGTACTATATAATAGTTCCAAAATAGATAATTCAAAATTAATATCTATTGAAAATTTCATTCACATTCCTTTATTCTGAGCTTAGTTATCACTGTTTGAAGTTTTGACAAGATATGTGCCTTGACTGTTTATTTTTGTAGAAATGTTACTTGTTAATTGAGACTCTGTCTCACTTCTCCATTTTTTAATTAAATCATTAAAATGCCGATTGTATTTCAATCTGTTTAAATCTCTGCCATTCGATGTTCTAGGCTTATCATGTTAATGTCTAAATAATAATTCATTTGAAAACAAAAACCGGCAATAGGCAGATTTAGCTCTTAAATAATGCATCTTTAATCATTGTGTTGTTCAGGGGGATATCTAGAAAATTTTGAGAGGTTCTGATCCCAAATTATTATGTCCTAACTGCGTGAGTGGCCCCTGCCTATTGAGCAACCGGGGTCGCAGCATCGGGTCGAGAATGATTTAAGGCATAGTATAGTGTATTTAAATGAGATTTGAGGTAGACTTGAACCATGTTGCTGTGTTTTCTCATAAAAGCAAATTTTTGTAATATCCTTTACTTTTGTCAGCATAGAATTTGGGCGCACATGTTTTCTGGAACCCAACTGGCTCTATATGCTCCCCTGTTGTTACTGTAATCTACATAGTACTGCACAACCAGGTGAAATTAAATGTAATTTACCTGACTCCAGTCATCTGCGTCAGTTCCATCACCTAGATCTGTCATGTCATCTCCTTCCTAGAATTTATAATATATAATTTATAATATTTTATAATGTACAAAATACTAAACAATGATCATCAAAAGTAAGTTTCTACTTAAATAACTAATAAAATTACAACATTGTCAAAAGCAAACTAAAAGCAGTCTACTTTAAAGACAAATTATTTAAAATAATCTAAATCTACCAAATTTATAAAAGTACCAAGCAATGAAAACACCACAATTTAAATATCAATTAGCCTGCTTGTTTTAATAACTTGCTTGTTTAATACAAACTTTTAAGAACTTGTAATTGTAACGAAAAAAAAAAAAATCAATGAACCATCTAAATCATAACACAAATACATGTAACAAATAAGTTTTACTAAATAATATAACACAATGGTTTTTAATACAAAGAACCTAAAACAGAACTGAAGACAACAGAAATCTATAAATGAAACAAAAGAGAAAACAACAAAAGAGAAACATATTTTTGTCATAGATGTACCGCCCGGAACTGTAAGTTAACCAAACTTATAGAATTTAACATTTATATTCAGACATGCAAATACGATATAAGCTTATGATAAATTTGAAAAGGGTATAAATTACAATAGAAATAAGCTTACATGGTATTCGTGTTCTCAGTAAACAAACATTTATTCAGTGGTACACCAGGGATAGGTGGAAAATTTGATTAGGTTTAAAGCATGTATTTGGTTATTTTGGTATAATACTAATAATAGTAGATTAGTCATGTAAGCTTATTTAATATTATAAAAAAGATTTTTTTTTTTTAGGAAATGTCTGGTGTACCACTGACTTATAGTCATTATACCTTAATGACTGGACCTTTTGTAGACAAACTCTGGCGGCCTTGTTTAGGTTTATTCCCACCTGACTGCTGTTAGGACAGATAGAGACACAGACAAACATAGTTAGCACATATAGAAACATTGTTAATAAGTAATCTACCCTGATTCAATGAAATAATGTCTTCTTGATTGATCATTAAAACCCAAAGTTAACCTAATTTTCTTTTTTTTCTCAGCATTTCCCTGTTTTAGAGGATTTCATATTTCTAGGATCTGTCCATACACAAACAAGATGGTCTGTAGCAAAGGGCAGGTCCTGGTTTTATTTCAAATCGAAGACATTATGCAATGAAAGTGAGTAAATTACTGTTTATGATTATAATGGGCTGACATTTTGTTATATTTGGTGGGATAACAGAAAACAGAAGAATAAGTGGAGTGGTTATATTTTTATAGATATTTGAATCCACAATCATCACTCACCCTAATACGTGTTGTTCTCCTACGAGGCATGTCTGCGCCAGTTGAAACACTCTATATATTACAATACACATCATTCATTATTCTAATATTAATACTGGTAATGATTTATAATCATAGATAAATATTTCATTCACATCAAAATAAATCATAACATTATGTGTATACTGTTTCCAAGTCAAGAATCTATTTTTTTTTCAAAAAGACACTACATAAGCTTAGCTTACCAGAAACTAACATAATAAAATCATGCCACTATGCAAGAATATCATTTCATAATCATATCTAGATAGATAAACAACATAATTTTAAAAAGAACAACAAATGTTCACGAAGAACACATGTGGACAACATGAATCTAAGATCGGGGATGATTTTTTTCATTCTACCTTTGCCATGTCGTCATAAATACGGTACCAGTACTGAGTAGTTAAAGGTGTACATTATTTATTTATGTCCATATTAATTTCTGAACAGGGACTAGGGTTCCGAATAAATGCTGACTCAGTGCTGAAATTGCTGTAAATTGAAAGTGGAATCGGCGAAATGGGGTCACAGGGAAAAGGTTACAGATATTGACTTTGCTTCCAATGTCTGTTGTGATGTGTGTAACCTTAACAGCCTTAACAACAGGTACTTTTTCTACGCAGGCTATCACATTCAACGAGCATATAGATTAGAAATTCTTGTAGAATAGGTAGGCCAGGAAGTAGTTTTATCAACACCAGTAGGATTTGCACTTGCATTGGGCATATTGGAACACTTTTTGTATTAGCTTCCTGTGGGCCTAACCAATAGCCTAGCTTTTAAAAGTCAAAGCACATTGACTTGTAAAGATAAGGGCTAGGAGCTAAATTTATATTCCAAGACTAAGTAAGACTTAGACTGTATAGTGTAAGAACTGCTAAAAACGTTGAAATAAATCCGATGTGTTTTACATGGTAGAGATAGGGGCTAAGCTGCATGTATGTAAGAAGTAGCTAAAAACGTTGAAATAAATCTGATGAGTTTTTACATAGGTCTAGGCCTACCGTAGGCTAGGATTTCACTGTCTTGAGCTTGAAAAAAAAAGGGACTCTATAGTCTAAATAAACTTGAAATACCTACCTGTTTCCCTTTGACTGGTGCTTTAGGAGGCATTTTGGTGTGATTGTCGAATAAGATCTTAAGAACCGTTAGAGCTGAGTGAATACACTTCTACCTTCAATTTACTTTTGTCTAGAAGTTGACTTAGAAATGATTGACAACAATTATGGCGTCTGCTGTAGCTATGGGATACTGTCATGCGCAGAGAATAAAACCCCCACAAGACATTGTACAAAATGGAATGATAACCATATCCGGAAGTGAAATTATGAAGGCTGTCTGCTCAATTTTCCAATATTTATCTTTTTAAAACAATTCATCCGTTCAGATGGATAGTATGGAAGATAGCGGAATCGATAGCGACCAAAAAAATCAAAACGACACAAAGGTACATTGACTTTCGTCTTTTTGAGTCACATGCAAATGGCCATATGATCGTGACCGGCTGTGCCGTTCTCACTCACTCCTCAGTCGGTTCTCCATTTGTGTAGGTGGTAGTTGAGTGTTTCTTACTTCGAGACCGAGAACAGTAGGACGTTAAACCACATTTCATTTCATTTACTTCTTACTCCGATGCCTTTTACTCAGTGACAGTTTCCTCCTCGCTGTCTCTGATAGCAATTTTTGTCAAAATGTGGGCAAGTCATTCAGAAAAACGAACCTTGTGTTTATTTGATGGTGACTTTTAGATCTCCAGAGTCGAAAGATGGACAAGATTGAATATTATACTCGGTCTCGGAGTATTTTCAGTCCCAGCCCAGAGTTTTCAGAATCCAATTCTATAAAACCAAAACAATAATCCAAATGGAATGCTTTGTTGTTCAACAATATTGAATCGCTCTATAGTCTATGGCTTTTCTTATTAAGGCCGGGGGCTGACGTACAGGTTCAGAATAACATCTGCCAAAAATTGTCATATTATAAATTAAATGAATCCCTACCCCTCGCCCCCTAAAGCTAGCCTATGGGTGCAGTACATGTATATTCAGTACCAGACATTTTGATTACTGTTAACAGTATTGGGAATATTTTTAACAATAGAGCTCATATGTCTCATTTAAATAACTTTATATTCTATTATATTTTATAACATTAAAGTATGGTACAGCGTTTATATTATTATCCATGATCTTCAAAATTAAAAGCACAAATTAATATTTAATAGTGGCCCATTTCTATCAATATTGATGTTGTTATCTTACACCATTGTTAACGAACACCATTTGTAATGAGGTGCCTTGATGAACGAGGCAGAACGTCAGTACGGAATTGAATTGTCAAACGCTCATAAATATTGAATGTAAATCAGTTTATGCACATTCATATGTGCTTTTCTAACCATTTACATCCATTTTAGGTCCCAAAGAAGAGAGCTTTAAGATATATTTTTTGGTGTAATTGAAAATTCCCCTTAAAGATGGGTTCCCGCGTACAAACTGGGTGATTTAATCGTATATATGGACCAAAAACATATTCAAACTAATTAATTTGTCATAATTATGCTTCAAATCCTTCTCAAACATTGTAATTGCGAAGGAATGCCCTGCTATTAAAATTCAATCAAACCAGGTCATGATTACGTCACGTCTTGGGAGTCAGAGGAGAATTCATTGCATACATAAGAAGATGTTGTCTTTAATCGCTTACTATTTATTACAAATATTGAATCCTAATTAAATTCTCGGATTATCCACTACCCGCGTCCTTTTCCGTCATTTTTATCTCAGAAAGTATTTTTAAGTCTAACTCTTCATAAAGTTTATCAACTTGTACATCAAGCGCTCAATGTTTGCTTGTGACCTTTGACATAACGCGTGCAGAAGTTCCTAATCGTCGGGCTGTTGATTAGGGGAACCCTTACATTTTTGTCCAGTATACGGTCCATGAGTGTTTTTCGGGAAATCCAGTATTTTTCTAGTAAGATTGGATATCTCTACTTTCCATATATACCAAAATTGTCATACTTTTATTGGAAATAACCACCTGATAAATACTTTTCTGGGAACCCATCTTTAAATATTGATAAAAAAATGCATATTATATTCCAGGTACAGCCAAATGTCAAAGAATCTCATAAATCACAAAAGAAATCCTCTGAATTACAGAAAAAAATTGGTAAGTGATCACTGTACAAATAATTAAGAAAAGAGGGTATAGTAGAAAATTAAAGAAAATAATTGTCACTCAGACAAGAAAACACACATCCACCATAAGCTTAGTCATCCTGGCCTTTTATAAATGTTGCCCTCATTTTAATGCTTGACATATTGAAAATAAATCCTCCAGAAAACCGAAATATCAATAATCTCCCAGGTTTGATTCAATCAGAGTAAAAGAAGCCCATCAATAGATGAACCCAACACCTATAGATAGTTGGCTCTAGATCTTCTGCAGAGGATGCTGAATGTTGTGAAATGTTCAATTCATCATATCTTTGTAAATACACAACACAATTGAACCTTTTTAGTCTGATATTCCCTTTGAAGGACCAGCTTTTATAATGATGTAGTTTGCAAAGAATTTAGAATGCCTCAAAAGATGATCAGCAGTTTTTAAGTAAAAATATGCTATTCATATACAATGAATTTTGATAAATATATTGTTTCAAATTTTTATGAAATAAAAAACTATTATTTTATTATTTATGTTAGACAAACATAGAGAGATAGCAAGAAAAGCTCAATTAGCTGTTGATCAACAACCAAAGAAATCCATGTTAGCTAGAAATAGGTGAGTTATATAGACAGATTAATAAAATTTTCATTTCTGACAGAGAATACGGCCCCACCCAACTGCACAACAAAGCAAAACAAACAGTACTGACAGTAGAATAATTTATTACTGTTTATGATGATCATTTAGAGACATCAAATTGGGGGAGGGGGATTAAACCTTCTAAGCAGAGACCAAGATAATATGAAAGATCACAAAGCCGCTTCTACTCTTTTTATTATGCTTTTAAATTTTAGTGAATTTTAACATGATAAGATTAAACTTATTATTGCTGCTTGTACATGTATACCTATATCTGCCCTGATATTGGTCAATATAAAATCAATAACATTATGATATTTATTTTTTTAACAGAGTACCAGATCATGTAAAGAATGAATTTAGTTCATCTCAAGATCAACAACCATTGGTAGCAATAATGAGTGATAGGTAAATCCATTATAAAAATTTTCTGATGGAAGTAAAAAGGGTTTTTGATATTACAACTTATCCTCTCGTGACAGATTTTGAACCAAGATTAATATTTAGTCATAAATTCAATGAAGGAAAAATTTCTAAGTTTATGAGTAATGCAGCAAATATATGCAAAGTTAGAACTCGAAAAATATTCTGGAAAAAAAATGAATATATCTAATTTCTTATCAATTATATAATGCTAAAATGTACTAAAATTGATTTTGAATTAAGAAAAACAAAACCAAAATGTCAACGACAGGTAATTCCTTGGCTTATAGGTGGTGCTGGCTTCTTTATATTTTCTGCAGAGGATGACAAATGTTGGGACATTTTCAATTGATCATATCTGTGTACCGGTACATAGTGAATGGATTTAACGATTTTTCGTAGTAATATTCCTATTAGAGCTTCAACTTTTATAGTATTGTAGTTATCAATGGATTCAGTTCCCTTAAGTGACAATCAGAGGCTTTAATAGTACATTATTGTATGAACAGATGACTCAATTATCTTTCAGAGATCTTTTTAAACAATCTCGCTGGTTTTTTAGCATAATGAACATCCATAATTCAAGCTGTTGATGTTTTAATGATTTAATTTCAGTGAGGAAGATGAGTTTGATGTTCCACGTATGTCTAAAGCAGCACATAAAGAAATAACAGAACAGCTTATTAAAGATGGTTATAACCTTGATCTCGAACCAGATGATGAAGATTTAGATCTAATTCCACCACGCCCACTTCATGAAAGATGTACATGTTGTTTAGTACAGACTAACTGTCTTATACAGTAGTCAATGATACTTGTTATAGATTTTATCCTCTTCCACTTAAAACATGCTAAAACGTTAGCTTCAAAAGGGTTATTAATGTACAGATCTAACATTTTTTCCTTTTTTATGATCTAGATATTTAGTGTACTCCACAAATGATAGATCTGGTTACCTGGGTATTAAACCTTAATTTTGTTCACTAATATACTGTGAAGAATAAGACCAGTCAATGTTACGTAACCATGATATAAATAATAGAGCCCAGTTTATATTTCATGCCTTATCTCACACATGTTATTATATATCCATTGTATAAATGATACTGATCATTTATGTTTCATACATCGCTCACAGTCGATAGATATATCCTCATAATATGTGCAATAAACTATGGGAAAGCTTGGAGCTACTGAGGGCTTTAAAATGGTCAGAGCACAGATTACTATTAAAGAATGTCATCAGAACTTAATTAATATAAAGTCTAATCGTTATTTAAGGGATTTTCAATCCCTTCCTTGCAATCTACAATACTTAATCCATAATTAAAAGGGGGGTTGGAGGGCCGAATGGTTAGCACGTGCATGCTGTATCATAAGGCCTGTCATTGAGTCAACTGGCATGGTTTTCGAATCCCCGGTTGTACGTGACAAGGAGTAAGGTCACCTGTCCAACCTCGTGGGTTTTTCTCTGGGTCCTCCGGTTTCCTCCCACTACTAAAGACCCCTACGCGCAAGCGAATTATTGAAATAAAATTAAACCATATGTTAGTCCCAAAATGACCTAGTTTGTGTCGAGTGGAGGTTAAACCCCTTTTCTCTCTCTCTCTCTCCATAATTAAAATTACTATCAGGCCATAAATTGTTCAATTCCATTTAGTATTTACTCTACAGATGTTGTATAGTACTTGGTCAGTCAACACATGCCAGCAACCCCACCAATAACCTCTGTTAATATCTTTTAATAGACCACTCTTTAATCCAAATGAATCCTAGCCAGGAGATTATCTATCTTTGGTATTTTGATTTTGTTTTCTTAATTAAATGTTAAGTAATCAAATTGAGGACATATTAGCGTGGATTAAGTTGTGAAGAATAACACATTGTCCGAAAAATGCAAATGACAAATAGCAGCTTTTAGTTAGATAAAAACAAAATACATAAAATGAGAAATGAATTGAAAGATATGTATTTTAATTATTATAATTAACAGCATGGTTCTCATGTATTCTATATACACTGTATGTCAAAAGCTTAAATTAAATCATTGATATTAATATTCAAGAAATCCATGCCAGTTTCTACTTGACATCATAATTATGTCCAAATATATGTTTTAAGTAAGTTTGAATGGTTATACATTGAAAAACAAGTTATCAATGTTACATGAAAAAAATAATTTATAAGAATTCAGATACCAAGTATATGGTACTTGCCTAATTATGTTGCTGTTCTAAAACAATTGTTGAAAAAAGTTCAAATTGTAGTATGATATCAATCAAATATATTCTCTTGCCAAAAATATCTAATTAAAATACTCAAAATAGTCTTTTCAGATACATTAATAAGTTTAAAATAATAAATGTCTTAATTATTGACAGATAAAAATGAATATTACTGGAATCAACTTGATAATAGATGCATGTATGTTGGTAAGTTATGATCAAAATGTTCGTATAGATGATCATATTTACTTTGAAGCTCAGATATAAAATTTTACTTGTCTTCTTGTGTTCTTAGAACGGTATGTATAAAAGTGGAATAGGTTCTTTAAATATTTTGTGTTCTATAATTTTGATGCTAGGAATGTAGGAATCATAAAGTATTGATGATTCCCATGGGTACTCTCAAAATTTATGAAAATCTTTACTGTTTAATTTATTTTATAGCCTACTAATGAAAGAGTTTATTAGTTTCGAATTAATAGAACACAGAGATTTGAAAGGTGCGATAAGTTATTTTGTTGATATTGTTTGAATGAAGTATGTATATAGGGTAATGGGATATTTTAAATTAAAATATAAATGGTTTGAGAGTTTCTGTATTCTGTCAGATGTGATATGAATTAATATGTAAAGTATAGTTATAATGAAATGTATAGTGTAAAAAGTTAATCTCAAAGAAATCCTTTGCTCTATGTGTTTTTGAGATATATCCATCGTTTCTACTTTTATCTTGTTATTTTCATTGTTTTTTGTATTATGAAGCTCTCAATGTATATTGTTTTTATACTCATATTTTTTTTGTTTTTTTATCTAATAGCTTATAATCTTTAATTATTTTAGGTTTTTTTTCTACAAAATATTGATTATGTTATTATTTAGATCATTACTAGTGTTCAATGATTGGATAGTTTAGAATAATTTGTGTATGCACGAAGTTTAAAGAGGCACTCCCTAATGCTGCATTTGGTATGTATCTTTGGAGAAAATTTTGTTGAACAGTTAAAATTTGACATGACTATGTTCAGAATTATTCAATTTTTACATAAAAAAGCAGTATTCAAAAACATGGTGTCAGAAAGATTATATACATGTAAATGTTAACAATGAGATAATATTTGGAAAACATTGGGTGTTCACCTTGTTTGACACCACTTTCGATAGCAGATCACTTTTTTGCGCCTGCAATATCAAATGGAGCATTAGACCTTCAGTAATGTCCTCTACAACTTCAAAGTCCCAAATAAATAATGTTAGTGACCTGCATACAAACGATTCCACTAATAATTTACTGTAAAACAAGAAATTAATGCAAGCTAAACAAGGTGGATAAAAATGGGTATTGAAATTAATTCCAATCGCCATATCATACCCCTTTAAATCAGACAATTATTGCTGGTTTCACAATAGATTTAACTAAATATTGTTAGATGAATTATATAGTTGTTAACCCTGCTGTTTTGAGGGGTGTTCTGTTTTACAGTATTGTTAATTCACAGGGAAGCCTACTCCAGACCTTATTTAGATATATTTCAGATCAGAAATGTGTATTAAAATTAATGTAACCAGCAGTGAGGCATATTTAATGTTTTGAGTTATTGCTGGCATTAAAGGGACAATATTCCTGATTAAATGGTCCATGCAGATTTTCAGACCATACATTATACAATTAGTCTTATTAAAAAGCATATGGGTCCAAAAATTATTCAGAGCAATCAATCCTCACGTAATTTATTACCATAATAATGTCTCATTACTTTTTATTGATTTCATTCCACCTTATTGTTTTCCTCTAAGATCTTCCACCGAAGCGTGAATGATATTTCATTTTTCTCTATCAACATCAAGCTCAAGATTGGCCTGTAACCCATGGGTTTTTTTTGTAATATTCGTTGGAACACTTTGAAGACCTTATTTTTGGAAAAGAACACTTTGAAGACCTTATTTTGGGAAAATGAATGCTGGTTGTGTGGCGCATTGGGGCTTTTATTTCTTGTTTTGCAGAATCCAGCTGTTGTTGTTGCTGTTAACTAATTACATACATCTAGTATGTAATTATTGTTGTTGATATTTATATAATGTATTCCTAACATGTTTAACTAACATGATTCTTGTGCAATATTTAATTATTGTTTTATATTATTATTATTTTTTTTTCTGATAAGCTCATATTCCATTGACAATTTCGATTCTATGTATTAGTCAGTTATTTAAGAATCGGTAATGGGGTATGATTTACATATTTAAGAATCCCATTGTCATCTCCTGCGGAGAAGAGAAGTTGGCAGTAACTGTTCCATCTATTGTGGGCCAAGGTGACAAACATAGATCCCGAGCACTGTATGCTAAGGACTCATTTTTTATGGAGATGATTTGAGAAGACACTAAAAATGATTTCGAGGCAAAATGTTTTCTCCCAATATTACTTGTATCTTATTGTTGACCTTAAAATCCTTCAACCCTATAATGCTATAAGGTGTGTTCAACACAAAGCATTCAAAACAGAAAATTGTTCAAAATTATAAGCATCATACACTGAAATAGTATTTAAGCTACATACTTTTTATAATTAGAACTTTATACTTTTATTTCATGATATTGTTCTAATATATAATACCAATAATTATATTATTAAAATGGGGTCAATATTGCTGGTCAAATATAAGTTTACCCCAAAATTATCAAATATTAAGTTTGTCTCATAGTTTATAAGTTGAAAAGTAGTATCTTGTAAGTGCTTATATGTTTATATATTCAGTTTTTTCTGTCTACCTTTTCATCAGTAATAGAAAAACTATTTTATTCATTTCCATAGTTTTGATCGGATGTTAAACATCCTTCATCTGATTTCATTTATTTTGCTTCACATTTTTGTGTTCACATTTAACTTTTGAAGGTTTTTCTTGTAAGCTTATCTAAACGCCTACACACACACCAAGGTTTTTGTTTTCTGGCAAATAATTATTTGTCTGCAATGAATGATTATCCCACGTCGTCTTGATTCGTAGGATTTTATGTCCGCTTCCACCTTGGGTGATATCGCAGACAAAGATTACCCTTCACATTTCGTAGCTTATATATATGAAACCATCTGTGTTCATTAAATTTGTTCCAAATGCAAGCTTATTTTTGTAAGCTTTTTGGGACAGGCCACTATTGTTTGTTTTGTATAAACCAATCAGTGTATGGATTAGTATTTTTAACATTGCCATGTAACTGTGAAGGTGGTGGGGCATTATCACACAGATCACACCACTGATGACGAAACGTTAGTGACAAGAAATTCGCAGTTCGGTTTAGTGGTGTGTTTTGCCCAACAAATTGTCACTGCAAGAGAAATTGGACAAAAACCCTTGGTGTGACCAGGCTTTAATGATGCTTTCAAAATGAATGTAGATATTTTTTTGGGTTAGATAGCATGCATTGACTTAAAAGTCATCGATAATTTGCTTGTTTACTGACAGATAATAGTGTAAGAAGGATTGATATTATAAGGGCTAAAATGCCCCCCAAAAGCATTATTTTAATTTAATCAGTTATTGAGTGTGTCTGGGTAAAAAAAATAATTTGGCAGCCACCTATCTTCCCACAATACATCACTGCCAACTGGTGAACACATTAATTAAAATCATATTCAGGCATAGACCTAATACCATGCCTGGTTTTGTGTTTACCTTTGCAGTTTTTAGTTTCCTTGTCACTTACTAGTTAAAATATTTCAGTATTTAAACATGAAAGCTATGTATCATAACTTATTATGTAACTAGCTGCAAACAGTATTGTTCATTATATATAAACTGTAACAAATTATATCATTATATTTGTTTATATACACAATATCCATATGGCTTACAACTCAATGCTAAGTATTGATTTTATCTTTATTGTTAACCCATTACTGAAGATTATCAATAATGCAAATCCTATAAATATGCTATATATTCAAAAATTGTTTTTCTTTTTTTAATTTATTCAGACTGGTCTGAAACCAGGTTGAGGCCTGTATAATAGTAGTCCAGTTTTGTAGGCAGGATTTCTGAAAAGGATTGGGTCGGGGCAAAATTGGTCTAATTTTGGACTTTGGTTGTATTACATACTTGAAGGCCAGTGTTAATATCACAATCTTGTACTCTTGTAATGGTTGTCATCTAATGAGACAGATTTGTCGACTGTGATGTCGTTATTATGAACATATATATGTTGGTTACACCTTTTGATTTTATTAAAGACTAATATGTTTTATGAAAATAGAGTACTATGTAAATTTGACTATATCATTTATAGAAATACATGAAAGAGTCATTTGTTGGTTTATCATTCTTGACAAATGAAATTGCTTATGCTTATAGTCTGAGCAGAAAATGTTCATCATCGATCTCAGTTAAGATACACAATTAGATATTCTACCTCAACTAGAAACAATGCTAATGTCCATACAATCAATTTTCACTAGCTTGAAACAGTCAATAATTATGGAAAATTAGTCCAAAGATATGTTCTCTCCTCCTTCTGAAAAGTTAATACAATGAGATTAATAGAATAAGACCATATAAAAATATTTTGTGTGTCGAAATTAATAACTGTCTATATATTACTCCCACCACAACAGATTCTTATTTTTAAAATATATTATTAAACATTTATACAGGTATCACAAAATTATATGCAGCCTATTAATTATAAGGGCATATAACATAAAACTGATAATTATTTATATATTACAATATGCCGTCAAACGGTTTGTCAGTGCATAACCTCTTCGGCTCTTCGGTCAGGTCTCGTGAATGGTAAGCGCGTGCATTGCTACTTCGTTGTTAATACATGTACCAGGATATCTATGGTTAATACATTTGAAAACTGTAATTCCATTTTTTCCTCACCCAGATTATGATTTAAAATTAATCTGGGAGATTCAATTAGTTTACTCTCTGAAGTACGGCCAACGCTGAAAGGAATATAAGACAGAATGATTGAGACTACACTGACAATAAGCCATTCATAGCCTTCATAAACCGTCCCATATTTTAACCCAAGTAGAAATAAGAATAGACTAATAATATTGACTTGTAGTTTGCACAGCGGCAACAGACCTTGGTGGAAATAGACGTATCTTCTTGCAGTCACATAATGGAAATTTGATGCTAGATAAATGGTAAGCCTACTATATCTTTGTAAAATTATTAATTTACTTTAATTAACAGGACAGTTATAATACATTTGATATGATGTACACTTAATATACGTACATTACCGATCCATGTCAAAAGTCGCCTATGCATTTACGTCTGAAACAAAACAAAACCCACATTTCTACCATAGACCCAACTAGTCTCAGTCCATAAGTATACAAAAAGAAAATATCATAATACATCCATAATACATACATATATCTTTAATTTCAACCAATCCATCGTCTTGGATGATTTGTTACTTTCAAATTATTCTCTCCGTTAGACCGACACCGTGAGTCCCGAAACGACCCAGTTTGTGTGAGTTGACGTTATTAAATCCCGTTTCTGATTTTTCATCGATGACATACATGTACGTATGCAACATGTTTGATCTTGTAGGCGAAATCAGCCAAAGAAGACCGAGAATTGGTGAGAACCCTGGACAGATTTGTGAGAGCTTAGCGCCCCCCCCCCCACCCCTTCACCCTCGCCGCCTAATTACGGGGTGGCCGCAGGAAAAAAAGTCCTCGGGAGTACCGGGGATCTGACGAATTGAAAACTGGTTATGGATCTTTAATTTTGTTTTAAAAGATAGTAGGGAGATACCCGTATGCCAATTTTTATTTTTCAATTTTTTCTTCCAGAACACATCGCAATGGATGTTGCCCGCCTGACCAAATGTCTACCAAGACCAATTGCATTTTCTATTGCAACAGTTTTTGTGGTTACTATGAATGCTGTTGTATTCACGATAAGAACCATTTCCCCAATACTCTATGTAATTTTAAAGCTTGTTCGTCTTCTGTCAGGTGGTAATGAAAAAACTGTTAAAAAGGTGGAATTCGTATTTATGACGTTTGGAAAAGTAGATTGCATTAAAGGGATGCTTCGAGCTTTGTATCATGCAATTTATGATAAGATTGAAATTGGCGGGAAAGTTCCTGACACGTGTGTCATTTCTTTAGACGGAAAATCTTTACGTTTGTTGGATTTTATGGAACCATCACGATTACTAGTTATAGCATTTGGCAGCTGTACTTGACCAGGGCTTGTGAAGAAAATGGAAGAGCTCAACTCTGCTTTTCAAGAGTTTGGAGCCTCTGTTAACTTCCTTCTCGTGTATATACAAGAAGCTCATGCCGCCGATGGATGGGTTATTCCTGGCAATGACTTCAGTTATGAACAACATAAAGATATCAAAGACAGAATACAAGCTGCTAAAGAATATAAAGAACATTACAATCTTCAGTTCCCGGTTGTTGTCGATGGCATGAATAATGAATCGACCAAAGCTTTCGATGCAAATCCTTTCAGAATACTCATGGTTAAAAATGGAACATTTCGTTTTGCAAGTATCTTCAATCCACCGAAAAATGATTACATTATTTCTGATGAAATTAGAAAGTTGATGACATAATGGAATTCTGGATAGATTCCGCGTTTTATATTATTTTATCTATTATTTGTTATTCTATATACTTCTTCAAACACGATGACGTGGGAGCAAAATGGAAGAGTGGGGATGTATTTTTACAACAGACATAATTAGTACTATTTTAGTACTATTTAGTAGGGTTAGGGTGCAAGCAGTTCAGCACCCACGGGAATACTTGGCTATTCTATAGATATGGGAAAAACGAAATGGCGTGGGAGCAAAACGGAAGAGTGGGGATGTATTTTTACAACAGACATAATTAGTACTATTTTAGTACTATTTAGGGGGGTTAGGGTGCAAGCAGTTCAGCACCCACGGGAATACATGGCTATTCTATAGATATGGGGAAATGAAATTGGGTTTAACTTCCTATACTGTTCTGCCCCGATTGGGATAAGCAAGACGGGCATACGCCATACAGTGTGCTATGGGGGACATTTTACCCGGACAGCGGCGCTACGGCCTACTCTTATATACTTATATAAAATTCCAAGGGGATCTTTTACGTGCACGCCACCAGAACGACTATACGTTGTTCCTTTGCCCACTGTCCTGCACCACTGACAAGGGGGAACCACGCCGGAAAATCTCGATAAACACGGAACCTCCAGGTTAGCGAAACGTCTTACTTACTGAGTCACCGCGGCTACTATAGATATGTTACATATATATTGTAAAAGACTTTATGATTAAATCGTTGTAAACGCTAATTAATCAATGGTTTAGGATGATGTGTCTTTATCAATATATTATAGAATAGGGCCTAATATCTCATTATATATTTGTTGTTTATAAGTATTCTCATTATTTAAGAAAGGATTCTTATTATGTAAAATGATCTTTTATGCTTTTGAAAAAAACAAAAAAACAATCTCATTATTTTTTATTATCTGCCTGTATTAAAATTCTGTATTTCTAATACCGTATTTGTTGATTTATAACACAGTATTTAACTTGTGAATTAACTCTTTCTGCTTCCACACTGAATCTTAAAGGGCAATATTGGTGTCAGTCATTATCACACAGGTGACAGAACTGGTTAAATACGTCCCAAATGTAATTTTAATACAGAGATCATTGCTCGATAGATGCGCTGTGAAACTTTCAAGAAATGGAAGTCGCGAACGCAAAAGGAAAACACGACTGAAGTGGCGAGTGATAACAGATACACGGGCGAATTTCTGCTCACTAATAATTCCTTCGAAGGCCAAAAATTGTTATGTGAGGCTGTCAGAGGATATCTGATGATTCAAAAAAGTAATTGAATGCCACTAGATAAGGGAAAACGAGAAAAATAGAAATAGCCCGTACATTCACTTGTTTTTATTCGTTCTATACTTCATAAAAACATGGTAATATGCACGGACTGTTTCTATTTTTTTTTCTTTTTCTCTTATCTAGTGAGAGTCAAGTATTTTTTTGAATTGTCAGATATCCTCCCACAGTCTCATATAGCAACTTTTGGTCTTCTAAGGAATAATATTATTAGTGAGCAGAAATTCGCCCGTGAATCTGTTATCACTCGTCAATTCAGTTAGTTATATAGAAGGATAACTCGTGTTTTCCTTTTGCGTTCGTCACTTCCCTTTTGAACGCTTCATAACGCATCTATCGTAGCAAAATGAAATGAAATGAAATGGGGTTTAAGGTCCTACTGTTCTGCTCCTATACTGGGCTAATGAAGACGGGCATACGCCACACAGTGTGCTATGAGGGAATTTTTGCCCGGGCTGCGGCACTATCGCCTTCTCTTATATCGAATTCCATCTGCCAGGGGATCGTTTACGTGCATTCCAATGTATACACGGGACCTCGGTTTTTGGTCTCATCCGAAGGACTAGACAGCTGTCCTTGTCAGGCCAATTTAGGGATCGAACACCCGACCTCCAGGCTAGCGAGCCAGCGTCTTACCCACTTAGCCACGCGATCCCCCATCTATCGTAGCAATGATCTCCGTGTTAAAATTATATTTGGAATGTGTTTAACCAGTTCTATCACATGTGATAATAATGACTGACACCAATACTGTCCTTTAAAGGTTATGATCATCAGAGAGAGAGAGCGAGAGAGAGAGAGAGGGGGGGGGTTAACGTCCACTCGTCACAAACTAGGTCATTTCGGGACTAACATATGGTTTAATTTTCTATTTCAATAATTCGCTTGCGCGTAGGGGTTTTTAGCAGTGGTGGGGAACCGGAGGACCCGGAGAAAACCCACAAGGTTGGACAGGCGACCCTACTCCTTGTCACGTACAACGGGGGATTCGAAACCACGCCAGTTGACTCAATGACAGGCTTTATGATACAGCACGCACGGCTACTGAACTAAAAAGTGCAATTTGTTACATGTTACAATGTTAAACAGTTTGTTACATTCTTATTTCCGACATTCCCGACTAAGAAATATAAGAAAAGAAAGAACCCCGAGCGGACCCAGCCAAATACATTCATTCTAGCTCTTTGAAGCTTAATATGTCGATTGTGCCTCTTCCTTTAATCAGTAGGCCGTATAGTAAATTAATTTTAAATGACAAAATCTTTAGGACCTTTTCTTGCCATTTTTCAGAGAAAAAACCCATGGCAAAGTGGACTAAAACATTGCAATTTGTTGCATGTTACACATAAACGTTTGTGACAATTTTATTCGCACAATATTGGCCGTAGCAAAGTTTTGATATGTTGAAACACCAATCATTCCCGGCAAAGAGATAAAAACAAAAAACGCGGAACCCGCAAACTACAAAATTTCTAGAGAATCTTGATATATTATACTTCTACGTTTTTTTTATAATACGGGGCATGTTGATTGTGCCTTCTGAGATTTTATAACATTTTATATAATATAACATAATGACAAATCAGTAGGAAGTTAATTGCATAAATTGTGTCCCAACAGGTCAAACCAAGTTGTATTAAAGCACATTTTATCAGCCGAGCCGAGCGATGCGAAACAATTTTATTAAAACGGTATGCAATTTTAATTTTCCAATTAAACAGCCGAAAGAACAACAGTTCAATCCTTGTCCATTATCGGGTGCCGTTATACAAACTTAATTAATCTTATCGACACACTTGTATTTTATATTTTATGGTTGATGAATTAACTGACAAGTTAATGTGCGGATACAATTTAGTTCATATTATTATTATCGACATTTAGTTTTAATTGTACATTTTTTTTTTTATTTTGTATTTTGGTTGTCAAAATGTAATATATTCGCGGGACCAAAATTTTGACCCTGATAAAATAAAGGTAGATCAACTAAAGTGCTCGAGAAAACAACCTGGCTTGACCATGGACGCCAAACGCGTGGCATAATATTGTGAAAGTCTGGATAATCGAATAATACATTCCGGAAGTGTAAGTGAAAGATTTCCCGCGAAAACCGAAAGAAGAGAGCCAGATCATATCAGATTCAAGGTAAACAAATCAAGTTTGATAAACTCAAAATTTGTTTTTAAAACTGTTAACATTATGTATTATAAATACCTGAGACACTGCTCGAAATTCATCACATATAAACCATTCACCATTCAATCATCTTCATCGCGATTGACTCAATGTAATTTTAATGTTCAATGTCCGTATCATAAATCATTTATTCATTAATTTCATTTAAGATGCCTAGGATCTCTATCGTGTTTTAAATCTTATTCAATTATTTTCTGGCATCTGTTTTTCAATTGTGTCCAATACATGTAATGTGGCATGGGTGCCAGTTAACTCGTCCACACATGCCGTACCACACTGATCCGCAGTGAATATTCGCTTGGCCGCTACAATCACTGATAAGGATGACAACGATGCGACTTAATGACTACAAAATATTAACTTTTTTCTTTCGACAAATTAAATTCTGAAACATTTTTTTTTAGTATTAGAAAAATAAATAAATGTGTTTGAAGTATATCTTGATAAAAAATATTCCATATTTAGCGTAAATGGGTACAGAATATAGTACGCGGAGGCGTAAAATGGGTAAAACGATATAATTTTGCCCGTACCAGTTCATATTACTACGTTCGATGTAAACAATGCACGTATGACCATCAATTTGACGTTTTTTTCTCTTTGTTTACTCTGAATTCTTTCAGAAGTACATTTTTTACCGTCTAATCTGATTGACCTGCTCGTGTTTGTTTTAAAACAACAAAAACAAGCCACAGAAGTAATCTTTTTGGGTGTTATCGATGCCACCCTGCCAAGCCTTGAAATAACTGCTAAGGTTCAGCCTGACATCATGTCAGGCTGAACTGATTTTCGGCCGGACATTTCAGATTTTCAGCCTGACAAATACTTTATAAAGTATATTAAACCAAAAAACTGTTGAAATTTACTATGTTTATATATATTATTATACATACATATTTATTAATAAAATAAATTGATGACTCACATACAACCTGGAGTTTTAAGTTTTTATATGTATATGGAATACAACTTTATAGTTCATATAATAATGTCATTAATCTCTTTGGTGGGGCTGGGGACTAAATCCTAAAAACTCTGATTAAGATTCAAATTTAACTAAAGAATAGACATCTTGAGTTGTCGTAAATGGTTCAGAATCTGCCAAGTCATTTTTGATCCACTTTTCTAGTTCTACGGCTCGTTTTTGTAATTTTCCAACTGGTGACGGCGACGCCCGCCGTTTAGAAGTGTCTTTATGAGAGACATAAGATTAAGACACAGTACCAGTCTTTGAATTTTCTGGAACGGTCCCACTAGCCGGGATATCCGTGTCCGAGGGTTGGGAAAAGTAAGAAGTTATTTTATTCGACATGTTTTCACGGCTCTTCTATTTACATTCACATTGGAAGTGTCCAACAAAGTGAGATATTTTCGTATAAAAAATCTGTCCCTAATTACATCCATAGTCAACTTGGACATTTTCTTGTAAACTAATTTTAAAATATTATTACTTTTATTACTAATAATTTATATAATTACATGTCATGTTAAGTGTGATTTAGAGCTAATCATATACGAAAGTAACGCAAAGCTAGCTACGAGACTCGAATAACCAGTGTAAAAGAGCCGATTCTCAATATTATTCATTATTTTTTCTTCACGTGGCCGAGAGAGATACATGTATAAATAGTAATATTTTTACTATGACTCGGGTCGTTGATATAACCAGCGTAAAAGAGTGATCGATTCTAAAAATTATTGAAGATTTTATCTGCACGCGGCCGAGATATAAATAGTAACATTTTCACGATGACTCGGGTCATTGATATTTTTGGTTCTGGACTTTCGAGTCTATTAATAAATAGCGATCGACTCAAATATTTTTGACATAATGTTTTACAAAAACACGGTCGGACAATTATGTCCGGACGAAAGGCAATTTGGCCTGTCAAAAGGGGTCAATTCGCCCGGACATTGTCCGTGTCCGGACGCTTATTTCAGCGCTTGCACCCTGCTTTGTTGGTAAACATCGTGATGTGACGTCACCCTTAGAACTACAGCGGTCTGACCTTTTAAAGGTCAGTCATCTTGGACAGAGATAAAAGACGGATGTCGCATTAGGTCTGTAAAACAGATTGATGCCGTACATCACTCACAATATATGTGGGCAGTGGTCCACTATGACTATTACTATTAGACTGGATAACCTGCTCTAATACGTCAGACTCGCTCCTATATATATTGCATAATATATTGAAGTCAGAATAGCGCAGTGACGTAGGAACAAGCCTGACGTCATTTAGAGCAGGTTGTCCAGTCTATATTACTATTAGTAGTTGGTTTGTACAGTACACGTTAATTGTATGGAATAAATAAGTTTTACTCATCGGTTGTTTATAATTGTTTTATTTACCCAATGCGTCCCTATTATATTGCAGTGCCATATGGCATGGAACCATATATTTTAATAGAATCCAAAAGCATTGATTGACTGAGAAATGATAGTGATCTATATATTATGTTATGCATAGTCATTGGAAAATTCCATTTTCACCGTGAATAAAATATAAAGACAATTTTTTGCTTTGTCTTGAAAAATAATGGGTGGGTTATCGCCCATATTACCCCACTTGATACTGCTTCCAGAACAAAATGAGAAATTTGGAGTGCAGTTTCAGTTAAAAGATATAGGTTTAGTTTATCGATTCATTATACCTTAGTATGAAGTATGAAATATTCCACAGCAAAAAGTCATCAGCTTGTATACTTATGGGATTATCAAATTTACTGTTAACTTAAAAGGTTTTTGACTATACTGCGATGTGATACATTGTATTTTTTTTATTCATTCCCCCAGTAACAAACTTAGTCGCCATGGGTGTGTGGAGGAATCATTCAATTATACTGTTTGTATGACTCAACCAATGTATTATGATATTTGTGGATGACTTAACTAGACTTTTCGAGTGGACGACTTAACTGGCATTCATGTGGCATCATACTTATCAATTACTCGCGTCACTAATGTCAGTTTTTTTATTCAGGAATAAATTGTGGCTCTTCGTCAAGTTCTTGCACTCTTGCTGTTGGTTGGTCAACTGATTTAACGTATACGCTTTAAATCATAAGACCTGTCATTGAGTCAAGCGGGGTGGTTCCAATTAACGGTACCAGCTTGTACATGTACGTGCCCAGCAGTAGGGTCGTCTGTTCAACCTCGTGGGTTTTCTTTGTGTGACATCCAATTTCCTCCCACTGCTAAAGACCCCAATGTTACATGTATGTGCTAGCGAATTATTGAAATAAAATGGAACCATACATGTTAGTCCCAAAATGACCTAGTTTGTGTCTGTAAAATGCTTATTTTACTATTTTGAAAATTTTTCATACCTTTCTGTACCGGTATCTAATTATATAGGGTGCCATTCCCCTTGTATTAACATGACATATTTATAATCTTGTATGAAAATATTTAGTTTAAATTGAAGATTATCTGAGAAATATAATGGAGTCTGTACCACTAGAAATGGATGATATATTTGGAGATGGTGAAGAGGAAGATAATTATCCTGGTCCATTAGCTGATTTACCAGAAGAATTAGAGCCAACACAAAATACAGATTCTCTTCAAAATGCAGGTATACATTAACCATCTACATTTCTTGTCCGCTTTTTCATGTCTTAAATGTGGGCACTAGATGCTAAGTCTGTCATTGAGTCAGGTTGGGAGGTCTGCATAAAAATGTACCTTATGTTAATCCAGGCCCCAAGTTCACAAAGCATTCTCAGGCTTAAGTTAAGAATTTACTCAACTTTCAATCACTGTTTAAGAGAAATATCTTTGATCCAGAAAAACAAAAATTTGCACATAGTTTCTTAATGACGTATTTGATATATTAAAATAACAAGAGATTTATAAGGGGCTATATTTAATTTTAAGTAAAAATAAGACGAAAAATTTTGAGTAAATTCTTAACTTAAGTCTGAGAATGCTTTGTGAACTTGGGGCCTGATATAACCTAGGTTGTGTTTAGTGGACATTAAAACTCCATTTCTCCCTCTCTCCATTTTCATGAAACTTGATGTGTTGCCTTATCTTTTATACATGAATTTGATCGAGATTTGGCAAATATCTGCTGAGTTACTGATTGTAAGTTTTCAGAGTTATACTTGAACTACCCGCAGAGGCAAAGACAATACAATAAAAATAGATTTTTCATGGCTAGATTTTGATGGAACTTGGAACAAGGCTTTGTATCAATGAGAACTTAAACCAGTTTAAAAGCGATTCATTTATTAGTTGCAAAAATTATCATCCGATCTTTCTGAAATTTATATGCATTATTTAAATTAGTGAAACAAAGAAGATTATTGAATTTCAGCAATTTCCGTTTATTACGTCTAGAGTTATGTCCCTTGTTTCACTTTATTGAACCTTGTGAACGCTCTAACAGCAAAAGTTATCATCCGATCTTTGTGAAATTTATATGCATCATTTAGATTAGTGAAACAGAGGTCTATTGAATTTTTGCAATTTCTGTCAATTATTTCTAGTGTTATGGCCCTTGTTTTACTTTGTGAACCTTGTGAACGTTCGAAATGACAAAAGTTGGCATCCAATCTGTATGAAATTTATATGCATTATTTAAATTAGTAAAACGAAAAAGCCTTTCAAATTTCAAAATTTTCTGTAAATGACTTCCAGAGTTAAGGCCTTTGTTTCAGTTTGTAGAACCTTGTGAACCTTCAAACGACAATAATTATAATCTGATCTGTATGAAATTGTCTTGTAAATGCCCCCAATTACCTACAAAAGAATAAATATGCGTCAACCCTTGTCGACCGCTCGGATGATTTAGCTGCTGTGGGCGTATATGTTACGTTACCTGGCAACCTATCTTCATTCATGTAACAAAACTTGCAATGTAGATTTATATCCCTAGAATTTAAATTATTTGCAGAATTATTACTTTCACTTGATTTAATTACTTATCCTTATATCAATTGGAAAAGTAACATCCCAAACTAAACTCTTTGTTCGTTGACTGCTGCTACGCCCAAAACCTTCAAAAACTCATTTCAATATGTTTGGTTTAATTTTAAATTATTTCAGAAAATGATGAAGTTCTTTCAAAATTAAAAGATTTATCAAAAGGAGCAGCAAAGAACACTGTCCGCCGTCCTATTCCCAAGCTAGACAGTAAGAGGTAAGATTCTACAACACATGTTACTTGTTAGTTACAATTTGTTTTTTGAAAATTTAGACAAAGGGATTTGGTACTAAAAGAGGACAATTTGGTACCTGTTTTTTACAGCCTCTGGAAGTATAAGGTTTAAAAAGTGGTGAACAGTTGTTAAAATTACAGAAGGACATAACAACTGCTGTAACCATGTCGTAAACAAAATCCATAAACACAGTCAACACGGACAATCTGTATATTTGTAATGGAAAATAGATGATTCTCCTATTTTTTATACTATTTCAAAATAACTGGTATCTTTACTACAATTACTATCTTGTACATTTTAGATTGACTGGAGAAAGAGGTATACCGATCGTTCCCAAATTATTTGAAAATGTTAAATTCAAAGGAAAAGGGCATGAGGTAAGATTTCCTAGTAATCTGTACTGCTAACTAAAGTACATGTATCTTAACACAAGGTACAATTTTATGGATACTCAATTAAAGGATTTATTACTATTCAATGTTTCAATGAGGACACTTAATTACGTCTTGAGTATCCTTGTCGAAATGTTACATTGGAATAAATCTAGTAATTGTGTATTCATAAATTGTACCCTATGTTAATATGTTCAATCAACAACTAAATGCCTGTCACATGTATCTTAGTGCTGAGAACTCTAACCATGATTCAGTTGGACAGATTATTGTCAAGAAGAGTGTTACAGAGTTTTACTTAGACCACACTGGACCTAAAGTAGCTAATAATTAGGATATTAAAACCCTAAGAAAGAACTACCCTGTCAAATTTTAAAAATTTAGGATCGTATATTGGCAGAACCAGGTTTAATTCTCTCTAATGCCTGTTTGTTTTTTAGAAGCATGATCTAAAACTCGTAATGGATAAATTAGAACATTGGAGTCATAGATTATTTCCCAAGCTGCCATTTGATGAAGTTCTTGCACGAGTAGAAAAGCTGGGAGCTAAAAAAGAAGTACAAGTAAGTAAATGTAACATGATTCACTAGGGCCCTTTTGCATTGGTATGAAAATGAAAATATGTTAACATTTTCGTTCACATCTTCTCTTACACATGGTTTTAAATTCAAAGTACGATTATATCTAAATTTATGCCTTATTTCTAGATGATCAAACATATATCGAATTATTTATTTCAACTCTTTTCACCTATTGTTTATCTACTGATTGTATAGTTTATTCAGTATTTTAAAAATTAAGAATTATTCAGCTTGAATTGAAATTGCAAATTGCTTGGTTAACTGATTTTTTGGCAGATATGTAAAACCTTCTATATTCTATACACTGGACACTATCAAAACTATACACATGGATCCCAACGCCATACACAGGTGTACAGGATGATATCGAAATGAAATTGGGTTTAACGTCTTACTCGGGATATCACAAGTACACATGGATTGATGACGTGTTGGGTTGTGTACCTTTACAAAATGTCTCTATTATTATGATTGAACGTTTTCTAAATTCCTCAACACAGCTTAAAGCCAAAGGTTATATTATTTACCTTATAATTAGATAGAATTTTTAATTATATTTTTGGATTGTTCATGGATTGTTGGTAATGCAGAATCAAAGCCAAGTCATCCTAAGTCTAGTATGTCACAAGGAGGAACCCTATTAACATTAAGTTAATGCCAGTCACTGAAACCATATAAGCACTGTACAGATCAGAGGTTGTTGGTAATATTAGGGAGAAACATATTGTATCACATTTCAACTTCTATGAGTCATGTTAGTGAAACCACATAAACACTCCTTATCGGGCAATGCTATAATTTCATATGACAACATTTATTAGATAAATTTATATTATGTTTAGACTTGTATCAAGAAGATGCGACAAGATATGCCTATATTAGATGAAGATTTTGTGGGTGGTGGGGATGAGGCAGAAGAAGAAGAAGAAGAAGAAACTACAACCAATGATAAACCCACTTCTACAAATAATAATAATCAGGTTAATACATAGAGTTTTAATATTGATGAAGCACAGATCCAGCAAATTGATTTTTTCTTACTAATTAGATACTTCTAAAACAGCATTGTTTTCTTTTGTTTAGTCAGTGATTGGGTACATAAAATGTGTATATTCGACATATCACAAAATGTTCCATTCTGCCCAGAAATAAACAGATACTGCATCAAAACTTAGTCCCAGCAAAACCCCTTCATTAACATGGCAGCTTCAGGTTGTTTGAGACTAGAGCATTGCTTGGTTGGCAAGCTGTAATGTCCTATTATTATATGCCCACTTCAAAATGCAAGTCATTGTTTAGAGAAATAGTGACATTTCATTGCTTGAATTAACAGGTCAAGCCAATAAGTGATTGGATTCAGTAAATATCCACCCTCCATGGTTAAGATAAGTTATCTCCCTTGTGAAATAAAGTGAAATGGGGTTAAACGTCTTACTGTTCTACTCCGACTGGGCACGTTTGTAGTTGAAGGAGAGTATTTTAGGAGTTACAATTATTCGCATGTTAAATAAATATATTTGTATTTCTAAAGACTGTAACAGATATGGATGCTGAAGATGTTTTTGATGAAATTATGAGACAGGAAGCCAGTCAGAGAGCCAGCCAACAGAAACCAGCAGAACCCACTGTATCTCCTGTTAAAACACAAACTGTAAGTACTGGATGCCCTCTTTTGTAACTAATCTTGGCAGGTCCTGTTAATTATTTATTTCAAACAAATAATCAAGTTCAATTTTGAGTTAAAGCCGCTAAGCATCAATTGCTTTTTTCAGACATCTCAATTTTCACATAAAAGGTAATCCAATTGATTTTTTAACATCTAATCGAGAGAACAAAATTTTACCCAACAATTATAGTTTTTTTCTGGCTTGTTTATATGGTCTGTAGAGAATGCTGAAGTTTTCACAATTTTCAATTCACCACATGTTGGTAAATACTGAACAGATTTGAAGCATTTTTTTTGACCGCAGTTTCTTGTATAGATTCAACTCTCTCAATTTTGTAGTTTGCAAGGGATTCAAAATCCATTAAATAATGATCAAGGGTTTTAAAAATAATTGGAAAATTATTGTATCAGTCTTTATATGCTAAGCTTTCTGTAATTATTTATTTAGATGTTGTCTGATGAACAGAAGGAAAGAATAGAAAGAAATAAAAGAATAGCGCTGGAGAAAAGATTAGCAAGATTAGGTCAAACACCAAATAAAAATGGTGAGAATTTTCAAACTTATTTAATTATATTTATAACCAAAGTGAACCTTCAGTGTGGAAAATGTGAGTGCTATGAAGCACCTTAGTGGCCATATGCCAATAGTGTATACACAACATTAACGAACTTTACCAACTCACTAAAAAAAAATTCTGTAGATTAAAAAAAAAACCTCTTTATGGTTAAGGACAGATTTTTTGCATTATCACTGTATGCAGATCAGTGCATGTTACTCTTGTTGAACGGAAGCCGAGAATGACAGTATTTTCTTTTCGTTAATTTTTTCATTGAGGAGTCAGTTTAGACTAAAGGGCTCACTTTGACTGACATCCAGGTGCGCCCAGGAAAGCAAGAGCACTACTTTTACATTAAGGCCTAATATACAACCTGTTACGTTATCAACTGTAATAAAAGTAAAAAAAACATTTTATATGAAATTGTATGACACCACTGATAAGCTCCTCTATATTGAGTTTGGATGCTTTCTAAATTCATTACAGGCAGGTTGGATGGTCGAATAGTTAGCGCGTGCGCATTGTATCATCAGGTCTGTCATTGAGTCAACTGGCGTGGTTTCGATTCCCTGGTTCTGTGTGACAAGGAGTAGGGTCACCTGTCTAACCTCGTGGGTTTTCTCCGGGTCCTCCCTCTGCTAAAGACCCCTTTGCACAAGCGAAGTACTGAAATAGAATTGAACCATGTTAGTCCCAAGTGGATGTTAAACCCCATTTCTCTCTCTAAATTGATTATACTTAAATTTTTGTACATATTTTATTTGTTAAAGGAAACACTTCATCTCAAGTTCCAACCACATTGGAAGCATCAAATGTGAGTTCACAACCTTCTAACTTGATAGAAGCAGCATCAACAGAGGAGGAAGAAAATCAGTCAGGTCCTTCAAAACCTTATCAAGATATTAATGGAGATCAAGAAGATAAAGATGAAAATAAAACTAAATCACAAGATTCTGTTAATAATACAGGTGGTGAATTCTTGGCAGATGACCAAGAAAATGTTCATTTAAAAACAAATACGACAACAGCAAGTCAAGTTAAAGACAATTCTCCTGAAACTGTGGGAAAAGATGAAATTTCGAAAGTTGATTCATGCAACACAACAGCAAGTCAAGTTAAAGATAATTCTCCTGAAACTGTGGAAAAAGATGAAGTTGCGAAAGTTGATTCACGCAGCACAACAGTAAATCCAGTTAAAGACAATTCTTTCGAAACAGTGAATCAAGATAAACTTGCGAAAGCTGATTCACTGAACACAACAGCATGTCCAGTCAAAGACAATTCTTCCGAAACTGTGGATAAAGATGAACATGCGAAAGTTGATTCACAGAATACTGAAACTGAAAGTAGTGATAATAGTGCTTCACAAATCGATAACAAAGATGAACAGGTATTAGAAAACTTATCAGAAAATAAAGTAGGTAAAAAATTGCAGGATTCCACTGTTTGTGACAAAAACTCTCCTGTTCAAAATAATATTGATGATGTAATTGAAATGAGTTCCGAGGTGTGTTTGGGTAAAAATAATGAAAGTAAAGTACATGAAGAATCCCAGGATTCCACTGTTTGTGACGAAAATATTTTTCCTCTCAAAAATAAAGTTGATGATGATGTTGAAATGGGTTCAGAGGTGTGTGAGGGTAAAAATGATGATGTTGCCATGGATACTGATGAACAACAAAAAGCAGAAGAAATATTAAAAGATCTAGATGATCTGTGAATTATAATTGACTTTTTGTAATTTTGTGAGGGAATAGCAAAAGGAAACTTTTTACTGAAAAAAGTTTTACATTCTTCAGTTGCTCTGTTAGAGGCTATATGAGCTTAGCCTATTCATGCGAAATTTGTACTGTATTAAAATATTATATGTTTAGAAGCTGTGACAAGCAATATATTAAACTGGTCAATTTTAAGTGAAATTTTTTTAATTCCAAACAATCATGAAGTATTGCAAGTCTGGAAATATGGCACCGGTTACAGCGTGACATAAATGTTGCAAGTACCAAGTACCACAGATTAAGTTGTAAGAATTTCTAAATTAATATCTAACAGGTATATTGAAAAACTGAATAATAATATTTACATCTGGCCAGCATACTGCCAAAATACTGAAATCTTGATCAACTCTAAGGGAAGATTTTTAATATTGATCAATCAAGAAAATAATATAACTTCAAATTTTTTATTTTAATTTAATGAGATGAAACAATCACACGAAAAACATTTTGATGATTTGAGCATTTGTACAGCTTCTAAGTATACATCTCATTTACATGTATAATTACTAGGCTGTTAATGTTAATAGTTTTCATTTCGATTTTGATAATGACTATTTCTGAATGTGTATGACTAATAGTCGATATTTGCCTTCTTAGCCACTAGTTTGGAATATTGTGCCTTTTAATTAAAGTCAACTTTCCCTGGTCACTACATATACTACATTAGCTACATGTTTTATCAGTAACCATGGATCTACTGTTGTATTACTAAATGATCCAGTAAAAACACAGTAACAACAGTTTCCTGTGGCACATAATATGGGCTGAGGAAGACAAATAAAACATTAAAAGAAAAAGATGTTTTTTTCATAAAACAAGGGGACTGGCAATAAATGTATATATAGAATAAATCTATGCTTAAAATTATTGTAATAAACAGAATTATATAAAATAAATATCATTCTACTAAAATGTATTATTATTACTAAGTGCCTTGATATAGCATTAAATAATTTAGCCAAGCATACATGTATATAAGACAAGTTCAGATGATGAATTATGTCTAAATATCTATTTACAAAATGTGTTTTATATAGAGTATATTATTTAACCTACTACATTTTAGTTTCTAAAATACTGAAATGAAATGGGGGTTAATGTCTTACTTTTTTGCACCAACGGGGCAGAGTGCTATGAGGAAATTTGACATTGGCGTTACATTTACTCTTATTTTGATTTCCAACAGCCAGGGGATCTTTAAGGGGCTGGGAATGGTATGCACAGGACAATAACTTATTACTTCTCCATATGTATCAAACTAGTTATATTTATGAAAACTATATGTAGAAATTGTTAGCCATATGAACTTCCCAATAAAAAGTATTAAAGTGTTCAAAAATATACCCTGAATGGTCAACAACATCAGTCACTATTGTTAAATGGGGCTCTAGTTTGGATTTAGGTTTCAGAATCCATATATATTAGTAGAGTCATTAATGCTGTGGTTTTAAATGAGCTTTGTCAAGTTATGGTCATGAACGGCCAAGTTCGGTCACATAAAAAAACTGTCCACAAGAAAAAGTAAGCGAAGATTAGACCCTGTATTAGTGATTTCTCCGTGTTCATATTAGATCTGCATATAATACTAGATTATCTCCCCTTAGACCACACTATTTACACCTTTATATTAGTCTTTATACAAGAATGCAAATGCAAATGAAGTCCGATGATGGGAGATGTTAATGAGTATTTAATATGACTAAATGTCATCATCACTGTCGGTAAGTCCAGCTATTTCATCATCATCTCCACCTATAGCATTCCAGAATGATATGGCAATCTGAAAAAATAAAATTAATGTTGACTCTACTCAGGTATCTTCATTAATAGTTCATATTTATTCAAATTTATGAAAAAAATAAATAATTGGAATGAAGCACCAATCAGACCATGGAGAATTATCTACATTACATTATTGAAATTGTTTAATTTTAATAATTGTGAATTAACTTGCCTTTTCAGCATAAACTTTTCTGTCTCCCATTGGCATAGAATCAGCTTTATCTGTAAGTAAATATTAATTTATATATGATGTATGCTATCATACTTAATTTTTGCATGAATGATTTGATATCAGTTTCTTATTTGGTGTAAGGGGTGTTGGATGGCCGAATGGTTAGCATGTGCGCGCTGTATCACACAGTCTGTCATTGGGTCAACTGGCGGGGTTTTGATTCCCCGGTTATACGTGACAAGGAGTAGGGTCGCCTGTCCAACCTCAAGGGTTTTCTCCGGGTCCTCCGGTTTCCTCCCACTGCTAAAGACCCCTACCACGAATTATTGAAATAATATGGTATATTGACAATGTGATATTACTGTATTCTACTAAAAGAAATGAGTGTTCTATAATCATTTTGTACATCCATGTAGAACTTTAGAGAAATCGAAAAAATCTCAATGGCAGAGCCCTATGGGTGTTGCAACAAGTATACCAGACTACTATGGTACTACTTTTTGCAACTGGGCTGTTGTAGCTCTAAGAAAAATTTTCTCGGTTACCTTTCATGACTTTCAATTTCTCAAATAGTTGTTCAAATGATTCTTGTTCTGGGTGGTCTTGACCAATAGCAGCTAGAATAGCTTGTTCTTCACTTGGTAACATTGAATCTGTAAAACATCTTACACAATTAGTCATATTATATTTGAATGTTTAAAAGAACAATAGCAATGTCCACAGATTTTATGTACGTGATTAAAAATATTTTGCTACGGTTGATTTATATAATCATGATTTTGGACAAGCTGCAATAATAAGAAATCAATTTTGTTACTGACAGAGTAGAGCACTGTATCACATGGCAATCAGTCTGTTTTGAACTGATATTAAAGTTTTGACGGGAAGGAATAGTCATAATTGGCAGATGGAAACTAGATTGTCATGTATAATTGCCATGATAATAAACGAGTTCGACAGTTTTAGTGCTTAACGCAGATATGGCAGGCATTTTCTAATCCACTCAATATCTAAGCCATCCGATGGACTAGAAAACTGATTATGAACTCGTCACAGGAATTGATGTCTAAATGAAATTTATATAACATTTGAAACAAGAAAAACATCCTGCCAATAGGTAAGTTTAGATCTAGCATAGTGCTGATTTAACAGACAAACCTATTGTTTCTTCTTTTGATTTTCTGACTGTCTTTTTCTTGTCACTTTTAGCATTTTCTTTTCCTGATTCTGTTACTTGATCTGTGTCATTATTGAAATTACTACTAGCACTATCACTAACGTTGTTTAGAGTGTCTGTATTACTATCTGTAACAGCATTACTATCAGGAATGTTTGAATCAGATTTGTCTTCACTACTAGATGATAATTTTGATGCTGCTTCTTCACGCATCAACTGTTTTATATAAGGACTTTGTACATCAGGATTCTCTGTTAATAAAATATATATCAATTGAGAAAGATAATAACAGACAGCTTTATGGATAACATTCACTAGGTTTGTTAACCGCAACGTTAAATGGCGAACCGTGTTTTAATCTGTTTAAATCTCTGCCATACGATGGTCGAGAGTTGATTATAGGCTTGTCATGTGGATAAATGTCTAAATAATAGTTTATGTAACTGTTGAAGCTAAAATAAAGACCTTCAATAGGTAAATTTAGCTCTTACATAATGCATCTTTAAATCTGAATAAAACAATTTCATTTGAGATGCATATATTGCACAAATATATGAATAATTTGTTTACCTTTCATACATAGATTAGGCCATGTGTGAGCATGAAGTGCTTGAATAATTCTTTTAATACCAGTTGTTTCAGCAAAATCATCTAAAACATAGAAATAATAACAACCTAAAATTTGAAATAGTCTTTACACTGGCCTTCATTGGATGCACAATTTTAGTGAGTGTTAAGTTAAGACCAATGCCTTTGATATCACCACGTTATTATTTCATTACTATACATTGTATTGTATTTTTGTGGTGGCAATGGTCTTATTAGAAAGTACAATGATCCCAGAGAACATGCAACTAAAAATTTGTTGGTTAAATGGAGTTGAAATTGGAAAAAATTAAAGAAAATGGGAGATGGTATATACAGGGTGTATATTATTTATTACCTTCACTGTCACTAGTTTCTTCTGGTTCAAGTTCCACCATTTCAAACTCATGTTCTATACACCATTTCTGTGTAGCTATCCTACACACAGCTTTAATAAAACATTAAATTAAATACATTCCTTGTAAATATACACAAACAGCATAAAAAAGTTTGTTTGTTAATCATAAAATTATACTGTCCCTGTAGCATTGGGAATACACAATGATATATCTATTAATCATGACATTCACTTGTAGTATTCTATTAATAAACCAAATGGGGTTTAATGTCCCATTAATCTTGACATTCACTTGTACTATTCTATTAATAAATCAAATTGGTGAGGGAATATGCCATGCAGTAATCTTTGAGGGACATTTTGCCTGGACAGTGGTACTACGGCATACGCTTATTCCAAATTCAAACTGTCGTAGGTTCTTTTACGTGTACATCAACATGTACATTTGACCTCAAGTTTGCTTCTCTGCCAGGCCCTCCTATCCTGCACAACTGATAAGGGGAAATCATGCTGGAAATCGCCATGATCGAACCGAACCTGTGACTCCCATGTAAACATCAACAGTTTTACATCCATCCACCTTGCAATGTTTCTAACCATTGCATAAATAGCATACTATGTCTGACATGTATCTACAGAAACTGTATCTACTCAAAGATAGCAGCAACAGGTTTATTTTCATCTGCATTCTATTTATACTAACCATGTGTATCAGTAGCTGTATCACAAACTAACATTTTTATCTGAGCTTCTAATTGATCTAAATACGGTAGCCATGAATCAACAATCTTTAATCCAGATTTCTACAATAATAAACAATTACTTCAATTATAACAATATTCAACCCCCCAAAAATATACACCATTGGCAGCATGTTAAATATTCCAAGACAGTTATTATTGGAATTAAAATAGGCCGTAGTGCTGCTTTCTGAACAAAATGTACCTCATAAGCCTGTCTTCTTTAGCCCAATTGATGCAGAAATGTAAGATGTTAAACCCTGTATCATTTTTGTGCCTGCATCAGAGCACAAACTATATAATCTTTGATATGAAAACCGTTGTATGTGGTTCCATTCTACCAACTACTGAGCTTATTCAAAGGCCAATTTGCCCCTGAGAACTAAGATGAAAAGTGTATTATTGCTTGAATTGACAATGACCAATACGGAACTGTCCAAACATTTGAATCCTACGAAGTGATAATCTAATACCTCTTTATTATTGAAGTGAACGATAAACGCTTGAACAGATTCAGCAAATGTTTCATCACCAATAGTTCTAGTATCTGTTGTACATAAATTAATAGTTGCTGTATAATATTTAGTGTCTATCTTCCATGGAAACGCATCCACATTATCTGCTACCGTTGATGAGGCTGGCAATTCATTAACATTTAATATTTCTGAAAAATATATTCAACAGCATGTCTAACTTTCTGCAATTACTTCAAAAACGTCTAAATTTTTATTATGATGTCCATTAAATTCAAAGGGTTTTTATTCATAATTATACTATTGCAAATATCTGACATCTCAAAATGTTAGGTCCTGCTTTGGAGGGGAAGATAATTCTATTTATAATTACACTGTACTGTAGGTGTGCTCTTTATGATTCAAGTATTCAGATATTTCAGAATTAAAACACTCCACTCACTGTATTAAAGGGTAATGAAACTATAAATTTTATTGGATCTGTTGGTATATTTCATTTGAAATAAACTTTATGAAATCTGTTTGACCTTATAGAAAACTATATTCTGTAGTATATGGGGCATAGCACACCTACTGTCTAAAACAATATTAATTTTATGACCGCAGTATGCAAGGGTGTATTCGATGGTCTTCACATGTCGGCCATCAAAGGTTTTTTTTTACTACTCTTAAGAGATATTTGTACTACACCGAGCCAAATGATCAATTCATTCTGAACATATATATATTAGTAAGGCCAACTCTACATAGGCTCTGGGCAGGCTACAAGTACAAGTAGTACAAGCTGAGGTGTGTTTTTGGGTAGCTAACAGTTATAATTACTCAAATGAAAACAAACTGTAATTTTAAAAATGTGGAGAAGCTGAACGCCATAGGATTCAACACAAAACGTGTCGGGCAATTAAAATAAAAATTGTTATTTAATTTTCATTTTTAAAGCCCACTTCCAGCAGTCTGGTTGATCTTGACTATATTTGTCAATTAGCCTGAACCCGTCATAATTTGACAAAAATGTGTTGTTTCAAGGACTTTTTGACACGATTCAAACCAGCCAATTAACGGATGTGATGCATGAAACACAATGTCGTAAAAATAGAGGGATACACCACGTACTTTTTATGAAATTGCTTGGGTTATACTCTGAACAAGATGCAAACAGCGCACAGGGCGCAGCCATCTTTGTTGTTTACTGCGTTCTACGTCATCAAATTTTGATTGTTTTCATTAGTTGCCGTGATACGTCAGGAAAGGGGACACTCTTCTTTGATTTCAACTTTTTGGGGTGGTGGTTTCCTTTGAAGGAACTAAAATGGATCAATAATAATTGACTTAATCTCAACAGACTTACCATCGGCAATATTACATTTTCAATCATCTGCTTGACAGAGGCTTGAAAATGCCTGTAATGACAGAAATAGAAACGAGACCTGAGGATGTTGGTCATATTTTGGTGAAAGTGAGTATGCAAATTGCAATGCAAAAACAAAACAGAATGTGAGAATGCAGACTTTGCAGTATCTAATAAAATAGACTAAGTCTAGATCAAAGCAGATTGAACACCCTCTTCACTTCTAAATACTTATATATCTTTCATGATTTGCCTTCCACCTCACCCCCACCCCACCCTCCGAAAGAAAAAAAAACTAATCTCAAGATTAGTATTATAATTAATATTGATAGGCTAATTATAATTTTATCTCTAAGCTTTTCATAAATTCTTTGAACTGATTTAAAGTTGAGTGAAGGTACATATCACTTATCAGCTTCTATCGTTAGCCTATATGAAATTCTTGCATAAAGATGTAGACATGCATTTTCATATTCTGAATATTGCATTATCATCAAAGTGTGAACAGCGTAATACTATAGTACGGTATGTTTAATCTCGATAAGAGAATCAATCCAGTGTCTGCCTCTGGATAATCAACAAAGCTTTTTGGAAGATTTCATAGAATTCTCCACATCACAAGTTTTTATTGTACATAAAGGTGGATATTGAGTCTACCAATCAAAATCTTCACATAACTGATATAGAAAAAAGAAATCGGTACATAATGCTTGCATAAATTTTAAATACTGCCTCAAAAAGGAAAATTTGCACAATTAGCTTACTCTCCAAATTACTACATCTTTGTTTATTGTATTTAGGTACAAGATGATTTACGTCAACTTAGAGAACGTTTGTTGGCACAAGGAGATGGACAGAGTATTAGTGTATCTGATGTGGAGGCAGCACTGGCCAATACTGAAAAAGGATTACAGGTTTAATATATTATATTTACAAATAACAAGTGAATATCATAATAAAATGATTTTTTATTTAGTACGGCCTTCTGTTAAAGGGCACCTTCCCCTCCTCACACTCTCATGATTCCACTTTCCTCGTTGGCATCAATAACAGCTTGCACAGTAAATCTGAGTTAATCAACTTAATTGCAGTTATTGAATGATGAAATTTGGTTGTAAATATTGTAATTTGTATATTTATATTGCTGTTGCACTAGCTCACAGTCCACAATACAGACTGTATCATCCGATCTCTTTAAAGTTTATGTTTACATATGTGCAACCATGAATCCTACTGAATTTCTTCAACTTGTACTTTGCTTTATCTGCTTTTAGCATACGTTTTGTTGCCTTGCAAACTGTCTTATTCTTAAGCAATTTATGGTGCGTTCTTGCTACAGAAAGTTCTATTTGTAACACATATAACTTTGAATATTTGGCTCGAATGTGTTTGAACACTTTACTTGTAATTTTAGATAATTTGACCTTTTCAACTGAAAGAAAAGAAAGACTTTATTTTCTGATTGATTACAAATTAATTGTTTATCGTGATATATTATTTAATAGAGGAGAACAGAAGAAGTGGTTCATCATTTAGACAATCGTATTCAGACATTTTCATTAAATGGAGAATATGGTCAAGGTATGGAACCATATACAGGAATAGAATCAACATGGGATTTAAAAACTAATAACAGAACAGATCACATCAATAGATCAGGTTATTTGTCAAGGTAAGTAACTCTGTTTAATATTTTAGATGCAATAAGAAAAATATCTAAGTGGACACAAATTTGTATTTAAAACTGTTAAATATTGAAAACAAAACACCTCTTGGAGATTTATAGGAACGGATTGGTGAACTGCACAAGATAAAAAGGACTGGAGAAAATGTGTACTGGATAATAGATATACCGATTAACTAAAGTAAACACCGCAATCTGGCATCGAAAGCAATATGATTTGTGGAATTAATAATGTTTATTTCCAAATGTTTCAAAGAGATACAATGGTGAGGAAACCAATGATGTCATCAGCTATGTTACCGACTAAACAACCAGTACAGTTACAAGGTCTAACACCAGGTCAACAGGTACAGTGTAAACCCTTTGTTTTTCTGCTTTTCTATTTGTCCAGTGTATTGCCACTTTAATTAATATGGTCAGTCATAGCTATCAAATTTCATGATCTTGGAGATTAATGCCATAGAGTATGAAAGCATAGTACTACTAGTAGTAATTGCTCAGTCATTTTGAAATTGGAATAATTTTGAAATCTTAGGATAATTTAGGAAGAAAACATCCTAGGTCCTTGACCACTCCTGTGGAGTGTTGAATCCTTGAATTTAGTCTATGCATGATAGTGCAAGGTAACAAACATTACTGAAACAAACAAAAATTCTGTGGCAAACAGGTGACAGTTGCAAGGTAATGACATCACATTGTGTTATTTGTCAAAAGACTGGGGTTTCAAAAATTAATGTCAAACAGTGACTAGCTGAACTCAGATAAAAGACATTAAAATAACATCATTTTCCATTTTATTTCAGATGAAACAACAGCGTAATCTAAGAGCCATGTTTAATCCTCATAATCAACAAAATAGAAATGTCATGCAGGATAATTTTGGTGTTCAACTTCCTCTTATACATACTAAGAAAGAATCAAAAGTAAGTTGTGATGGTAAATGAATTATATTTGATTAAGATGTGACTGTTAAAGTAATTAAGCTATCAATGTAATTTTACAATACCTCTGTATCAAGAATATGAATTATGCTTAGATGTCATGGACTGTTCTTATCACAGACGTTCGCTCTCATTTGAGACCAATAACTGACGAATATTATTGACGTAAACTTGAAGTTGTACATGAATTAGATATGGAAAATATTGAGTTGTTATAAATATTATTTTCGAATATTGTATGGGAAAAACTAATTGTCGAGATTTATTTTTATTTGAAGCCTGTTAATAGTACTGTTGACAACGATCTCTCTTGACCTAATTCCGAATATTTTGTTTCAAATGAATTAATTACTGTGGTATTAACCCTGATTTTCTATGGCAATGAAGGTACTGATCCAATTTAACATACAGACTACTTATAGTCTAGTCCAGTGCGCTTACCTGTACAATTATTACCTTTTAAAGATATTGGCAATGACATAGTTACACTTGTGTTTTTTCCCCACAGGCCCCAAACAAACCAGTATTAGGATCAACAGTTGAACCACTAACAGTTTTACCTAAAGCTAATAGAGTTGATGCTCAGGTAAATTTTATATTTATTCACTGTTTGTATAGTTGTGCTTTTTTCTTCCTACAACACAACAAAAGTATAGGAAACTAGTAGTAAAACTGGTAACTCATGTCACCTATGATCAGAAATAGCTGAAACTGCTACAGAGATAGAGTAAAAACTTACTGGAGACCAGTTGTTGCATACAGTCAAAACTAGTTTTATATGCACTCATGTCTCAAATGTCGCAAATAGCTCAGTTAAAACCAGTTTCTACTTGTAAGGGTGAGATAAAAAAAAATTCCAGATCTATTTTCTACCTCCCCTCCCCCAAACCCCTTTTCAAATGATTTTCTTAAAACTAAATATTATAATGAGTAAGCTTGTTTATTTCAGTTGGCACCACCACCTATATCAGAAGAAGATACACAGAAAGGAATTATGAGTTTAATGGAAAGAGGTTTGATTCCACCTGCTGCTCAACTAACTCTTGATCCTTCACCTGTACGCCAAAAATCGGCACCATTACATGATCCACAAAAGAAAAATAAAACACCTGCTGTTTCAGGTAAGTATTTTATTTACTGGTTCAAATATAGTTACTTCAATATAGGATGCAGGGGAATGAGAGATGGGTCTGAGAGGAGTTGGTGTAGGTTGGCCAAGTGGTCTAATGCATGCACTGTAGATCTATTAGGTCTATAATTGATCTGATCATCTAGTAGGGTCGTCTACAGTCTCTGGGGATTTTTGTTCATTTTGCAACACTTTTGCAGCTGCTATTCTTTGAATTCAAACTGCCAAGGGTTCTTATATGTGCACTTACCGGTAAATGTATACCGAACACAGGGTGGCCTTTTTTCTCTGTCCAATCCAAATTTCTAGGCACACTTTCCTTGTCAGCCCTGCAGACTTCATCCTTGACAAGTGAGAACCAGACTTGAAAAATTTCAAAGATTCTACAGAGGCCCAGCTGGGATCCACATCTTCCAAGCAAGAAGCCAGCAGTGCACTACTGCTCGACTATTGCACCCCTCACTTAAATGTAAATTCTAAAAAAAGTTAATGACATACAAGTACGAAGCTTCAAAATTTACTTTAGTATAACTTATAACTTAAACCATTTCAGATATGACTGGTTTATATGCTGGAGTTAGATTAGACGTTATTGCGAAAGAACTAGAAAATTCTGATGCAATAGTAAAAGTACCTGGTGCTGGTCAATCAAGAGCAGACTCGTCAGAATTACGAAAATATTATAATCACTCAAGGATAACATCAGCTACTTCTACTAATTATGCAAAAACACCAGTCTCCATGAAAACATATGAGATGCCACTCCAACCAATGGTATGTTTTTTTTAAATGTATAATCATTATTTTGTTTATTAGTCAAATTATTAGTTTTATTGTTCAAAAAAGTAATTGAATGTCACTAGATAAGAGAACACGAGAAAAATAGAAATAGTCCGTACTTTGCCTTGTTTTTATTCATTCTATACTTAATAAAAACATGGTAATGCACAGACTTTTTCTATTATTTTTTTTTGTGTTCTCTTATCTAGTGACAGTCAATTCTTTTTATGAATTGATAGATATCCTCTCACAGTCTGGCACAACAACTTTTCGTCTTCGAAGGAATTGTTAGTGAGCAGAAATTCACCCTTGTATCTGTTATCACTCTTCACTTCAGTCAGTTATATAGAGGGATAACTCATGTTTTCCTTTCGCGTTCGTCACTTCTGTTTGTTGAAACCTTCATTAAGCATTTATCGTAGCAATAATCTCTGTTTTAAAATTATATTTGGAACGTATTTAATTAGTTCTATCACAAATGTGATAATGACTGACACCAATATTGTCCTTTAATAGTGGAATGTTCTTTATACAGAGTTGGAATCCCAGGATGCAGATTTCATATTTAATTATGTAAAATAGTTTTATTTACATGTTTATGTGTATTTCATCTGGGAGGTATTATTATAACTAATCAAATATTTCAGCGTCTGCCACCATTACAGGTGTTACAATTTTTTTTATTTCTGAAGCCATCTATATATATGTACACATTTCTTACATTATATACATGCATGATAGTTAGCATACAATCCTTTCATTAAAAATATAAGATCTATTATTATGCATGTAAGATCTATCAATCTGTCTTTGCTAAGAATAAATCTATCTTTATTATTAAATGTTTTCTACATTAAGAAGTATAAAACAAAGAATATTAATGTTACAATCTACATCCATGGAAGCCTGTGTTTTTATAAGCTTTAAATTATTATATTTAGGTTGTGGATGCTTATCAGGTAGATGTGGTGAAAGGCGTGCTGTTTTTTTTAATAATTTGATTGAATTTTGATACTTTATAACTTCAAATGATATTTCTTGTTTCTGTCTCCTAACATTTTACTCTTAGACTATGTATACTCTTTGCACACTTTAACAAAACAAATTAATTATGTGTGTATTTGTCCCCTGAACATTAATAAGCTTTCACAATCACACATATATTTACAAAATCTATACAATTGTCTTAGCTGTGTTACTGTTAAATTTTACCAAACAAAATGAGTTACCTCCCCTTAGTCTTCAGCTTTTACCAAATATATAGATTGATTTGTAATTTATTGGCGATAATATATATACACTTTATTCTACATATCATAAGTAATTAACTCCAATGTGTGCAATTAAAAGTTGTTTTTTTTTAATGTATAGAATGTGAATCTGATCAAAACTAGCAAGATGTTGATTTTAATTAGTTTTATTTCTGATGTCTGTAATATGTCTGTACTAGATTGAAATCTGACTTAATTCCTTTGATGCTGGCAGAATAAAATATCAGAATACATGTATACAAATCGATCAGGGCCAACCTGATGAAATCTTTATTATTCTTTAATGTAAAAAACTTTAAACTTAGGCAGTAAATTGAATAAAATACTTGCTATGTAGCCTATGTAGGGATTTGGCTTACAGGCTACATGATAAAATCTTTATAAGTATTCATAATCTCACAATAAATAGCACATCTGTTGGTTAGATTTAATACAATGTTGTACAAAAATCAGAAAAAATTGTAATTTAATTTTGATCAGATTATTAGAATGCATCCTTGAAATTTGTGCGTAGTTTTAGTTTTTTGGGGATTTTTGTTGTATTATAAATTTTATTTTTTGATTATTTTGAGTTTTCTTTACGTAAATTATAATTAGCTACATAGAATCAGTAAAATAAATTTTGAAAAGTTTCTGTGTATATATAATTGTTTAGTCATTTATAAAATTTGTATTTTAGCCTCCACCAACAACACCAGCTAGTGGAGAACTGAAGTTAATGAGTCACAGATTTGCTATACAACATGGTAGAGTGCGAGATAATCAACCAGAATTTCTGGCTTTTAAACAGCATTACTGTTTATCATGGGGAAGGTCAGGCTTTGGTTTATTAACATAAACATATAATGAATGATGTATTATTTATAATATTTTATAGTTAAAAATAAAAAATAAATTTATTGAATGAATGGATCAAGTATTAATATTTTATGGATGAAAATTGAAAAGAAATTTTCTGGATATTTTGGGTTTTTTAGAGAATGTATTTTTGTCGTGTTAATATATATTAAAATTTTAAATTTTATTTCAGTATTGTGACAACTATTAGACAATTAGAGAAGATGTTGTCAGCTTATTCTGTTCCTATAGCTTTTATAAATGGAGATAGGTAATTAGATTATGAAATACTCTGTACATGTATATTACCTAGCAGGGCTGTTAGAGCACTGAATTCTTGACCGGAATGTTCAAGTTTAAATTCTGTCACATGGCAAGAAGAATCTCTGGTTGTCGCTTGTCAAGGGTAGTGCCTGCATGGCTGACCTGCATGGCTGACAAGTAAAGTGTTGCCAACTCATATAGATGGGATGAAAAACTGAGGTCCATCTGTGATCAATTAAGAGTAGTCTGAAACGCTGCTGTCAGGGCAAAATTCTCTTACCTAGCATTGTACACATGGTCATAGAAAAAAATAACCTTTTAGTTGCAAATTGATTGAATTATTGTGTTGACACTATTTCTCTACTTTTCTTTCCTAACAGTGCTTATACTTCCAAAGTTGTTAAATTTACATGTAACCAAACCCTTGAATTATAAATATTTTAAAATGAAGAATAACTGTTATTTTTCAGGTTGGCTGATCTATCTGTAGAGTTTGAACTTGAAAGACCACCATTTATTGAAGATTTATTAACAGTGATAGTCAACAGAGAAGATATAGAATCAATCATAGCTAAACCAGTAAATATTCTAGCACTTACATAAACCTTGATGCATTGATATCATTCGATACATATTACTCTTTATCACATAATAATTTATTAATATACATCAAATAGATTTCCCTGCTGACACTATAGACAAAGCAACTTGTATTACTGTAGTTGCCTATTTAGATTGGAGCAAATAGAGAAATCTTTGGAGCAAATAGAGAAATCAACTGACACCTAAGCTGCTTCTTGATAAATGCTTATGTTTATTTACAGATTACCCCTTCCTTCCCCCCTCCCAAAAAACAAAACAAAACAAAAACAACCCCAACAACATCTATTCATTATGACTTGACTATTCAATATGACATAACTATTCATTATGATACAAATGTTCAATGTATTATGGGTTGTTTTTTTTTTTCAGGGTAGGAAATTCCTTGGCCAGAATGGACCAGTGGTTGCTGCTACATGTATACAAGCATCATGGCGACGTTACGTAGATAGAAAACAATATCTAGAATATCGTAGATTAAAATGGGCTGCTGGGGTTATTGCTATATCGTGGATTATGCATATTAAAATGGCTAAAGTCAGGAAACAACTACGTCAAACACGTCTTGATGAATTAGAAAGATTTAAAGAAAGAGCCAAGGTATGAGTTAAAAATATCTTGATAATGTGGATCATTGTTTGAGAAATAGATTGTTATTACGGGTGTTCGTTACAACAGATAATCTTCGCGATTTATACCCTTAAATTGGTATCCTTGTGAATATGACATATTGACATATTCCTGTTCTGTTATTCCAGTAAACATTAATATATTTTTGGATAAAATATCTACAGAAAAAAATGTTGAACTGAACTGAACTCTCAGGAGATCTAAAAGGTTACACTATGTTTGGTGGTGGTGGGGAGGGTGTTGGATGGCTGAATGGTAGCACGTGCGCGCTGTTTCATTGAGTCAACTGGTGGGGTTTCGATTTCCTGGTTTCTTCCCACTGCTAAAAACCCCTACGTGCAAGTGAATTATTGAAATAAAATTGAAGCATGTGTTAGTCCCGAAATGACCTAGTTTGTGTGAGTGGACGTTAAACCCCATCTCTCTCTCTCTCTCTCTCTCTCTCTCTCTTTTTCTTTGGTGTCAAAGTCAGGTATTATACATTCAGTCACCTGTGTACTGTTGGTGTGCAAGGTAAAGGAAGCCTTGATATTGGTACTGAACAGTGGGACATTAAACCCCATTTAAATTTTAAATGTTTAGTCATTAGATGTCTTGCATTTATCTAATATTGGGTAATGATTTTACTCTGTAGTTTATTTATATGGATTTTATTTTGTAATTCTTGTAGAAATTGGCTGTTAATTGGGATAGAATTAGTTACAATAGAAGAGTTATAATACACATACCGTCATTAGGTCTATCTCAGAATATTAGAGATAGTATTCATGATTTCGGTATTCGACAAAATACTCAGATGGGAAGATTATGTGATATACATGGTAAGTAGAAATGATTAAAGTAAGTTCAAACTTAATGTTCTGGGTTGATTCTGTTAGTAATTTGTAAACACTGCTTATATGATTGTGATAGAATTATTCAGATAAATTACAATACTACATTCAACAGATGTGTGTAAACAATACTACTAAAAAATATGATATATTTTGTTTTGAGTTTATATCTTTTTTATCATGGTTTAATCTGTCCTAAATTGTACTCAAGTTGATACAAGTTAAATAATGGAAACAAATAAAATTATCAAAAGTAAATGATCTCCCGCCCCATCAACTGGCTTGTTTATATCGTTGTCAGAGGATGCCGAATGTTACAAAATTTTCAATATGTCATATCTATGTACAATCTGATTAAAATACAGATCTATATTTCGTTTCGTTTTTTTATACTTTCGATGGTCTACACTACATGAAGATCTGACAAGTTATAGCAATAGGTCATGTCAGGGGTCAAAAGACCGACTTATGACCCTATCATGTCAGATATTTGATTAACCAATCAGCATTGATGTTACTAGTGGATTACCCAGTTCCGTGCAAAACACGCCTAAAGCTCGCTGTGACAGACCGTTTCATTGGCTTATCCCTGACACCATTCAGAACACAAGTTAAATAACAATTCTTCCAGATCCAAGTGTAGTAAAGACAAGTAAAACGACATTTTGAACTATAAAAACGAAACGAAATAGGATCTGTGTTTTAACCAGATTGATCTTTGTAAATACTGAACCAAAATGAACCATTGTTTTTAGAGATTCAAGTTTCACAATATTGTAGTTTGCAAAGACTTCAAAATCCCTCATGGCGATCAGCGGTTGTGAAGTGAATTTACATATATTAATTATTGTTACAGATCCTAATGTAGATGTGATATTTGTCTCACCAGTACCATTAAGTGATGAATCATACCAGTATTATTCTAAACTATTGGGTTTAAAGGCTGCTATAGGTAGCGGTAAGGTAGAAGATCAAGAAGATGTTAGTGATAGATATAAAATTATTATACCTGAAGCCATCAAAAGCTTTCCTGTAAGTTTTAACTTTAATAATGAGTTGCTTAAATAAGGTAGTACTTTTATTTGTTAGTTACACATGCTTTGATTGTGGTAAGTTTATGTCAACTGCATGTAGTTTTTTTCAGCTTGTCTCTCTTGTGTCGGTTCTAATTTTTGATTGGAATGGAATTAATAACCCAACATCAATGGTTAGGATACTGCTTAATAAAAGTGTCTTAATATTTGAAGAACTTTTTTAAAACTGGGATAATTGCCATTCAAACCTCTTTTTTTTTGCAAATCAATTCTTTCACCCAGTTTATTTATTTTACATATTAAGCATTTGTAAAGCAACATGATCTAAATTCATTGATATATAATTTCATCATTTGTCTGTGATGTTTTCAAAGAAATTTGCTTGTTTTAACCTCCATAATTGGCATGGTTTAACTCTTTATATCATGATATATGGCATGCAGGTTCTTGGCATATAAAATACGTCTAATATCCATCAACAATAAAATAGAAAGAATTTAAAAATAAAAAAAGAAACAATACATTTGACGTTGAGAAAAGTAAATTGTGTGTTTGATACAGTTTATTTATTTATGTTTCAGACACACAGAATGTGTTTATCTACCATATTAAAATACAGTCCAATAGCCTTACAGAGAATAAAGAGATTAATAGTAGGACGAGAAGCCTTAATAGTTACAGGTGTACCACATAAAGATGATTTATCTGTAGCTGATGCTTTAAATATACCTATATTAGCACCAGAACCTGATATAGCTCACCTTTATTCTACTAAATCAGGATGTAAGAGAATATTTGCTAGTGCTAATGTTGACATGCCTCATGGAGAATATGATATTTATAGTCTGGCTCAGGTAAACTTAATCCATTCTTAACAATATTTAAGTTAGATATCAGGGCCCTTATTCACGAAAACTTAAACTAAGATAAAATCGAAATTTTAAGAAATACTGCAACTTCATTGGATATATGCAAATTGATTTTACTGGTCAGCCAATCGAATTGCAGTATTTCTTAAAATTTCGATTTTATCTTAGTTTAAGTTTTAGTGAATAAGGGCCCAGTCCATCTGTCATTGCAAGCAGGATTTCAGATTCAGACATGCACAGTTTCTTCTATCATCATACTTTTAGGGAAACAATAACTCTGTTCTTAATTTGATGAGGTGTAGATATTGAAACTTGGTGTAGATATTCATTAAGTGAATGTCTTGACTGAGTTATATGTACATTATGAGCAATTTCTGCTTAGCTAAATAAGCAGAAATAAGCAACTTGATTTGTCGGTGCTTTGGAACAATATCTGATTCTAACTGAGTGAGAGGGAATGAAATTAGTTCATTACATCAATACCTTTTAACAAAGTCCGACAATAGGAAGAGGGGGTTGGCTGACCGAATGATTAGCATGTGCACGTTGCATCATAAGGTCTGTCATTGAGTCAAGTGGTGTGGTTTTGATTCCCTGCATGTACGTTACAAGGAGTAAGATCACCTGTCCAACCTCGATGGGTTTTCTCTGTGTTCTCCGGTTTCCTCCCACTGCTAAAGACCCCTACGCACAAGCGAATTAATGAAATAAAATTGAACCGTATGTTATTCCCAAAATGACCTAGTTTGTGTCGAGTGGATGTTAAACCCCATTTCTCTCACTCCAAAAATGGGGAATTTTCTGATTAGGTTAAGCAGAGTGATTAGTGAAAAGATTTGGGAATTGATGCGGATGAAATCAGTCTTACTGTTGGCTTGTTAATGATTTTAGTGTGGATAAAAGCATGAGAAAGTAGATATTGTCTGAAAAAATGCAATTGACAATTGGTGGTTTTCAAGTAACTGTGGTTACCTAACATTTCTTATTGTTATGATTAGTTGACAATATAAGCTTTATGTTATAATCCTTATTATTGCAGCTTCATGAATGTTTAGCTCAACTGGTAACAGAGAATTTAAATGTTAAACGTTGGTTATTTAAACTTGATGATGAGTTTGATGGTCGAGGTATAGCTACATGTGATGTCACACAATTTCTAGAATGTTATAAATGGGCTTTGAAAGAATCTAAAAGATATGGTGAAAAATGGTCTAAAAAATGGGCACAGGTAAAAATTGTTTTAACTACCTATTACAGTTTACTAGTACACATTAAATACTATTGATTATTATTTTATTAAACATACATTATGCAAGAGCTAAATCTGCCTATTGCAGGTCTTTCTTTACGTCTGAAATGTTATCTAAATTATTAATTAGACCATAATCAACTCCCGATGCCATCTTATGGGTTTGATTTTCATTGGATTTGAATCTGATCTGCTGTTCAACGGCCATTGATGATTAAACGCAAAAATGGATAAACGAGACTTTGTTAATATCATGACAGTGGTAACAATTACAATCAAGGCTACAGTGATTTTAAAATAAGGTTTTCTCGGCTTAGAGTAAAGCAATTTGACTGAAATTTTCAGCATATTCCCTTTACATTATCTAGTTTTTTTAAACTATTTTAGTGAGAACTGCCAGTTCTTTATCTAATCTTGCATAATTTATCTTTAATGCAAAATTTATTTAGCCCCCCCTTTCAAATACGTGTTCAGAGTGCTTTACAATGTTACAATTAAAAGAATATAATTAAAATAAAAATATGCATAATAACAGAAATAAAAAGATTCCAAGGAGAGAAAGCTCTTAAAAATAAATGTATTTTCAAATCCTACTTAAAACTGTAGACAGTATTACAATATCTTAAAATAATTGGCAATTTATTCCATAAAAGAGGTTCTTGAACAGTGAATGAGCATTGATCAAAAGTTAAAACTTTTGCCGAGTTTGGTTTTAAAAGAAATTTATCTTAACATCTACATAGGATTGGACCTAAGTCATTGAAATGTTGTGAGCTTAACTTAATAAAAAGAAACTATTATATTTTTCTTCTATTTTACAGGAAGCAGCCTATATTAAAATTTTAGCTGAAATACCAGAAATTTTGATCACTTATGCTCAACCTGCTAACAAAAAGATCTATCCAACATGGTCTAAATATCTAGAAGCTTTTCTAAGTCAGGGTAAATATAACTAATTAGAATTATTTTATTGTTATTAGTACATTGCATCTCTCCATTGTAATAATCTCTGGTTATAACTTGGAAGTTGAGTGGACTAATGCATGTGCTTTAGATCGTAAGGTCTATCTGTCATTGAGTCAAGTGGGGTGGCTCCAATCTCACACTTGTACATGATAAGGAGTAGGGTCACCTGTCCAACCTCATGGTTTTTCTCATTTCCTCTCAATGCTAAAAGATCCCTGTGTGCAAGAGAAATATTTCCCCAATAATTATAACATGTTATTTATATTTTATAGGTGGTGTTATAGAGGCGTGTCCACCATCAGAGAGTATAACAACTTTATCTGCTGATCTGTTAATAGAACCATCTGGTAATGTTAGAATATTGACTGTAGGAGATCAGATACACGCGGAATCACCACTATCATGTTGGGGAATGTCAATACCACAATCCTCTATAGAACCATCTATTATAAACAGTGCTTGTTTTAATATAGCTGAGGCATGTAGATCTAGAGGTATTGTTGGATATATGACGGTGGATTTTGTTACGTTCATTAATGATAAGGTAAGTAATAGAATTTTAGATAAGTATTTTAATCATGAGAGAGAGAGAAATGGGGTTTAACGTCCACTATGCACAAACTTGGTCATTTCGGGACTAACACATGGTTCAATTTTATTTCAATAATTCGCTTGTGTGTAGGGTGAAAACCCAGGAGGTTGGACAGGCGACCCTACTCCTTGTCACGTACAACCGGGGGAATCGAAACCACGCCAGTTGATTCAATGACAAACCTTATGATACAGCACGCACGTGCTAACCAATCGGCTATCCAACCCCTCTATTTTGATCATACTTTCAGCTAGAGCAGAGATGGGAAGAACTAGATATCCCTGGACGGTGTATCTTATCCCATTTATCTCATTAGTGTCAAACTAACCAAGAAAAGTTTTAACAAGTTTTCATTAGTCCAAACATTTGAGTTCCCATAAAATGTGTCAGGACTAATGAAATTTAGCGTTGCTGGGTAGAGTTTATGTTTTGCAAGAATTATCCTGCTTTTTCAGCTGAAATTTGTGAATTTTGGCCCATGAAGTATAGGATCTAGAATTTGTGATAACTGATATGAATTAATTTGTCTTTTTGTAACATATGATTATTCTGACTGTTTCATTATTGTCTTGATATCCAAGCATTATTGACAAATGAAAAAATAAATCTTCTTCGCCTCCTCAGCATTTGAATACTAAAATAATAACATATAAATACCTAACATGTTATATCACGAGATATCCTTTTAATAATTATATTTGTCAAATAGTCCTTTTGAATTTGTTTACAATAAAGTCTTAGTTAATTGATTGATAATTTTTGGGTGAAGATTCATGAAGAAAATATTTATCATATTACAGGTGAAAGCTGCAGTAGGTCAGTGAGTAAGGTGCTGGCTTGTTAACCTGGAGGTAAAGGGTTCGCTCCTTGATGTTGGCCAAAAATGTTCCTCTTGATTTTGTGGCATGGTGCAAAGAACAGTGTCTAGTCATTTGGAAAAATGACATCCCATGTACACGTTGGCATGCACATAATAGAACCCTTGACAGTTGGAATTTGAAATAAGAGTAAATGATGTTAATTTCATTTGATTTTACAGGTAGAACAGAAGTTATGGGCATTAGATATCAGTCTAAGTTACAGTGATACCCTGTCAATCTTCCAGTTATTGAGATATACAACTGGTGGTAAACTAGATACAGAGAATCATATCTTTAATATTAAACCACCAATACCAGACGAGAAAAAAGTTAAACCAAAACGCAAAACTGGTTCTGAAGTAAGTTATATTGACAAAATGATGATTATTAATATTCTAGTTGTCTCAAATCTACCCGTTAAAATACTAAAAATGATTTACATTTCTTTCTAAGGTTGTTGGGTGGTCTAACATGTGTACTTTGGATCTAAAGGTCTACATTGAGGCAAGTGGGGTGGTTTGGATCTCAAACTTCTACATAGCAAAGAGAAGGATTGCTTCATGGGTTTTCCCTTGTCCTCCGGTTTCCTCCCTCTGCTAAAGATACCTATGCGCAAGGAAATTATTGAAATAAAATTAGCCATGTTAGTCCCAAAATTACCTAGTTTGTGTTGAATGGATGTTAAACCCCTTCTCTGTCTCTCTTTTCATTCTTTTCTGTTTCTTAAATCTTTCTTTCTCTATTTCGACTACCTATAGAAAACTGTATCGCTACCTAGCCCAAGTCCAGAACCACAACAGGTATATATTTACTGTAAAAACAAGAAATATGTTTTTATACTAGTATGCATAACCATCTTTTCATAAATTGGTTATACAACTATTTTTGTATCTATTTTTGAGAGGTAATATAGGCCTAGCCTATTCCTCAATACTTTTCTCAGAATAAAATATTATATAAAAGAAAATATAGAGTTCATGAAATTAATCTGACCAATAATAGGGCGACTGAATATATTCATATGTAATTTAAAAAGATGTATAATAGGTCATATCTATGGCCTTTACTTCTCTTTTTAAAAATATAATGTCATAAACTATAGGTTAATAGTGCATACAAAGATTGTTAATACCAATATTAATCTTTACAAACCTAACTAAGACTTAATAGAAAAAATCCTTTTTAATATTTTCTGCTGAAAAAATGAATTTTAAATTAGTTTTATTTTATTGAAAGAGTTTATCCGACATAAGAAGACTTTGTTTCAATGTCATGTGATTTTGTAATAAATGTTAAATATAGTTTAGAATATTTTTGATTGTAGGAACCACCGAATACATGTAGATATGCTGTAATGAGTACACGTCTTCTACATACTAATCTAGCTGTTGTACATTATAGTGTCTTCTTTCAAATGTGTAGAGCTCATGGTATTGGGTTCGATATCAAGGTAATTATTCAGTTTAATTTCTATCCAAAAATATTTTCATAGTTTGTAAAAAGCTCCATGTGTCCAGAAATACAGAGCCGCAAAAGTTCTTCAGAATTTACCAGTCTGGTTTCCCCTTATCAGTGGTGCAGGAAAATGAGTTTTGTTGTTTTTACGAAACCAAAAGCAGAGCTTCTGTGTATACTATTGGCAGTACCCTGCATTCTGGTTGTGTTAAGCTCAGTCCAGTTTGTTTCATTTTGAGAATATGTTTAAATTTTTGAATGAGATAATATGATTTTGTAATACTCAATATTTTAAATTTTTGTTGTAGGAGAAACAAGGAACAGCTTTTACACTTATAGATAGTTTTAGTAGAGAAAGATTAGGAATGATGTAAGTACAATGGAGTTTTTGTGATAAATATTTATAATTTGATCTTAGATTTAAGTTGTTTAGAATTTGGGATTGTTATCTAATCCAGCATCTGGTGAGAAATATATTTGCAGTGTAATAATTTTGACCTTTGATATTGAAAGAAAATGAATAATTCTCCCCTTTAGAATTAATCAATCATGTTTTAGTTGCCAGATGACAAAACATTATCTGTTGGATGGCCGAATGGTTAGCACATGCGTGCTGTATCATAAGGTCTGCCATTGAGTCAACTGGCGTGGTTTCGATTCCCCGGTTGTACATGACAAGGAGTAGGGTCACCTGTCCAACCTCGTGGGTTTTCTCCGGGTTCTCTGGTTTCCCCCCACTGCTAAAGACCCCTACGTGCAAGAAAATTATTGAAATAAAATTAAATATGTTAGTCCCGAAATGACCTAGTTTGTGTCAGTGGAGTCTCGAAATGACCTAGTTTGTGTCAGTGGACGTTAAACCCCATTTCTCTCTCTCTCTCTCTCTCTCTCTCTCTCTCTCTCTCTGTGTATAGGTTACATTAAATTTATGTTAAAGTGCCTTTTTGTTGGGTTTTTATTTTCAGAACAATAGGAGATAATCTACAAGGAGCTCTAGCTATGTTTGCTCGTAATCTTTCTGTTATACATCAAGAAATATCGGCGCCAAACATGCAGGGTGATACAAACTTTAAGGTGAATATATTTTACAATTTACAAATTTATTTACCTGTAGGAAATATAGTAATCCTAAAAAAATATTTTAATAAATATGGAGATACAATTTATCATTTAAGTATTAACCCTTTTATGACTACAGTCTACTCTCATTTAAAATTTCAACTGTCAAGGGTTCTTTTACGTGCAATGAGTACACAGAATCTTGGTTTTTCGTCCCATCTGAATGACTAGACACTGTTCCTTGTCATGTCACCCCATCATACACCACTGACACAGCAAAACCATGCCGAAAAATTTTAAGGACTTTCTTGTCCAACACTGGGAGCGAACCCAAAGTAATTACCCTATGTGGGTGTAAGAATCTTAATTATGTTCTTAATATTAATGTAATTTGTTGTATTGTAGGGTGCAATAGAAGATATTGAAGGTATATTAGGTACCACAATACAGAATGCTGAAGATCAACTAACTAAAGAGACTTGAATGTTTAAAGTTATTTTATCATATTGTGTATAATTTTCTAATATGTGTGTACATAAAGTGTGGAAACTTTGTTGGTTGTGATTATTACAAACTATTTTGTGCCTTTCTGTATATTATTATGTTGTAAAAAAAGTACAGACATCTTTTTTAATTTTGTAGAATTGCTCATCTACTGACATCTAACAATATTTGTTAAGTGAAAACATATTTTCCGTGTAAACATGCAAGCCAGGGAGGTATTAAGTTAGTAACTTGCAATTAACACAAGGAAAATATAACTCAATAAGATTTAAATGGTGTATATGCAGTGTGGTATAGGAAATTTAATAGTGTATTAATGTTCTATTAAAATACATCACCTTTGATGTTGGTGTATCATTATTTCAAGTAATGTTACAGGCAACATGGTAATCGGACATTATTGGAAATATAGGTGATGATTTCATAGAAATGCACATGCGGGATACTGTAGCTGTATTTTAAGTTGTTTAAAGGCCTTGAGTAAGATATTGCGTAACATATTGATACATCACTCGGACTGATCCCTCTTGTAGTATCAATATTTACTTAATGTTTCGCTCTCCACCTTTAAACCATACTTAAATGAGTGTCACAAACTGATATGATAATCACATATTGTAATATTTCTAAAAAGCCATAGTGTTGTTAATACATCTACTGTTAAAAAGGAAATCAGACAGTGTATTTTAAAAAGAATCTCAGCTACACATAGTAAACAATTGTCTGTGACAAAAAGACACCAGATAGCACTACAAACAGAAATTTCACCAATTTTGACAAGCTGTTAAGAGATTCTGTTAAAGCTTAATAATTTGTCATTGTACTATGTACAAGTGTCAATAACCTGGGGCAAAAAGTTGTTAATAAAATAGTAGGCACATTATAGGTTAAATTTATAACTCAAAAGAAGAAGCAACTCACTTTTAGATATTCGTAATGGAGATAGTTACTAGTGATTCTTCCTCTTTACTAAGATTAGCATTATATCAATGTAAATAAAAACAATATTATCATGTACATTTATGTAAATAGTTTATATAGTCCCTTTCCTTCATAAATCTATCATTATATACATGTGATAATTTTATATTTTAATAATATATTTATTCATATTTTAATTATATTTGTATTGATTTCATTCAGCATTATAATTGTTACTATTGCTAATTAAGCCTATATATCCTTATGAACTATTTGCAAATTATATCAATTTTATGTTAAAAAGCAACATTCCTTAGTTTCAAGTTTCGTATAAAATTTTATTCTAAGTTGTATTACATAGTTTATTTCCATCCTTTCGTAATGTCTGTTAAAATGCAAATTATATATAAAAAAAAATTGGTTTTAAAAAAGCAACATACCAATTAAGATTTTTGAGTTTTTTAGATCTTTTTATTCTAAATATATTTTTCTATATAGTTTATTTCCCGTCCAATCATATAAAAACACCCATCATTCCTGTTAATAAGTTTTATTTAAATTGTATTTTAAAGTTTATTTACCGTCCATTATGATGTTTGTAATGAAATGCATACAGTATTATTTACATGATTGTTTTATATTTCTATTTTAAATACAATGTTACAAGTTTGCTGTGATGTATTTATATAATCTATTCTATGTTTATCAGCATTATTTATTCTATAAATTTAATATTGATATGGTATTGATATTAAAATTATTATTCATCCAATCTCAATTATAGTCTTGTTACATTAGAGGAACCAGCCATCTATACTATAGGTAGGTTACTGGATTCAACAAAACCAGGCTCTTGGTGTATGAAAGTTTTTGTTTACAATATTGTTACTCTCAATTTGTCCAAGAAACAAGTTTGCCAAGTTTCATGTCGATCATACTTGAATTAGCAGAGCCAACGAACGAAAGAGAGAGAGAAATGAGGTTTAACGTCCTTTCGACACAAACTAGGTCATAGGGGTTTTTAGCAGTGGGAGGAAACCGGAGGACCCGGAGAAAACCCACGAGGTTGGACAGGCGACCCTACTGCTTGTCACTTACAACCGGGGAATCAAAACCACACCAGTTGACTCAATGACAGACCTTATGATACAGCGCGCATGTGCTAACCATTCGGCCATCACCCCCCCCCCCCCCCCCATCAGAGCCAATGAGCATCACCCCCATTAATAACAACATGAAGATGAGTTGGGTCACAATTCCTGGTCCAAAAACGAGCTCAGTGATACAAATTATATTTCTTTTAATTGCATAGTTACTTTGGGATCTCACAAAAATTATTTCAGCAAAACATTCCATATTCAGTCCGTTGCAGATCCTTGCTTAACTCATGAAAAATGTTCATATTAATACAAAATACACATAGTATGAGAATAAAATTTATATATTAATAAATTCTTGTTAATAAAATCACCCAATAAATAAACTATGTTATTAATGACATCAAGATTTAAGTTGACTTTCAACATAATCTATAATAGGTTGTAATGACTTGTTTAATTGTTCTTCATCACCATTATTATCAATAATATAATCCCAGTTAATATTTTCATCTAAACCACACTCAGATTCAGCATCATCTACACCTGAAATACAGAAAACATCAAATAACATGATAATTTAGTGGTCTCAAAGTTGTTTTTTTTTTAATCGATACACAAATTTGCAAACATTTGTTCATTTAACTTCTTGACAATTTTTTCTGTCACTTCTTCCTACCTCTTCCCTGGCACACACTTTTTGGAAATCTGTGGATACATGTAAGGGTCTATGTGGGGGGATGTTTTAAGGGGTTTTCCCGAAAGAGGGAGATATTCAGATATTGTGTTATTTAGATAGAGAGAGAAATGGGGTTTAATGTCCACTCGACACAAACTAGGCCATTTCAAGACTAACACATGGTTCAATTTTATTTCAATAATTTGCTTGCGCGTAGGGATCTTGAGCAGTGGGAGGAAACCGGAGTTATTTAGATAGGAAATATGACATTAAACTTCCTATCGTCATATTATAAGTAAATTTTATATTTTGTTATGACCCCATCTTGAGATATGAAAAGGTAATTGATTTTCTTTACAACACAACCACAGTGGATTTCGTAGTTCAGTGGTCTAAAGCGATTATAAGGTCTGTCAATGAGTTTGGTTTCGATCCTAAGCTTGGATGTGACAAGGAATAGGGTTGCCTGCCCAACCGTGTTTTTCCCCGGGTCCTGTGTTATCCTCCAAATGCCAAAAACCCCTACACGCTTAAGCAAATTATTGAAATAAAATTGTACAATGTTAGTTCAGAAATGATCTAGTGTGTGTTAAACCCCATTATCTCTCTCTCCAGTAGATACTGGAAAAATACTAGTGCTACTAATATTAATTTACCTTCTGTAAAAACAAATCCTCGTTTAATTCTAATATTCTCTTCTGCTTCAACTCTTATTGTTCTTGTAACTTGACTGTGATTAATTTTAAAATATTCAATATCAGGTTTTCTCCTTGCATCACTGATTATCCACACTGGTTTCTTAGAATCTTCTCCGCTAGTTGTTAATCGACAAAAATAACCGGGATCTTTTAATCGTTGTTCCTCTCCCCATCGAATCATATCTTTCCTGTATTTCTCTTTATAGTCTGAGGCATCTAGAAGTTTCTCATAATCTAGATTGTGGTCCTACCAAACAGAAGAAAATAAATATAGAACATTGCAAAAATGAAACTGAGCTTAATGTCCTACTGTTCTGCACCAATCAGCTAATGAAGACTGGATCTAGGTTTTCTGTCAGATCCATCTTGCATCACTGACAAGGGGAAACCATGCTAAAAGATCCTGAGCAATTTTATCAACCAGCACTGGGATCAAACTTTGGACCTCCCGATTAGTGGGAGAGAGCCTTAAACACTGAGTCACAAAGCATACACACATCTTTGATTTTATTTATATAGATAGAAGATAGATAAAAGAGAATGGAAAGTTCACTACCTAATCAGGTATGAGTAATTATAAACTTAGATCAAGTGAAGTTCTGAATATCCTAACCAGATTCTTCTTAATTGATTACAAAGAACTTAACCTTGATTTGTTTACGAATAACTTAACCGTGATTTGTTTACAGATTACTCAACCATTATTTGCACTTACCTTGGCATACTGACTCTTCAATGGTGCAGATAACCTCATTATACAGCAATTTATTTCACCAAATCTGACAAGGAAGCATATAAATATGTGTGTTTAAGTCTATCATTATATTATCTGCAAGACTTTCCATTCCCCATCTCAAAAATGTTTTATTTGTGTGGAATTTGTAGACCCTATGCTATTCAAGAATTCAAGGAATTATTTACTTACATTTTCCATGATAATTATCAGTAATTTTATAACTAGAGTTCAAGAAAAATAAAATTTATTAGTTTTAAAAAAGTATTGCATTGCGAGACTTTAAACCCTATTCCAGTCACATAAATAAATTCAACACTATAACTAATTCAACAAGTACTAACTGTTATATTATTTGCTACTTTCGGTTTGTTGACATTTAGTGGGCGTGGCCTAACAGTAATTTAACATGTGAGGTGATGATCGCCTGATTTTTGTTTGTGGTATTTAGCCATGAAATATGATTCAATTAACGATAAATAGGGCACCACTTCCTTAGAATAACACTATAGCTAAAAATACATTTACCTTTTTTGTAATAAATCTGTCACATAGTCTTTTCCAGATTTTCTTTTACCGCTGAAAACCAAAACAACAAGAGGTTGTGACGACATGTTGGCAAGTGCTTCTGGGAAGAATTCGAAAGGACACCAGGAATTGAGAATCAGACCAGTGCATTTTGATTTAATAATATATCATCCCGATACTTTTAGTAAATGAAGCATATCATATACTGACTGTTGTGTTATTATTGGTCGATCATTATGATATCTGCACGTGTTCAATTTATGGGTCATTTTGTAATAAATGTCCTTACGGTTCTCAAACATGTGTCTCTTGAAATCATAATCAAGAGCATGTGGATGGTGAAATTTGTAGAAATTCAGCTTATTTTTTCATATTTCAAACAGAATGGTAATATATTGAGGTAACTTGTGTAGACAGTTATCATCTTTCATTATTTACTTGTAACTTTAAGGATTATTCAAAACTTTTGTATTTTAATTAATTTTGTTACTTGTAAGTGTATAGGACTAGGATTCATTTGGTGGAGAGTGTACATGTACATGGCTAACATGGATAATGTATTTAAGATGGTAATAGTGTTCTGTGCCTACCGGTAATTCCATTTCCATGTCACAATGATAATGTCAGTTTTGAGCATCACATCACATATTAGGTAGGACATTTTCTTACTCAGTTTCCATATGGGTGGTAAATTGTACATGTATACTTTGCATGAATACCAGTTATTAGTTACCATAAATAAGGATTGTCCACAAGCAAAGTCTAGTTAAGTCGTTCACAAGTATCAAAATACATTGGATGAGTTCTCCACATGGCATAAGTTGACTCCTCTACACACCCATGGCAACTAATAATTTTGTTACTGGGCGCCCAAAATTCCCAACAGAAAAAGATGCCTTTTGAAATCCGTTTAAGGGTAAATTTGATGATCCTGTAAATATACAAGCTCATTGAAGCTGATTATTTATAGGGAGTAGGTCCAGTAAGTTCCCTTTGTGAAAATGAACAATGTGGCAAATCTGTCTAAACATTATTGGATTTTCAATTTGTATTCAATATGTTTAAAATCATTATGCCAATCGACAAACTATACAGGGCTACTTTATTACAAAAACATCGGTGAACTAATCTCGGCCGTCATCAATTAATCAAGCTAGTTTATTATTGGGTAAATAAAACAATTTTAAAACACCCAATGAGTAAAACCTATTTATTCCATACAATTAACTTACGTACGAGTGAACTATTAGTTGTGGATGTCATAACTGATACATGTACCTTGTCGACAACTTAACCAATGGTTAATCTGCGTTAATTAGTACTCCTTTGCATTCTGATGGACATCAGCTTTAATCTATGAATTCAGTGGCATATACATGTGTGTATTTAGTGGTCCTTATAATTTTAACCCACAAAGGTTGAGTTCATAAACTGTTTTAATATTGTCAGTTCTTGTCAAATGTTTTGAGCTTTTAAACACAGTAACATTCATATCCTCTTAATCTTTCAGGATCAAGAAGGTAAAATATGAGGAAAGAAATGGAAATCAAGATGCATTAACATACTAAACTGTGAATGAATGAGGTCCATTCAAGTTATCCATAGGTTTTGTCAGCATCAGTGTAAAGTTAACTCGTATAATCTAATCAGACAGAGTTGTTTTAATCCTAAACATTTACTTATACAACTGTTTTCACCGTTATTTATTGAATTAAGAAAAAAAATGGAAACTGAAGCTGTTGAAGATCAGAATTTGAAAAGTATCAAAGAGGGAAAAGCAGATGCACTCCATCCAAAATCTGTATTTTATAACCCTGTTCAGGAATTTAACCGTGACCTGACTATAGCCGTGATAACTGAACTTGCTAAAGATAAGCTGAAGGAATCTGAGCAAGAAATAGTTAAAACCGAAACGGATAAAAACAAAGATGGCTGTGAGCCAGATATGTCAACAACAGACAGTAATGGAGATGTTCAAATGGACGACGACGACGCAAAACCAGTGCCAGGTGTAAAATATGAAAATGGTATTAGAATTCTGGAGGGTTTGGCAGCCAGTGGTTTAAGATCCATGAGATTTGGACTTGAATTAGCAGGTGTCAAGGAAATCATAACAAATGACTTTGATAAAACTGCAGTAGAAATCATTGAAAAGAACATAGAACGAAATAATCTTCAGGACTTTGTCAAAGCCAGCTATGGTGATGCATCGATGATAATGTATCAGAATAAAGGTCAAACAGATAGATTTGATGTTATTGATGTAGATCCTTATGGTAGTCCATCACAATTTTTAGATTCAGCGGTCCAGGCTGTCAAAGATGGTGGTATACTATGCGTTACTTGTACCGATATGGCTGTTCTCTGTGGTAACTCAGGAGAAACATGCAATTCTAAATATGGTGCTATGTCTATCAAAACAAAATACTGTCATGAAATGGCTTTGAGGATTTTATTGCAGTGTATTGAATCCCATGCAAATCGCTATTCTCGTTATATAGAACCAGTTATCTCCCTTAGTGTTGATTTTTATATTCGTGTATTTGTTAAGCTTCACACCGGACAGAAAAAAGTGAAAGAATCTATAACAAAATTATCAATGATTTATCACTGTGTAGGATGTGGCGCTTTCACACTACAGAAATTAGGATTGAAAGTGCCAACCAAGGGAGACAATTATAGATTTACCCCAGCATATGGTCCGCCTGTTCAACCAAACTGCGAACATTGTGGTTCTAGGCATATGGTAGGAGGACCAATATGGTCAGATCCTATACATAATACAAAGTTTATTCAACAAGTTATAGACAATGTATCTAAAAACATGACATATTTAAAAACATCCGGACGTATTATTGGTATGTTGACCGTTGCCAAGGAAGAATTACAAGATGTACCATTGTTTTATGTTCTAGATGACTTGTGTAATGTTGTTCATTGTGCTCCACCAAGTATGAAAATGTTCAGGTCAACATTTTTAAATGCTGGTTATCGAGTTTCACTTTCCCATGCAGCGAAAAATTCTTATAAAACTGATGCTCCTATCGGGTTTATTTGGGTATGTTTACATAATTTAAGATTATTTTGTTAATGTTAGTCTATATAACTTTGTATCATCTGTGAAAAATTTAAGTCATTTAGAAAATGCAGAATCTGTGCATTTAAGGAGTCCCTTATCAATTAAAACACACATAAAATGATAGGTGTAGCATGTCAAGCGTTCTCTTTCTAAAATGCGTACTCATATTTATTAGACTTCTTTTGACAGTTTTATGTTCCGTTTACATAAACTCTGCCTCAATATTTCATGGTTAACTGATACCAAGTAGCTTCATATAGCTTTTGGAGATTGCACTACAAACAGCTACACAATTAGCTATGAAGAAGGGTATGCTTATTCTTTCTAAAACATTACATGTATTTGTTTGTAGCAACCACACGGTATGTAATAACAGCATTAGCTCCAAAAAAGATAACAAATATAGTCTTTGAGTGGTATTTCGCGATTGAGCTCACTGTGCTTGAAGACATGAGAAAACATGTCAAATTTTCACACCATATGTCTAAGTTATATTTATAGCACGGCTTTCATGAGTTAACAGGTTTAAACATTGAGGCCGAAGCGTGCTATAAATGACTTGTAACATTGACACCTGCTCAACATGCTTGATGTTATTGCACAGAAAACCGACCCCACTGCTCTATATGATTTCTACTAACACTAGTGTAAACCAGCAAAAGTGTGCAATAACATTTAACATGTCTAGTTATTGCACGGTTAAGCTCCACCCAATCTACTAAGAGGGAAAACAATTGCTTATTCAACGAAAAGAACAAAGAAAGATTTCCCCTCCATGTTACAAAACCTATTATTGTATGCCATTAATTTTGTTCCGTTTACGATAACTAATGATTTTTTTTGTAGGATGTTATGAGAACATGGGTTAAAGATCATCCAGTTAAATCAAACAGATTAACACCTGGTTCTGTTGCTAAGATAATTCTAGATAAGCCAACAACACATGATGTTTCATTTACATTGCATCCTGATGCTAATCCAGAGTCTCGAGATCAGGGACTTATAAGATGGCAGCCAAACCCTGAACCAGAATGGGGACCAAAACCTAGACCAAAAAAGTCCGGTGATGATGAAACCGATAAACGGGAAAAATTTCAAGGAAAGCGAAAACAGAAACAGGTGAAATATGCATAAGTTTCCTTAATTTCAATTTAGTTAGTTAAGAAAGTTCCTCAGGACTTTGTGGCATGGCAAAGAAAATCGTTTAGTTGCTCGAATGGTACAGAGAATTGAGGTCTTGTATATACTAATGGCCGCACATAAAAGATCCCCTTGCAGTTGGAAGTGGACATAGGAGTACTTGTAGGCGGTAGCACCACTGTCTGGCCCAAATTTCCTCTCATTTATAGCACAATGCGTGGCATATGCTGTCTTCAATGGCATTGTCCAGGGTTGTGCTGAAAAGTTAGACACTAACTAAACCCCATTTCATTTCTTAATTTCCCAAATATTAGTTTACTTTAGTGCAATATTATCTCCCTTTAGCTAATCTTTTTGTGTTATTTATTTCAGAGTTCTATAGACCACAAACAGTATCCATGTAAACGTTATAAAGCTGGTGAATGTGAATATGGTGATGAGTGTATTTATAATCATAACATTGAAAAGTTCCAAAAATAACACCATCACTATAATAGATTTTAATTTAAAATTCTTTATTCAATAAAATATATTAATTAACATATATAAATGTCCTGAAAACTGGTACATGTATGAATAAAATAGCATAATGTTAAACCATGCTCCTTAAGACATCTCTTCTGTCTTCTTATTGTATTTTTTTTTTCAGTGTGGATTGCCATGTTTTCCCAACATAGACAAATTTGTATATTATTGCCATATAAATATAATCAGAATGAAAAAATGATATGACCACACTGGGTTCCTTTATAGTAAAAGATTAGAAAATTGAACTTATTTTAAGGCAATTAATCATATTATATTGTATATAATTAAACAAATGCTGTATGACTGAAGTTATGATTTGTCCTTATGAAATAATAATAATTATTTTTTTTTATTAAAACCATATTTAAAATAAACAACATTCACTGTCTTTCATTTCACTTTTCCTCACAAGTTGTGTTCTTAGGATTAAAAAGCAAAATTTATCTCATGTGTCACTAGTTAAATTTTGTTTCCTTGATATAATGCACAGTTTTGGTTTCTAATTCAGTTCACAGAACACACTGAATGCTATTATATAGAGAATCGTGGAATCTTTATCATGATTTTCCTTTCTTATATCTTTGACGTCCACCTTTTTGTCCCGTGCGATGTTTTGGTATTTCTTTTTCGTTGTCTGGTTCAGGGTTACTGTCAGGAGTTCCACCTAAATCTGTGGAAGAGAGAGATGGAAAAAAATTCTTTTTGTGATCTAAATGCAAGTAATTTACATTCTCAAATTAATACCTTTTAGTTTTATAGTGTACAAAGCAGGGATCTTAATCCATTTTGAAACGAACCGGCCAGAATTGGGTCGAATGAGGTCCCGGTAGGAAATGGGTTAATTATAAGCTTCCATTCTCTTTTATATAACTAGACATCAACAAAAATAATTGTTGGTAATTTAATGTATGTGATTACAACAAAAATAATTACAAAGTGCCAGAAACTAAGTTGAATACAGACAATTTTAACATTGATACATGACCACCTTTAAGCAGGGCTTATGACAACTTTGCAACCTAAAGCAACTAGTTGCAGTCAGTTGCAAGAGTGCTTATGTGGATCATATCAGCAACTGAGGACAACTGGGAGCGACTGATAGCGATCACACTGAACACGTGACTGTTAATTTGTTTATCACATGATCAACAAAATGGCAAATTACTTAGAAGAAGCAACCCAAAGGCATGGTCAGTCTTGCTACAATTCTATTAGTATATTATTGTCGACATCATGAAAACTTGAAAAGTGAGTGTCTTCGTTCGCTTCCATTTGCTTATTTAGAAAGTCACATGACACATGTCTCTTATCACGTGATGTTATTTCTATGGAAACGAGTTGACTCCATTTGCAAGAACGCTCATGTCGACTGCAACTAGTTGCTGCTAGTTGCAGCCAGTTGCAGAAAGTTGAACATGTGCAACTGACTGCAACTAGTTGCTTTGAGTTGTAAGAGGCGCTCAGGTTGACTTTTTTCAGTTGCAAGGTCGACATAAGCCCCCTTTTAAGGAGAACATCAGCTCGTATGAAGTAATGTATCATACTGAATATTAAAGCTATGTTAGTAATTTGAAGAAATGCATAATGTACCTGATAATATATCTGGAGGTGGATCTAATAATGATGATTGCTGCATTGATAACATGTATCTACAAATACAAAATTACCATTATACACAATGAGCTATAATAATGTATACATAGAGCTATCTTTCACATGCATGTTCAGGTGTCCTTTGCAATAAATTTAAAAAAACATCTATTAAAAAAGTAAAATATATTCAAACAACAAACTAAAAGTACAGCAAATGGAAAAGATGTACCAGTAATTAAAATTAACAATTAAAAGCCGCTTGAATAAAAAGGTTTTAGATTTAAATCTTCTTAAAGAACTATGGATGTGAAAGGGCATTTTTGTCACTGGTGCCATTATAGCCATATCATTAAAACATTTAAATGGTCCTCCGGTTTCCTCCCACAGCAGGACACTACCTTATAAAACACTCTGTATAGATTGATCTGTCAAATTTTGATATCAGCTAAAATTGCCCAAAATAGTTAAAATTTGTTGATTTTTCAAGTCGTGTCCAGCCTTTATATTATATAGTGTTAAATATTAAGTCATTTGTATAGGTAAATCAAATTTTTAACTTTTAACTTGCTTTTTTCTGTACTCAATTTTTCACCCATATATATCAGGTCTTAGAAAATCAAATTCTCAAAATCTATGAGAGATAATGGTCTCATCTTTGGAATACGATTAGTGCTATAGCTACTGTTTGCAATAAGGTGATTTTCAAAGTGTTTGTTATACATTTGGACATTTTATTGTACAAAATCCTTTTAGTGGTTTGTTCGGCCACACCCACTTGTTTTATGTGGGATGCATAATGTTCTTTATTAACATTCAAATAGTAAAATTTATGCCTTATTGCACTCTTTAATGCCTATATATGTTATTCCAAATCACAAATAGTTTGTTTCAATAAAATTGTTGAAGATTTTGATTTCCTAACATATAGCCACCGTGAATATATTAAAAAATCCAATATGGCCACCATTTCCATGACAACAAATAAATATTTTGCGCTCAAATTATCAAATCTGATTTGGGACATCATATACTAATATTACACTAAATGGCAAGTTTCTGTTATTAATGTAAAATTCTTAGGTAGTGTCCTGCCTTAAGACACCTATGCGCAAGCAAATTATTGAAATAAAATTGAACCATGTGAGTACCAAAATGACCTAGTTTGTGTCTAGTGGACGATAAATCCCATTTCTCTCTCTGATTATAAACAACAATAAACATATTTAAGAGTTTGTTTCAATACCTTTTGAAACATTAAGTAGTAATATATCAAAATTAACAAACCTGTATAATTTAGATGAAAAGAAACCAATTACGGCCAAAATGGCAATTAATATTATTTGGAATATCCAATGCTGAAAGAGTAAAACAATATACAGTTTGATTTGATGAAGATCCTAGAAAATGTACCATCCTTCCAGTCAATATCATACAGACATATACACTGAAAGTTTCCATTGAGTCAATAAGCCATTTTCTCTGCATACCAATGGACTAGCATGACAGAATTATCTCCCTCCAATTAAAGATAACAGTAAACACACATACACACAACTGCTTGTCCTGTGATTCATTAGGCAAAAACGTTCAGTAAAGTGCTATATCATTACAAAACACATGATGCTCAGTAAAAGGCTCAGCCCACCATAAAATTATGATTTTAGAAAAAAAATATTTATATTTATTTGACTTGTGAAATTATTCCAGGTAAAAAAGGGAAATCATCTCTTACCGGAATGGACGGCTGATTGGCTAAATATTGGTCAGCTGTAACTATAATAATACCTATAGCTCCTCCTATACCAGCAAATGTTAATGGCTGTTGTCTGGCAACTGAAACAAAATCAGTGCATGTAATAAAACAAACATTTGTCCATATACTTAAACAAGTTGTCTGTTGAAAGCATTCAACATGGGCACTCAACGTTCATGAATCCTATACAAAAGTCAACGCTAAAACAATGGACATTTTCAACTAGTGTGCTTGAAATTAATGCAGTTGACCATGCCTTGTCAATGTTCAGGTTTTAGGTGATAATGTTACAGTTTAAAACATCTGTTTTCTAAGTGAAAGTCAGCTTTAAACAAACCTTTTAGTTGTTTATTGATTTCTTTGGTTGTTTTTGACATGGCTTGTTTAATGCCCTCATCAGAAGTATCTAGTACAAATGCATGCTGAAATGGGAAAGCAAATATCCAAAGAAAAAATAAATTATCATTCAAGTCTAAATAAATTACAGTATCTCAAATGTACAAAAAATTGATTCTTCTCAAGTGAAATGGACTCACCTTATATGACTTTAAGGCTGCAGGATAATCACCAGCTTGAAATTCTACCTCTCCTTTTCTGAAATAACCCTAAAAAATAGAACAAAATTATTTGTTTTTCTTCCAAATAAAATTTCATAAGTTCTATATATTAGGGTGGTAGATGTAAGGGAACTGCTCTGGCTCAGTGTATATGGTGCATGACACTAACATGGGCAGATCCAGGAATTTTGGCAGGAGGGGGGTTGCCAGGTTATCAGTTAAGGAAATTTGACAGTTGACAATGCATGATACCATCATCATCTCCAAATTACCTAGGCATACATACACACTGAGCTTTTAAAGAGAGAGATCCAACACGCTTTTTGATGACAATTTTTATTCTGAATTAATAGGATCACACTGTGATTCAATTTCATTGACGCACTTCTACAGGGATTCTTCCACCCATCGACAGTACTTTCAGTAAGGAGGTAATTCATCACAGTCTTGGATTTTATATAACTGTGATATAAGATATGTCATCATTATCTCGTGCCCATGCCATCCTACCATCTGATGATCAAGTATAAAGTACATGACCGTGACCCTTTTCTCATAAAAGTGTTGTTCTACATTTTGTATGTAGCTGAGCGGAAGTGGCTCCCCCACCTCAAACCCGCTGGATTCACCCCTGACTAACCAGGAGATCCTGTCAGTACCTTAAGTCATAAAACTTAAGTTGAATACAGGAAATTTTTAAAATAATTGACAAATGAATACCTTGATAAAGAAAAACAATTTTACCTATGAACTTCATAGTATGAATTAATGTATAATCATACAGAATAGAAATAATGAAATAGAGTTTAACATCTTACTGCACTGATCAGGCTAAAAAAGGCAGACAGACATATGCCATACATTGTGCTAACTAACCAGGCTAATAAAGGTAGACATCCGCCATACATTGTGCTCACTAACCAGGCTAATAAAGGTAGACATACGCCATACAATGACAGACTTTATGATACAGCGCGCACACGCTAACCATTCGGTCATCCAATCCCCCTCCACAGTGAGACGTCACTTTGAATGTTAATTGGATGATGGAAAGCCCATTTTTTTACTACTTCCTACCTTAGGCCATGTTGGTTCAAGTTTTGTAGTTGTGATGGCATCTTGTAGGGCTAGATAATATTGTTCTATTTTAAGAAAGGCTGAAGATCGATTACTATACAAAATGTGATTTTTGGGATCTATTTTTATAGCATGGGTGTAGTGAAACACTGCTTCAGCAGGCTTTCCCTCTTTCATAGACTCATTCCCTTGTTTCTTCAACTCTTCTGCCTGCAATAAATATTTGTTTAAAAAAAACCCCAATTAAATTAAATTATCAGTATTTATTTATACATGGGGGTTTTGGGAGGTGGAGAGACTATTTGTGTTTTTGCAAAAGCATGTGTAATAGCTACATCAGGAAGATTATATAGATGTGTATTGTGTGTGTTTTTTTTCTTGGGGTGGGGGTATGTGGAAGTATCGTTCCTAGTGTGTAATATAGTAAAATTGTTTAATGAGTATTGTGTTGGGGTTTTCTCTGGGATTATATATACTTTAATGTTATCTATGTGCATTTAATTTGCAATGCATAGGCCCACTATTCATATCTGTATATATTTTTTGGGCTGTAGCAAACTCTTTGCTTCACCTGCAGTAATGTTCAAGTTAAAGTTCAAGTATCTTTTAACAACCTTTTGGTCCAGTAAAGCAGACGCATATTAAGGAATCATTGAATTATAGACTTAAATTTATAGAAAAGCATACATAATTTGTGTCGAAATGTCCATCAAAATTTCTGGGCGATCATCAAGCAGAAGAGAATTTTTTCCCACTTATGGTTGTTTTTTCAAGAAATTTGATGTTCGAAGAATAGTCGAATCTGTATGAAACTTCTCCCAAAACAGAAAGAGTAGGGAAGTACACTTTAGTTGTAGACTAGAGGAGATTTTGTGGGGCTTAATTAAAGTAATCACCCTGTTTATGCGCATAGTTGTGAGAAAAACTTGTAAGGAAAAATCTTGACAAGTTTGAGTTGATAATGTCGAAGTACAATGAATGGTAGACGAACATTTCGAGGGAAAGGTTAAATAGGACTCCTAAACAAAATGTGTAGGCCTACCCTGGTGTAGGTTATTCACATGACAGTATCACGCTTACCGTACTTCATAATAATACGTGTGCATCGTCAACGACTTTTGTTTGTTTTGTTTCAACCGCCTGCGTTTTATTGTCAATAATTTAAATCTCCAATATGCAGTTCTACTCACCTCGGGTTTCATGATTCTTGGATTTTCAACTACTTTGTAGTGGATCGTTTATCAAAATTTAATTGTACTCTCTCATTTTCTGCAGTGAGATGACTTGGTATTCCCCGTGAAGTTCCCTATTTCCGGTGACGTGACCTCCAGCCAGATAAAAACAACACACCTCAATCATCACCTCGGTGGAAGCGGACGTAAAATACAACTAACCCTAACTATCATGCAGTCCTGCCTCAATGTTCAGGCCTGTCGTTGGAGGAGTTGGGGGTAATTTCTCGACGGAAAATTTAACTATTTTTGTACCGTAGTTACCAAAGCAACTGTACTGATTCGTTATTAAACCGTACTAGAACCATAGAGTCTATATGTAGTTTTTATAGATAATTCTATGACTAGAACTCACCATTCTTTGTTAAAATCCAACATTTTCTAAGCTTATCTGTCCATGTTTTCGCAACCGGCACGATCAGTCAAAAATATTTTGTAGTTTATCGTCCTAAAACACACTGAGAATGCACGATGTGTTCCATTGTGAATTAAGGAAGCACAGGAGGGGGTGCACCGTTTTGCAATGACTATTATTGTAGGTCATAGATAATATCGTAGATGGGGTCCTTATTAAAGCCTTATATATTATTTATCGTGTCTTTTTTTTTGTAACTCAGTATTTGGTAGAGTTTCTTTACAAAAATGAATCTGGAAGTAACTACCGATAGATATTTCTATCAATTTATAAACCCATCGTTTTCCTTGAACTGCATTATTATATATCGATGGAGACAATTTTTAAGGTTGCAAATAGTTATATTCTCTCATCCATCATTAATAAAAAAAACTGACTATTTTTTTTTTTTTTTTGACATTTATTTATAAGAGAAAAAAAAACTGAAATAGTTTTTTTTGATGCCATGATTACACAAGAAAACAACAGACATAAACAACACAATATATAGCCTACAATGACTACAATTGCACTCATACCCAAAGGATTTTCAGTCACTGTCAATAAAAAGCAATTATTACATTTATCTTGCTGATTACTAAAAAGTATAAATAATGGCTGTCTTATGTCTAAATGTATATAAAAAATGGCTACAACAATAACTTTACAATTATGAATTTAAAAGAAGATTTCACTATATTATATGAAATAAATTTCTAGTGGAATGCTCTTCCATTAAGATAAAACTTGTTCTGTGAAGGGTATATTTACATTATCTGATCTATCATTACTTATGCTTCATAAATTAAACCAATTAATAAATGATATAAAGAAATATCTACGTAACTAACTATTTATATTCTTGTTGAGGTGTGTCTTCTCTTAAATGATTCAAGCAAAAAATATATATTATTCATATATATAACATAAACACTATTTTTTTTTTTTATAGAAATGTCAAAGTTGCATTTGATATTAAAATAGTAGGTAAAAAATATCTGAAAGATCAACACAAAGTCGTATGATCAATTATTCTAATATTTAATACATGACAAACTGATGTAGAAAAAGTCTACTCGTTCACTTCTGACAACTAAGATAACTCGATATACAAGATGATTGTAAAAGTGATAATACAGCCCAAGGCAATTCATTACATGTTACTGATAAATGTTTTTATTTCTTTCATTTAAAGAATCAGGTTTTCTTTGATATCTGTTTAAAAACAACCAAATACAATATAATTATTTTAACACACAATTTCTGACTTCAAGATTTAGCCAAAGTCAAACTTTTTCTACACCTACATCATAGCATTGCTATTTTTGCATTGTTGAAAAGGGGCTTGATGTGTGTGACCATTGGCTAAATCTAAAGGCATAAAACTTTAATTTCTGACAAATGAAGTCAGAATTTACATACAATTAATGGAAAATCACAACAGATCTGTTACTGACATCTTTTTTCTCATTGCAAAGAGCACTTAAAAAGTATTACAAATTACACCTTATGATACAAGACAAAACTTTTCTTCACAACACTGTTGATAGATGATAGTCATTCTAAAGTAAATATACATTTGTTCCTGTACAAATCTCTATTGTTAATACCTCAATGTGAAACAGAAACTATTACATACTAAATACATGGATGGTTCCTTATTCACAAAACTTTAAAGATATGTTCCCTTGAGCATTATTGTGTTATCTTTTTGACCCCTGATACTTGTTATCTTTAATGTATTATATTTCTAATGATCAGGAAAATTTAAATTACCTAATAAGTCCACAATAAATTGAACGGCTAAAATCATATTTTACTAGTGCTTGACTATCATGGTTTTGCAAGGGATGGCTACTTTGTAGAATCGCAATTTCCCTTAAAGTATGAATTCTACCTGGTAGTTAGAATATATGTTCCAGTCCATCCGCTTTAGATCATACGATCTATCACTGAATCAAGTGGAGTGGTTTCGATCACAAGGTTGTCGATTAGACTGTCTTGTCACTGCTCTAGACCACTACATGCAAAAGATTTATTGAAATAACATTGAACCATATATTAGTCCCGAAGTGACCTTGTTTGTATCAAGTGGACCTTAATCCCCATTTCACAGTCAATGGTTCTGTATTAGGATCATGAATGACGAGGAAATATATATCTTTAATCTTATAAAATAAACTTTAACTTTCAATCAGCACAGCGAATTATTGAAATAAAATTGAACCATATATTAGTCCAGAAATGACCTTGTTTGTACCTAGTGGATGTTAAACACCATTTCTTGCTATCATAGTCCATGATTCTGTATTTAGGATCACAAATGACAAGGAAATATATCTTTAATCTTTGAAAATCAACTGTAACTTTCAACCAGCACTTGCCATTGTCAGTTGCCATTCTTAACATATTGATTTTAAGTTTACAGTCAATTTAAAGAGATTCATGAATAAGATCCCTGGTGCACAGAAGAATGAAAACAATGTTTATAAATAATGGGACAATGAAGCAATGTTATAAACATACATTATGCAAGAGCTAAATCTGCCTATTGCCAAGTATTGCAGGTCTTGCTTTAGGCCTTAAATGTTATCTAAATTATTAATTGGGCATTTATTAACATGACAAGATCATAATCAACTCTCGATGCAATTCAATAGGGCTAATTTTACGTAGATTAGAATGGTTTGGCCATTTAATAATGAAAACGCGAGGCTAAGCCTCGAACAGCCAGTACCGTGGTTACAATCAGTGCACAGTGTCAAACCATCAAAGGCTAATATCTTTGCTTAGAATAAAGTAATTTCAATGAAATTTTCAATGTATTCATTTTGCATTATCTATTTTAAAACTATTATAGCAAGAACGACCAGCACTTTATCTAAATCATACATAATGTATCTTTAAATAATCTTTCAGTATTAAATACTTATGCTAGTATATTATCAAAAATTGAAAGATGTAATTCGATAGTTGGAAAAGTGAAAATCTTAAGGAGTTTAATCAATGAAAACATGAAATAAAATATCTGATTTGATAAAAATAATCTTGATTTACAGAATCTGCATGTAGTTAAAGATTAAGTAAACTTGAGATTTTCACTAAATTAACTATAGTCAACCAATTTATTTGACAGGTGGAGATCTGATATGACCAGTTTATACTTGAATAAGTAACAGTTTCAATTCATCATTTAAAGATATGGGTTAAGTATAATGTTAGTTTTGACTGAATGACTGACGTGTATACAGGTAGCATGTTTAAATGCAACATTATTTGTATCATTTCTAAGCTAATTATAAACTGTTGATATATACAATGTATATTGGTGTAATAAATGCTTTTGTGTAGACATTTTATTGACTTTAAAATTTAAACTGTTACAATATCTAGTAATACAAAAACATTAATCTATCCTTCCCCATCTCAATATTATATTAAGGAGAAATGTGTATTTAGGCTATATAAAAAAAATATTCTGCTTCTCACTTGAAGGGCTCAATGACCCATTCTTATTTTGAAAAATAACAACATTCTCATTAATTTTTGCACGTTCATATTTCTCGTGTTAGAGGGAAGTAACTCTATGAAACGGTTCAAGTTAAAATGAATTATCGAGTACCCAAATGAGAGAATAAGTTACTGCTTGTAAATGAACTTGTTAGTATTCAACTTCGCGTATATGAGAAAATTTGAGTTATGTGCCTTGAAATATGGTGTTTGTGAGAGATCATTTTTAGCCCTGTGATCCTTTGACAAAATAATAAAAAAATAATCCTCCCCCATTCCTGGTGCATCAGAATTTTTTGAATGACGGTTTGAAAAGCAGAATATTTCTTTTTGTATGGCCTTACTGACTAGTTTTGCACTTTTATTAAACTTCATATTGTTATGCACAAATGTTATCAAATACATGAAAGCTTATGTAACAAAGCATCATGGCATATTGAGATAATTATACACACAAATTAAATTTCAAGAAAAATTCAAAGCTAAGTACACTATAGCATTAAGAAAATGACATTAAATGATATAATGACGCATATAAATATTTATAATTTTAAAAAAATCTTTTCAAATTTTATTTTGACACAAATTCTAAATAAATAACCAAACCTGGTTTAAAATCTCATCTTTTTCTCAGATCACATGCCCAGATTAACCAATCTCATTTATAGATCAGTGATTTAAAATATCCCCCTTTTGGAAAATAAACTAATCCCATAATATTACAGCTAAAGCTTAAATCCAGGATGGTTCATTAATAGGAGGGATATCACTTTGGATGTGCACTTATTTACACAATTTCTTAAAGATATTTATTGGTTCAATTAGTACATGTATAATTAGATCAGATCAGAAGTGTTTGTAACAATTTATCTATAAACACAATGCATAAAATATGGCTGGTGCTGATGATGGCAATATTATATAAAAAAAACAAAACAATCTAATCTTTTCTTTATTGTTGTAGTTGATTGCTGGTTCTATGGAATCACATATATCATTATTTGTTTGCTGATGTTGAAGTTCACCTTGAGTTTATTTGATGAAGTTTTGATGTTAACATGATTTGTGATGATGTTAATTTATTTATTGCTAGACATTATTAAACTACATCAGTTTATTTATATGTAGTTCTAATTCTCTAACAGCACTAATTCTAAATCTGTTTCATCATTCACATTACCCAGGAGAAAAATCGTTCTTTATGTCTTATGTCATTGTCAATCACAAATGTTCAAAACGGGATCACAAATGTCTCGTAATCAAAAACATTCCATGAACTATAAATACTGCTCACCACTTCAAAGTCTTTAAAAAGGAAAAAAAATCACAACTACATGTATTGACAATAATAAATAGGGGACAGAAAAAGAAGCATCCACAAATGATAGAAAAAGCTTTAAAAGCCACAAATTGACAAGTGATTTTAACAAGTACAGCTGTCCATTTTTTTTTCCTTCTAAATTTGAGCGTGAAAAAAAGTTAAAATGATGTGATTATTGGTCGATTCAGCTGCTGAATTTATCGAACAACTGAAGCCTCCTTGTATTCAGTTGGGTCCATTGTGAAGAATTCTTCTAATTTCCACTGCAATGTTTCAAAAGTGGGCCGTTCCAATTCATCCTTTCGCCAGCATTCCAACATAATTTCATACAATGATTTAGGGCAGGCAGGTGGCGTAGGCATACGGTAGCCATGTTCTACTTGATGTAATACTTCAGCATTGGTCATTCCTAAAAAAAAATAGTAAAACAAATTGTTATGTCATTAAATATACGGTTTTCAATGTATAAAGCTCATTTGGTCTATTCCCAAGATTAAAAGCGCTTGCTAAATTCCAATTTGAATGGTGTTAGCAAAAGTAGTTCCGGTATACATTAATTTACTTAGATATAAACAGAGTATTCACCAAAACTGAGTTACTACTACTGGAAGTTAAATATTATACATTGAAATCAAGCAAAATCTATTTAATTTTTACTTCTTCGGGGTCTTCATAAATAAATGTTTTATTTAAAATTTCAATGCTCAAAAATTTCGAACCAAATGCTTTTGTGAAGAGAAACCAACTACTTTTTTGTTTTCAAAATTTTAAATATTTACGAACAAAAATTCAAATTTGTGTTGTGTTGGTAAGAAAGATCACAAGTATGAGAATGGATATATGAACTATGAAATAGAAAAATGTTTTAGTTTATGAATCTTAATTGAGAAACATACCTGGATATGGAACACGACCATATGTTACAATTTCTGTCAGTAAAATACCAAACGACCAAACATCAGATTTAATAGTAAATCGATTATAATTAGCTGCTTCTGGTGCTGTCCATTTAATAGGGAATCGAGCTCCTACACGAGCTTCATATTCATCTTCCTGTTGAACATAAAATTATATATTATAATTAACATGTTTAATATCAATCCTAGTATTTCTCATTTACAAAATAATGACTTGATTCAACGGCTTCTGTATACAAGAGTAATTCCAAATTATTCTCTACAATTCATATTTTGTTGTTCTGCACATGGTGTCATATAATAATACATATAAACCCAATAAATAAACAAAATTATGAAATGAAATTTAAGACTATTTTTGTGCATCAACCGAGCTAAGATGGTCATCACTATACAGTGTACTACAGCGAAAATCTTTCCCAGACAGCAGCATTTCTGTCTACTCTGTATCGAACTCCAACTGACCAGGGTTCTTTTTACATTCACACCAATAACTAATCACATGGACCTCGGTTTTCCGTCCCATCAGAGTAACTTAACATATTTTCCTGCACCAATAACAAGGAGAAAATGGAATTTTCAGCCAACGTCGGGACCCAACCCAGAATCTCCTGGTTAGTGACCTACATGTAGTGCCATAATCACTGACGTACCCTGGTTCTCTAGAAAAATTATTTCATACCTTTATAACTCTTGCTAATCCAAAATCTGCAATCTTAACATGGTTAGAATCTCCTACAAGGATATTACGAGCAGCTAAATCACGGTGTATATAATTCTGTGATTCAAGATATGCCATACCACATGCAATCTGAGCAGCAACATCGATTAATTGTGGCAGTTTCAAACTTCGACCTTTTCCTACAAACAAGATTTAAACATAGATTATATTCTCATGCTATACAAATACATTTAAAAAATTTATAAAATAAACGGTAACTGAAAATAGTTTAAAATCAATAATTTTCTCATGTCTTCCTACATGTAAAATAAAAGAGATGGGATTTAAAGTCCTATTTTTCTGCTCCGTCCGGGCTAATGAAGACAGGGCATACATCATGCAATTTTGCCAAGACAGCAGCAGTATCGCCTACTTCAACAGTCAAGACTTCTTTTAAACGTACACTGGACCTTGGTTTGTAATCCCATCCAAACGACTAGATGCTGTTCCATGTCAGACGCTCTATTTTGCATAAATTCTCAACCAACAATGGGATCGAATCCGGGACCACCAGGTTACTCACTGAGCCACTGCAGCTCCCTTGCTTTATCAAAGTATTGAAATGGAATAAAATGCTGATAAAACTATAAATTTACCTTGTAAGTATTCTAATAGACTTCCATTCTTCATTAATTCTGTTATAATGAATATTGGTTCATCTTGTGTACAGACAGCATACAGCTGAATAAGTTTTGTGTGACGTAATTTTTTCATGATTTGTGCCTCGGCCAGGAAATCTTTAGGATCCATTGTACCTATAAATAGAAAGGAATTACTTGAATTAGGATGTTAACTTCCATAACCATTTTGTGAGCACATATTTTAAATTCTTAAAATTCATTGATAAAATATTAACTGCATACATCATTACATGTATACAGACTAATATCACTTTCAGACGGACATAAGGTCAAGAGAGGCTAACATTAAGGAGGTTGAAATTGCCAATATAACAGTGTGACATGAAAACTTCTCAAGCACAACCAATCCTCATCTTGCTTCTTGAGATACAGAGGGCTTTCCCACTAGTGCTGAGTACCTGATATATGAACCAGTGGGTCGAAGCTCTTATATCATTTACAATTAAAATTAGCTGAATTACGCAATTGACACTGCGTTTAATGCTTTTTAAAGTCAAAGATCCTGAATCTTTTGTTATGCACAGATATTTGATGGAAGAAGCAAGAATCAAATGTTTTTATCTAAAAACTAGACAGGTTGAACTTGAAAATGAGCAGTACAAAGACAGTTGTGGGTAGTAATTATAATCATAGGTTGAACTTTGCGCTTCCTCAAAAAGGCAATAATTGTTGTTTCAATTGACAAAGTTCACATTTCACTTCATATGTGACCAGTCAATATAAGAAGGCCTTAAATAAGTACATGCATGTGAATGTGACATATTATCATTGGCCAAGATATTAAGCTTTGTTTTCTGTATTAGTATTACCATAATATAAATTTAAAGAAAAACTCAATTTAAAATAATCATTATTTATTATTAATCTTACCAGGTTTGAGTGTTTTGATCGCCACCGGAGTAGTATTATTCCATAATCCTTCCCAAACTTCACCAAACTGTCCATGTCCAATTTTACGGATAAGTTTAAGAGAATTTTTAGGGATTTCCCATTGATCTTTAGTATTATAGGATAAACCAACTGTCTGAGGTTTTTCAACCTGAAAGAGAGAAACACATAGATTATAAATCAAATATTAACTAAAGAATAGTATGTGCATTTTTTTTTTTTTACACAACTAGAATCGGTGTAAGTGGTCTGAATCCCAATATCATTATCATAGGAATAACCAGAAGATTTGAAGCCTGGTTCTTCCCTTAAGGCACGTATTCTAGATTTTTAGATGGGATAGAGTAGACATTATACATGTAAAAAGTATGTAACCACAAAAATATCTTTCAAAGAACAGATACATGTATACATGTACTTCCACTGCCTTGACAAAAATATATGCAGAGCATGGCCTAGTATTACAAATGTACCCATAGTAAAAACAAATACAACCATAGAACATGTCAGTCTTAAAATAGCTAAGATAAAATGAAAAGGTTGAAGTAAACCCAATACATTAACAAGTCAAACAAGACTTACTTGCTAATGAAAATATATACATCTTGGACCAGGTGTTATTTCAGCTTTTAACAGATCAATTTTATGCTCTGGTAAACATTTTCTTAATACAATTTCACACAGACATGTTAGTTTAATATGGAGCTTTAGTTGAAGCGTGTGGGAGAAATTTTAATATTTGAACAATACGGTGTGTACTTTCAGATTAAACCCAGAAAACACAAAATGTGAAATGGACTATAATTTGAAAATAGTTTCTAAGGTCACTGGCTCAAAGTGTTGGGTCATACAGTATACAGGATTGTGTTGTACAGTTGTACAATACACACCTACCTACGTTTACGTAGTCTAAATGATAATTCACAAATTTCATTCCAAAATTTTGCATTTACAATTAAATCTACATCAATAATATTTCTATGAAGACATTTTACATGTACATTGTATCAAATAATGTAGATAAATTTAAGTTTACATAATTTAGATTTGGGTAATCTTTTATTAAACTACCTGATTACTAAAACATGTATTGTGGGGTTGGGAAGGATCATGACTTATGTAAATTAATTATTAATGTAACTTTACTGAAGTCACAATTTAATATACAGAATATGAGTCAGTTCCTGACATTCATCTGCTTATACATGCAAAAGTTATACATGTAATAGTGATTTATCAAACACTAACTTTAATCAAAATATATGCAGAATTTGTATGTAATATTTATTCTTCAGTTAAAATATGACATCGTCATACTTCACAAGGTGTCGTTACTTTTTAATTCTTATGCTGGTGTCACGTTTTGGTTTAGTTCCTTGGGTTTCATCAGTTACGTATACTCATTTTTGGGACATACACCTATATTTCAAGTTTCGGCAAAATCGGATAAAACTTGTAGAGTGTCCACAAACAAATTGTGAACGGACCTCCGAACGAACAGAGGCAAAGACAATATTATGTCCATATGAAAATGTGGCCATATAAAAATAATAAGATACCATGCCAAACCGGGGCCGGTATCAAGCCAAACTGTATATCTGGTACAACTAAATAATCATTAAATATTTATGCTGGCTGGACATGTACACACCTTAGATTGTTTACTGATTGTGTGTACATATAAACCATGACTTTTGACAGTCCCTTTCTAATCCAACATAGTGTAAAGATGTATTATTATTTTAAGTACATATTGATATACATCTACATGTATATATATTCATTATCAGTTGTTGGCATGTACATGTAGATATACACATGTATTACACAGTTGACTGATGTACATGTATACTGGGACTTTATAATCAACACTTTGAAACATTGTACATGTACATATAATAAAAGTTATCATGAAGCATTCACTTATCAAATTGCTTATCTGTTCTTAGTCTAAGCAGAAAATGATCAAAATCTACATGTATTGTGTAATGAATATCTACAACATGTTTCAACATTTCACCTCATTCCGAAGCATTTTAATAATATATAGTCTGAAAGGCATGGGGGTGATGAGGGATAATAATTAAAATCTCATTAATCACTTAATAGTCCTCAGTGTATGTATCATTACCTACATGTATACAGTTGAGTAAATGTATGTTAAAACAATCAAGTGACTCATAGTCACAGTAAGATGAATAGATGAAACATACAGCAAACAGAGGCACCGCTTAATCATTTTATACAATGAATCAGGTCTATTTCTGGTTATATTTAATCACTGGTTAAGATGTATCGTGGAATATTGATCTAAGCCTACTATTACTAACTATAATTATCTCGGTTCCATTCTTAACATATAACTAGTTCTTCATGTCAAATTGCTAAATAATCATAGTTCTTTACTTCTAATCTAAAACCCTAGACTACTATTCAATATTCCCACCACATTACTCTTTCAGAGCAAGGCTGTAATTAAGTTCCACGTGTCATCAAGAATACATGTGCTGCAAACTAAATGACGAATGGGGATATAAATGTTGCTAGGCTTACAGATGAAGCTTTAAGGTGTAAAAGCAATACAGAACAGTTCTGTAGAAACTACTGACTTCAACCATTAGACTACAACTTATATTATACATATCAATCTCCAAACTAGGCTATACCAGGCAGTATTATAATTTTGAATTTAAAATATGCTACTGTTTAAAATTGTGGGTTACCAAATTATGTGAATTTTCAGTTTAGGATAAATGAAAACATAATGTACAAAATGAAAAACATTATAATGTACATGTAGGCGCATTATCATAAACCGAAATATTCACAATATTTCCAAATGGTTTAATAAACATACAATGGTTTAATACTATTGTACATGTAGCTGTGCAATTTTTAAAAATATTTTTCCCAAATTAACATCTGTTTGTGAAGAATTTAGGTCAGCATAAAACAAGCCAGATGTGTTAAATTCAAACATGTCGGCACAAATAATCTAATAATAAACTGAACAAATCAATATTCAACTTGTGACAAAATGGCAATTCTATTGATTTTCAATATTCTACACTCTATATGTTATTCTGTAGTCAATACTTGTTAGACTCCCCCCCCCCCCAACCCTTCAATCAATCTAAACAGTGAATGTCCATTTGCTTTCTATTTCAAACTTAGCAAGGACTATTACAGGAAATAAGCTTTAAATCAATCAGTTGGCTTCCTGAACTTGATATAGTATATAACAGCTTAATGGCTACAGATCAATTTACTGGAACGAGAACAAATAAATTGCTGAAATTGGGAGATTATTTTTTTAGAGATAAAACCATAGACATAGAGTATTAGTGGATTCAGTGATCATAACACTTTTAAATGGTTTAAAGAAATAAAAGAAACAAATTACTTTTAAGATGGTTTAAAATAATAGGAAACAATTCAGTTTCAGATGATTCACATATACATTATCAAATATAAACAGGAACAAATATTTTACATGTACATCATTGCTCAATTCCATTCCTACATGTACATATTGCACAATTCTTGATGCAAAGTAAACAATTACACAATCTGTAATGCATGTTACTACTTACTCATATATAATATCATGAAATGGGTGTGTATGTAGTCATTCATAAAATGTAAAGATAACCACATTTTCATTACAATATTAATAGAATACTAAAAACAGACTGGAAATGAAAACTAACTTAAGTCCAATCTTTCTTGGCTGTTCAGTAAAAAATTTGATTAATTACTAATTACTGGTCAAATACCTATATTAATTAATATTTAATTAGCTGTCTAAGGCTTACATAACAATCTACCAGACATCATTAATTGTTTGACCTACTTCCCCCTTCAGAGTATTTTTTTTATTGACAGATTCTTATAGGTCTACATATTTAATTATTGTATGAGGTTATAAACAGATGTGAATGTCAAAAGCAAAGACAGTACAATTTGTTAATTGCTATTTAGTATGCAAAATAATTATATTCTGTAAATATTATAAAATTATATACACAAGTCTACTAGCCACCAAAGTCACACTGTACAATGTACATACTTACTAAAAGACTTTGAACACAAAAGGGACACTGTTTAAAACAATGACTCACTATACAAACAATGAATGGTATTAAAATTGTTAACACCCAGTTACTGCTGTAGAAATTCACCTCTTTTCAAATGTTTCTGTCTGACTTTTGTAAATAATAATCAAGAGGACCAATTTTTTTTTAACAAATGTTGTACAGGAAGTCAAATAAGTGCAGTTTCAAGTGATTTCCCTCTTTTTATTAATTGGACAGTAGTTGTATATGATATACTTCTTTTGTTACACATCGTATCAGCTGTCGCTACTACTAACTAGGCCTGGTAGTACTCTACTCTAAAATGGCTGAATGTAAAATGTAATTCATTAAAACAGTGTGACACTTGTTTGATCAATATACACGCATGCCAGAGTAAGTTACCAAAGTGTACAGTTGTAGTCATATGATCTCTCTTGACAATTGTAAAAGTGAGGGAAGTGTTGCATCATTAAGAAGCTATCCTCAGCCACAATCTTAATTCTACAATCCAAAATCAGAAAGCTAAGTCGACACGACATTATTTCACAATTCTTATTCATATGAAAAAATTAAAACCACTGATGACTCACAGACACTGACTAATAAATTGCAATACACAAATTTTTATGGAAATATTATTTATTTCAGAATTTTTCAAATGCAGCTCTTCCTAAATGGTAGTAAATTGATTTTACTGGCTCTTTTATAGCGCTCAGTCAAGAAGAGTTTTTGTTGAGTGTTGCACAGTGGCAAATAACTCCCTATAATTTTTATATTTTATTGACAGATGATCAGAATATACAATGTAATTGTGTATGCTACATGTACATGTACCTGTACTTATAAAGTTACAATGAGGTTCTGGATTTTAGACTCTAAATAGTGTAGTCTTCCTTTTGGGTGAAAGGAATCACTCTCTAATAATGATATATAGCCCATTTACCAAATCCCTGACCATGTCCAAACTGGGAGAGCTTTATTTTTACTTTTCATCTCAAACCAAATATAGAAAACAATAACTGTAAAGTAGCTATATGGTTTTTTTCAAGTGTGTGAATTAACCTGTTATTGAATTAATTGTGAAATGTACGTAATTATATTATTTCGGAAATTCTAACTACTTGGGGTCAGTTTTATACTGCATTTCTCTCGGTTAATACATGTATTAGTGTTTACCTCTTGATAACTTTGCTTACTGTATAAAATTGTTGTTTTGGTTCCCGACTTTTTAAAAAATTGGGTTTTCAAAGAGTGTATTTAAAAAAATCTGGGGTTTTGTATTATACAGTGATTTGTTGATGATTAAAATATAGAAGCCCACACAGGGGAGTAAATGTGGAATGCTGCCCCCCAGGAAAAAGACAAAAAAACAGTCAGTCTCAATATAAGTGCAGTCGGTTTCAAATGAGTAAATGAATTAATGAGGTAACCAAACAGTGCCAAAATATAAGGGGAAAATGAAACAAGAACTCCTCAATGAACTATTGACTCTTGTGTGTGAGTGTGATCTGATGGACACGATCAATCTTGACAAAACCAGTGTTAAAACTTGGCAAAGTGCAGGCGCTTGATGAAAATATGAGGACATAGTCATATCATTGCTTATTAATTATTTACATGTACAGTGTTTTCTGGCCATCAAAATTCTGCAAAATCATCCCCTTAAAGTCCAGGAAATGGCATTTCAGGGACTTAAGGTACAAAACTTTTTCAGGGGAAGCATGCCGCCAGACCCTTATAGAAAGCTCGCACCTGCGGTACGCCCCTGAACCTACATGTACATGTATGTATTTAGTACATGCAAAGATTGGACATGTTTTGTTTTATGAATAAATATCTATAATGCTACTTTTTTCGAAGGAAAAAGATAAGATAACAAAGATATAAAAACTACTGATAAATAAAAGATAAAACCAACCCAATTTGGTTTCTGTTCTTTGGGAACACCTGATAAAAATTTCTTTGGGAAAATGACTAATTTAACAAGCTGTTCAGTGTTGCCATGCAAGATACGCCCACATTTTGCAGAAGATGGACAGAAAACAAGTTGAAAAAGCGATTTTTCGTACAATCTGGGCCATAATCCAGGATGTTTCAGTCTGACATGCATCAATATCAAGAGGAACTGAGATCTTTGGGATATAAACAAACATATATTTTAAGTTTCTTCAAAATGGGAGAAAAATTGTCAGGATCTACTCCACAACCTTGGTATTACATGCTTATTATACTACTTGTGCAAAGGGGAGCGGCCACTTTGTCGGACAGTCTTGGTATGATTTTCACGAAATTTGAACTCAACAGTAATTGTGATGTAAGCTTAATGGTGATACATTTGAATGATTATTAAAATCAAATAAAATAGTGGGTCCACAAGCTAAAAACGTGGTTTTTCAGACAAAGTTACAATCCAATATGCGCCAATATCGAAGTGACCAAGATCTTTAGGATATGCACATATGTTTCAAGTTTGATCAAAGTTAGATACAATTGGGACCTCTAGAGTGTCCACAAGCTAAATACCGGATACATGCCAATATCAAAACGAACCGAGATCATGGGGGATATAAAACCTATATTTCAAGTTTCATCAAAATCGGATAAAAGTTGTGACAAGTAGAGTGTCTACAAACAAATGTGAACGGACGTCCGGAAAGACAGGGGCAACGGCATAATACATGTAGGTCCACATAAAAATGTATTTGGGTGCGCTGTTCAAAATTATTAACAAAATCACCTTTCATGTGATTCAAGTGGCTATTTATTTATAAAGACCCTGATGAACGGAAAATTAATTTGGTTTGGCATAAATGAAAAATAAAAGGTGTTTTGAAATTCATAAGGATCTGGAATCCGTAAATTATACACAAAAAAAGCTGATAAAATATATTTACCTGAGAGCAGGGTTTCCTGAGATTAACACATAATCCATCAGAGTCTGTACTATAATGATCTACCAATTCACTCAGAGTTTTAAATGTGACACGACGAGCAATAAAAAATCCACCTTCATCTAACTGTCGTATTCTATAATGTTTAACTGTATCACCATCTCTCACTTAAAATTAAACAAAATTACTCATCTGATTAGAATATGTTATTACATTAACAGTCGGTTACAGTACATGTATAAGGTTACCAATTCTTTTACCCCAGGTGATACATGGATAGTGTAACTAAATAACCTGGCTACATACATGTACATGTATGCACTGTTACATAATTTGCAAAGATTAAGGTACCCAGTACATGTAATATCTCTTTCTTTTAAAAAAGAAATACAAGAAAATAACTTTTGTAAGCAAGCATTTTTTTTCTCTTCACTAAAGGATAATGTGGCATTAGTTTCTCTTCACAGCGGCCCATAGGATAATTTGGCATAGGTTTCTCTTCATAGAGGCCTATAGGGTAATCTGGTGTAAGTTTCTTTTCACACAGGCCCATATAGCAGTTTGCCATAAGTTTCTCATCACAGAGGCCCATAGGGTAATCAGGCATAGGTTTCTTATCACAGATGCCCATAAGATAATCGGGTATACATGTAGGTATCTTTTCACAGGCCCCCATAGGATAATCTGGCATTGGTATCTTTTCACAAACACCCATAGGATAATCTGGCATTGATACCTTTTCACAGACACCCATAGGATAATCTGGCATAGGTATCGTTTCACAGACCCCAATAGGATAATCTGGTGTAGGTCCTTAATGTTATTAATACAGTGTATGGTCATGGAATATTCTAACAAAAACAAAAAAATGTTAATAAATTTACCTGATAGTGAATAATCATTTCTTCTACTTTCACTGTCACGAATTAAATATGCACCATGTTCATTTTCAGGGGATAACAATTTCTTTTCTGCTTCTACTCTCTTTATTTTACCAAAATACCATCTAAAAGATACCAAGGAAAATAAATGTATTTCAAAATAAAAATAATCTGTCCTTATAAAGATAAATTAAATGTTTACATTGTATATCCATTTATGGTATTACGCCTACAAGTACATTGTACATGTACATGCGTGGTTTCCTATACTCAGGATAGGTAATATAAGCCATTTTTTATATTTATGTACATGACTAACTTTCCCAATATTCCCAAAACACATATGTGTTTTCTACGTAAACTGCTTGCTCTTTTGATCCGGGATTTGATACGATCTTCCATTTACTACAAAATTTATGAAATATCGTCCCAAACAAACTAATGCTTCTTTACACTTCTCGGGATAAGAAGCAATTAAACACAACAACAACACTATGTGTTACTGGTCGAAACATAATATCCAAATAATATCTTCCTCTTACTTATCAAATTAAACATAAAAGATTTGTGACATGATTTATGGAGAACTACTTTAAAGGACCAAAACGGGACATATCAATAAAAATGTACACCTCAAAAAGTGTAATATAATAATTCAAAATGATTTTCCATTTTGACACAACATCCGAGTTAAAAACCCAATGTCCTGTGGTAGTTTGTTTGTATTTTCTAGCTGACGAATAAAAGATTAATAATTTGTTTAAAGGCCACACCAGCTTGGATCTTCTTTAAACACTCTAAACAGGAAACAGATGACCAACTGATATGATTATTCATGGGGCTTGTGTATAATCTCCTCAGTCTAGTGAGTTGTTCATTATGTCAGTACTCGATGAATGTATTCAAAATGCTTTATTTGGTTGGAGGAAGTGTCATTAATCGAAAATTTGGGGATAAAAGTTTTGCACTCAATAATTTTACCACACCCCTTCTCTATAGGGTTGGGCGATAATGAAAAAAAAATATTGTGATAATAATTTACATGTATCAAATATCATGATAAACAATAGCACTGGGATAATTTATTTGTGTGTCTTAAGAATTCAATTTTGAATACTTGGGTCGAAAATCGTCGCTTGATGTCAAATTATTGTTGCTAAGGTCGGTAGATGCCATGATGGAGATTTACCCTAGAGCAGCTGGTACTTAATAATGCTGTATTTTTACTGATGAATTTAATTCTATCAATAGAATGTCATAGGAGGTGATGATACAACATATGTATTATCATCAATATCGGGATACGATAATTATTTTATCGCGATAATTTTGGTTATTATGATATACTGATTTTTCGATATTTTTAAGGAAGTTCGATGTGATGAAATCCGCCGAAGATTTTATTGCGATATACCGAAAAGAAAAAACGGTATATCGCCCAACAGTACTCTCTAATAATAATATAACCTTGCATATACTAATACTGATGCTTCTCAATTTCTAACATGTTTGCTTCAAAGTCTACTAATTTTAGAATAATTTAAGTTTATTTATCAAACAAACTTTGTATTTTTAACAGCAAGTGCAGGAAGACAAACCCTGAGATAAGACATGCAATGCAACATATGGCCATTGTAAGCAAGAAACAACACAGTATTGTCAAATCAAGTGAATGGTTCCATTGACGGACTGAAGGGTTATCTACTAAATTTTCAGTTCAAATCAAGTAAATTTTCCATCCTACTTAATTTCCTTATTTTTAACAGTTCAAGTTCCATTTTATTTGTCGAATTTGCAAGCAATTAGATCATTAGACAATACATGTATACTTCAGATGGGCAATATATAAATGTACTTGAGTTTATTCTTATACACGTACATGTAGTTTAAATCTAACTTCATTTGTCTAAAAGATTAGCCCATGAAACAGTCTGTTTAGAAGCTGAGTTTCGTGTGAGGTGAACCATAATGAGAAACAGTGTCTTTCAACTAAATGTACACGTAACACTGTCAATTACTTAATGAATATTACTATTAGTCATAATTTAGCCAAAGTTCACGTAAATAACCCCGGAGGTGACATCCCATAACAACCATTCAGATCTATCTGTATTTGGTATACAAGCAGTGTTTAAAATTCATATCGGTCGTATACATGTAGGGCAGGCCATCCCAAAACTTTTAAAAAACAACAACAATACTTATACAATATAGGGTCATCACCATTTTCTTGTCTGAAACTATGTGAAAATTCTCCAGATATTTTATTGTGGTGATAGATGGGAGCAGCTAGAAGATTTCCTGTGGTTGTTCAACATTGTACATCTATTATTTGCTGCTGTTGCCTCAGCTAGCCTGTACTATAGTTTACAGAGTACAGTACACTAGGAATTTATTTGGGACTGTGGTTTATCAAATTTAATCTGTGACATGATGAATGTGAATCGCTGAGTACATTCTCATCAGTTGACATTAAACAAATATAATTGTGGAGGTTTCTATCATGAATTATTCTGAAATTCTCATGTGTAATTTGATCAGAGCAAATGGCACTGTTGGCTTGGTGACAAATCAATAAAGGATAGCTTGCTGACTGCATTAATTAGGGTTGCAGGCTGCATGTACAAGGTACTGCTACAATTAAACCTAATGCATAATAAATAAACCAACCTAAATTCACCATGAACAAATTTCTTACAAAATAAAACCTAGAAGTTTAGAAACTAATACAATGAATAAAGATAGGTTGCCAGGCAACGAAACATACACCCACAGCAACTAAATCGTCCGGGCAGTCAACAAGGGTTGTCGCATATTTTTACTTTTTTCGGTAATGAAATATTTATAATAGTAATACACTAAAATCTGATTAAGAGTAACAACTTAAGAAGTAATTATCAGAAAATTATTAGAATTTGTTTGGTTTTTATAAAGTTCTGCCCCATGCTAACGTTTTGTATGCAAAGCTTTTAATATCATAGATTTAACTGTTCAAGTCATAAAAATTCATTGAAAATCAATATACTTGTTCGTCTCAAGATCTTAAACTCTGTGTATCAATCTGAAGTCAATCGGATGATAACTTAAGGGCCATAACTTTGGCAGTAATTATCAGAAATCGTTGAAAATCAATAGGAATCTTCGTCTCATGACCTCAAACACTGTGTATAAATTTAAACTCAATAAGATATTAACTTGAGCCTCAAGAGCATCCACAAGATTTTTTGAAGTGATCAAGGGCCATAACTCTGGCAGTAATTATCGGAAATCGTTGAAAATCAATAGGCTTCTTCGTCTCATGACCTCAAACACTGTGTATAAATTTAAGGTCAATTGGATATTAACTTTGGCCTCTAGAGCGTCCACAAGATTTTTCAAAGTGATCAAGGGCCATAACTCTGGCAGTAATTATCGGAAATCGCTGAAAATCAATAGGCTTCTTCGTCTCATGACCTCAAACACTGTGTATAAATTTAAGGTCAATTGGATATTAACTTTGGCCTCTAGAGCGTCCACAAGATTTTTCAAAGTGATCAAGGGCCATAACTCTGGCAGTAATTATCGGAAATCGCTGAAAATCAATAGGCTTCTTCGTCTCAAGACCTTAAACACTGTGTATAAATTTAAAGTCAATCAGATATTAACTTTAGCCTCTAGAGCGTCCACAAGCAATTATGGACGCCGGACCGACTGGGGCGACGAAAATATACGACCACATTTCAATGTGGGCGTATAAAAATAACTATAGTACATGCTTAGTAGTTCACAACCCACTGCAACATGCACATATAATCTACCCTAGTGCTTTTTGAACCAAATCAACAAACATATAAGGGGCTGTCCCATTTAGAAAGTCACCCGTGTACATGTATGAAGAAACAAGGATCATGAAAGAGAAATTAGTAGTAACGATAAATTAGTTTTGTATTGAAGAAAAAAGGTTTATGAAACTTGAAAGAGAAACTTAGATAATTATCCCTAAACTACGAAAGATTGCTAATGCAATGCAGACACTTGTTTTTATCTCTATTGATTGGTCTCAAAGTCGAACATTTTCCTGTATATTATGTTACACGTAGGCCAAAATAATTTTGTACCAGTTGTTTGTTTTTTAGAGCTGTTTTCTGTTTAATTTCCATGATCCCATCCTCTTTTCACAAAGCTCATACCGGTATGTAAGAGATGAGTAGGTCTACATACAAATCAAAAACTTGACAGCGGTATTGAACCCACCGGTACATGTAAGGCTTGTTCAAACTTCAAGTTATTTTAAATACATGTTGTGAAACCTCTCGAAATAGTCTGATTCCTTATCCTCCTGTACTATACATGTTCTGCATGTACTGGTGCATGTTCGTAAGAGAGAGAGAGAGGTTTATGCACTCGACACAAACTAGGTCATTTTGGGACTAACACATGAATCAATTTTATTTCAATAATTCAACTGCGTGTAGGAGTCTTAAGCTGTGGGAAGAAAGCGGAGGATCCAGAGAAAACCCACAAAGTTGGACAGACAACCTACCCCTTTCAATAAATAAGTAAAGGTTGGTGATGCTTGTACATCTTCAAAATAGTGAATGATTGTAAAGCTTTCAGCTCTGTGTATCGATTAAGGTATGGCCTATGGACGTACTGTACTGGGTAAAACTGTATGTCATGGATGGAATCTGTGTCAAAGTATCAAAAAGGTAGGATACATGTACATACATTACATATACAGCAAATCTGACCAAAAAACTTGGACAAACAGTTCCTCCCACATAAATAATCACATATAGCTCTATGAGTATGAACATTTTAGAGAATAGCCTGATGACACTTTATACAATTTCATGACATTTCGGTCGATAAGTAAATCCGAAAAGTCATCAGGCGGAGTCAGTACCGCTGTTTGTGTGGAGTTCCGAAAGGCAGCGGAACCAAAACGTTGTGCTACCCTTTATACGATTCGTGATCAACATTACTTTCGATGACATCACCACATTTGTTTATTAAATAAAAAATGCACTATACTTACGGCTCTGATTCCAAACTTTTTATTTTAGCCACATAGTTGGACGGTATATATCCCTCTGATTTACTGGTTTTTGACTTGGCATACCACCAGTCTCCTTGAGTATCATTTAAAATTTCTAAATGTTCACCCTTTCTAAAACTAAGATCTTCATCAGTTCTGGCATCATAATCATAAAGAGCAACAAAAACTTTACTACTATTAGCTACACTTGGTTCAAGAGATAGTTCAGACTGGTGTGGAGATGTTGTTATTGATGGGGTTGATGTTGGAGGTGCTGCACCTGCCAGAACTGCAGCCTGACCTGGTTGTGTGGCACCATTTTCAATCGGTCGTTGTGACGTGGGTTCACTTGTATTGTTTTTTAAATGGGGATTAGGGTGTGTTCCACAGCAATTCCCCATCACTAATCACTGGGTAATATACTCACGTATCCTTACACCACATCAAAACACCCATAAACCCTTCACAAATCTTAGGAATTTTGGTCATCCAGTCAATTTAGTGTATTGATTATTTTGACAGAAAGTGTGATCGCTTCCAGTTTACACATTTCTCCAGATCAACTCATTATTACTAATTTTCCTACGCCGCCATCAATATTCCAGACAGTCATAATAAAGCAAATGCAATTAAATTCAGAATATTACAAACATATTTTCCAAGCTAATGTGTTATTGTCGGGTGCTTATAATAGTGAGATAAACTTATAAGACCTAATTAACGAAATCAGGATTATTTATCAAGTACTATTTTACTAAAGCGTAGGTTATTTACTGTAATAAGGTAAAGTGGCTTCTCCAGTCACTTGTAAAACGTCTTTTCATTGGTCATTACACTGTGAAATATTATCCATATCCACCGGTTAGTTTAACCAATCATTTCCGCCGTATCATTTTTTAATTCGGTAGCTAAGTCTATTTTAAGAAATCATCGAAAGGGAAACAAATCCATTTTCAAAAACGAAAAGGCTGGCCATTTTCACCCGATTGATATAAATGAAATGAAATGAAATGGGGCTTAACGTCCTACTGTTCTGCTCCTATACTGGGCTAATGAAGACGGGCATAGGCCTACGCCATACAGTGTGCTATGAGGGAAATTTTGCCCGGGCAGCGGCACTATCGCCTTCTCTTATATCGAATTCCAACTGCCAGGGGATCTTTTACGTGCATTCCAATATATACACGGGACCTGATCGGTTTTACGTATTGTCCGAAGGACTAGACGGCTGTCCTTGTCAGGCCCTCCGTTCTGCACCACTGACAAGGGGAAACCACGTCGGAAAATCTGGATGAACTTTCTCGGCCAATGCAGGGATCGAACACCCGACCTCCAGGCTAGCGAGCCAGCGTATTCCGATTGATATAACGTATGTATAATGTTTTCACCTAGGCATTTGTTTTGGGTGAAAAATGTAAGTTTCATTAAATAAAGTTTGATTTGTTTCGGAATCAACCATCTGTATTTTTATGGTACATTTTAGAGCAATGTTGAAGTATAGGTTATATATAAAATGAGTTCAATTTATAAATATAACCGAATCTCGTTAATTACATCATCAGCTGCCCACTAACTTTCGTGCAATCATATTATTCGGATAAAATGGCGAAAAAAAACCATTTAATATGATGTTCTTTCTGGGAACAAATATATGATGTTTTTGGGGGGAACAAATATAGGCTATGTTATCTTCTATAGTCAGCAAAATAAAGTGCCCGTTTGAAATTGAAAACTTTCACGTGATAATGAAACACCTTTACTTTCTTTTAATTGAATAGGGCGAAATTGTACTGAATTGACTATGGATTAAAAGTTAGTGTCTGGAGCCACACTGCTTTGTTCCACATTTTCCGGGAATCGATCATTATTTATTTCATCAATTTTTCGGGAATCGTAATTTCTTTAAATTGAGTAATGTGTTAACATTTAAACCACTTAAAATCAGTGTCTGGTACCACGGTACGCTTGGGTTCATTCTGAATCTCTTCGGTATTTCATCTACGTGCCCTCCTCCAAAATCTGGAATTCATGTGGGCATTAAGTGAGATTTCTGTTGCATAATCACATAAATAAGGCTATATTGGACCACTTTTAAGTTGCTGTTTACTCAGGTCTGGAATAGTAGGAATACGAAACAAATATCCAACAAATTTCCCCTGAAACTCCCACACGGCAACCACCTATAAAGGCAATTATTTCGGGAATTTCATTGTTCATTTTTAATACCATCAATATGCCCGAAATGAAACACATTGTTATTAGTTTTTTTTATATAAATGTTGGAAAAAGACTATATAGGTCTACATGATATTTATAAAAAAAACAGTCCTGTGTAATTTGAAGATTTTAGTAACAAAGAAATGTACAAAACTTTTATATTAAATCGAACACAAAACAGGACACAACAAACAGAAATTATTTAATAATGCGAGCTATCAAAGTAATTAGGAAATAAAAAATACCAACATATAAAAGAGACAGAAATGACAGTATATTGGTATATTTTATTGTATTATCTGTAGTTAATTCATTGTTATAATGAAATATTTCACCATTTATTAGGCCTGTATTATTCTATTTGTGTATTTGTCACGTAGTAGCAAACCAGATCAACATAATAAGCTAATTCAAGATTTCGTTTTACTTTTAAAGATATCAAAGGGGCATTGTTTTGTTTTGTTTTTTTTTGGGGGGGGGGGTGTTTTTGTTTTAATTTTACGCATGTTCGCATAAATTATTCCTTTGATGAAAACTACAAATTCTCTGTTTGAAATACATTTCTAATGCCGAAAACTCTTTAAATTAATACTTTTATCAACATTGTCACATGCGGAAAATATTATGAGTCTTATTATACATATCACCGACAAGGGTGTTTTTATGTCAATATCGCTCCATGTATTGCCTACAATTTCACTTCTTTTTTTTTTCTAATAAGACTCTTCACACAATTTTCTTTTTATACCCGTGTTTAATTTAAGGTTACCCGACCGATCAAATTTTAAGGAGCCGGAATCGCCGACCTAAACTTTTTTCCCCATTCCCTAGGTTCTATAAATCGGTCTTGGCATGAATTTCTGTAGACAACACTGGAATTTCGGTAATTAGAACAGTCCGAACTTGCTTTACCTGCCCAAAACTTGTTAATCAGAAATGATGTTAGAAAGGTTAGAAAATGAATACTAAACCATCATCGTATATATAAAATGACACGATAAAGTATTTAGAAATGACAGTATCCATATTGACACAAGAACTCGCCGTGTATCACATAATTACATATATCGAGTGACTTAATTCTACTAACGAAACGGCGGTAAATAATTTCTTTGACCAGGTAAACACAGGTATTATAATTTTTGGACTAATCAGTGCAACATTCAGTAAATCAATATTTATATTTTGAACCCAGTTGAATCTGGAAAGAATGGCTCCAATTGGCGTACAAGAAATGTGCTCTTTTGGAGCTGGTTCCCTCCTCAAAACATAATTTCGAAATCCGCCATGGATTTCTGTTGTCTTTTGAGCATTGATTGAATGAATGAATTGGGGTTTAACGTCCTACTTCTATTCTCCAACCGGTATAATGAAGACGGACATACACCATTCAGTGTGCTACGAGAGACATTTTCGGACAGCTATTGAATTCCATTTGTCAGGGGAACTTTTACGTGCACGCCAACGTGATCAATTTTTCGTCCGACCCGAACGACTAGACGATGTCCTTGCCAGACACTCCACCCTGCACCACTGACAAAAGGCAAACCACTCTAGAAAATTGAGCATAACAGGTCGGGAGCTATATAAAAATAATTTCAATCTCATCAAGGGTATCAAAGTACATGCTATGCAGAACTGCTCAGTTATCGTCCACTCAGTAATGTGATTTATGTTGGCAAGTTTTTCATGCAGTACAAATTTATCTTTTTTCACCGGAGGAGCTGAACGGACGCTCATTGCTCTAAATCAGGCTAGCTTTTATCAGGTCAGTGCATCTATTTTCGATATTAAAGGGCCAATCCCGATAATATTTTGGAGAATAAAACTGGTTAATTTTGTGTTAAAATCCCTTAAAATCCTCTACCTTAGGGCCGAGCAACTAACTCAATATATTTGATACGTTTTCAAACAACTTAAACCCGTCAGTCTTTATCTGGAAATGGAGACCGGTGTCCCAAGCTGTATTATGTGGTGTCTGGATAAAACCAGACTTTTATTTTATAAAAATAATGTGTAGGTGAAATTTACCTTTCGTTATCAAGTACAGCACATGGGCCATTCACTGTATAAACCTCTAAAGGAACGGGAATCGATTAACAGGTCACCCAACGAAAGAATTGACCCAAAATCTTAAAAGGGTTACGTGTCCGGATAAGCAGTTTTGACGTTCACGTCCAATTGACTCGATATTTTGAGCTGAAATTTTGAGACAGGGTAAATACACCATTCCATTATATTTTGGCGCTTAAATTTCATACGTACTCGGACTTTTATTTTTGAGACTCTGTTCAATTCGGGATAGTCCCTTTAAGGATAATCTATAGGGTTTAATTACATTTATAGAAAGTTTAAAGGTATCTTTAAAATGTTAAGAGGCTAACCGTGCGAAATTTAGGATGTCCGTAGAAAACACAATATACAGGATTCTTCTTTATGCTTGAATGTTTAGTTTTCATTTGTTCAATCGATTGTGTGAATTGATTCGATCAAGGGATAGGAATAACACCAATATGTCAAATTTTCAAAAACAATTGTTTCCAACATTTATGAGTGCATTTCGTTTTCGTCTCTTCAATTACCATCAGCAACCTGTCATCTTGGATTGATCTTCTTGCCAGAATTCTTCTATTCTTGCCCTAAACGTCTTGCCTCTGAAAGAAATTGTCTTTAAATTTTCCCCCAATTTCCAGCCAATGTTTACAGATTGGCTGAATAGAACTTTAATACATTATGCCTATAAACACCATTCTTTATTCATAACCATTCTAGTAGCTAGTGTTATATAGCTTCACGTGTGTCTGGCCCAAGATCGAATTTCCTAGCCCAATGTCAGACAGGGAGGGTCTTCACAGCAAAGAAAGCATAACAAGGAAACTATAGAATACAAAACCAAGGGCTGCATAAACATGCAAAAGGCACATTAATTTTAAGTCAATCACATGGTAGGGCATTCAAAAGATTTTACAAAGTGATTAAGGGCAATAACCCTGAGAGAGAGAAACTATAGAATACAAAACCAAGGGCTGCATAAACATGCAAAAGGCACATAAGTTTTAAGTCAATCACATGGTAGGGCATGCACAAGATTTTACAAAGTGATCAAGGGCAATAACCCCAAGAGAGAGAAATGGGGTTTAATGTCCAATCAACACAAACTAGGTCATTTTAGGAATAACACACGGTTCAATTTTGTTTCAATAATTCACTTGCACGTAGGGGTCTTTAGCAGTGGAAGGAAACCGGAGGACCTGGGGAAAACCCATGAGGTTGGACAGGCGACCCTATTCATTGCAACGTACAAGTGGGGAAGCAGAACCATACCAGTTGACTTAATGACAGACCTTCTGATCCAACACGCACACGTTAACCATCCGGCCACCCAAAACCCCCAATAACCCTGAGGGTATGAAAATCAATAAGAACATAAACACTGTGTATAATTTTCAAGTCAACTGTAGGATAACATTAGCCTGTAGAGACAACACAAGCAACTGTGGGCTATTTTGATATGGGTATAAAAAAATACAGTACTACCAATCATTATTTTTTATTTTTATATCTACACATATTGTACATAAATAACATTTGACCTATAACATATTAACATTATCTTTTTGCTTTCTTCTTTGTTTTACTTTTCGATTTCTTATTATCCTCTACAACAGGGGTTTTGTTTTTAGGAGCATCTACTCGTAAAGCATGACCAGTGGCTTTAATATGCTGAAATAGTTTATTTCTTGTTGGAAAACTTTGTTTACACACATTACAATATTCTGTTGTTGATTCTGAAACCTGGAAAATAATACATAATAATAAGTTAATAGATATGCTATATAACAGATTAATAAAGGGCCCTTATTGATTTACAGCTTGAATATAGCAGAAGACCCAGTAAATGTAAGAGTAAAATCCAACTTGTTTAGTATTGAATAACTAATATTTTCTTTTCCAACATACACTGTAATTTCAAAGATTTCAAACAATAGAAGCATTTTAAATCATGAATTATTTATGTATTCGACAACAAATGTGGGTAATTATAATTAATGACAAGTTTATGGTAGTTTAAAATAAAGACTACATCCCTTATTCTTTTTATGTTAACATTTAAATGTCATAGTGTACTGTTCCCTATAAGGTGTGTGTTTGCTCACATGGTGTGCACTGATTGCAAAAAGTAAATGAATGTGCCACAAATTTTATGGTTCTCAGATAATACCACAAATGCAATCTTACTTTTTTTATAATAAAACATGGCAATTGCCAATACAGTTTTATTATGAGAAATAGGTTTTGCAAAAATTATGTTCAAACAATTTCAAGTTTACATGGGAACAAATATCTTAAGCATACATAATATTGTCACAGGAATGAGATTTTTGCACACATCTACAACTGAAAATAGAACGGACCACTGCTAAAAAGATGTTTAAATCTGAATGATATAAACATAATTTCACTCTGATTGAAGTTTCACATAACAATAATAGGTCTACCTGAGAAATAAAATTGTTACATGTCTTTTTTATCACACATTTATGACAGATAAAATATTCCAGTTGTCAGAAAAAAAAAATAGGAACATTTTTTTATATAAAAATTATTATCCATTTTGGCGTAAAAATAATTTAAAAGCTAGCATGAGCACTGCATAACATAAAATAATATATACCTTATGATTTTCAGGTTGATCAGGTAATATTATGGTAGCGCCATTTTCTTCTACTGGTACTTGTAATGGGTTTACATTTTTATTTATTGTCTCTTTAATCTCTTTACTTAAACCTTCATTATTCTGTTAAAATAAACAACAATACACTTCATATATAATTTATAATTCTATACACATGATAAAACTGCTGATCGTTACTTAAAGATACATTATGGGAGATTAGATAAAGAGCTTGCAGTTCTCACTATAATAGTTAAAAACTAGATAATGTACAGGGAATTTCCTGAAAACTTCAGTCAAATTGATCCACTTTGAACCGAGAAATTAGTGATTGAATTTCGGCCTAGCCTCGAACATCATTACTAAAGTCGGTACGATAAAAAACATAGTCTCGATTATCCATTTCATGATTAAAGTTGAGCAGCAAATCAGATCCTAATCCAGTAAATATCGCAGGCTAGAGATCACATCGAGAGTTGATTATGGTCTGGATGAGTTAATGTCTAATTAAACATACATTATGCAAGAGCTAAATCTGCCTATTTCAGGTCTTTCTTAATCTTTAGGTCCGAAATGTTATCTAAATTATTAATTAGACATTAATTAACCTATCCAGGCCATAATCAACTCTAGCCTGCAATCTTTAGTGGATTGTAGGCCGATTTACTGCATAACTTTCCTTCTCGATTAAACGATTAAATGGATAATCGAGACTATGCTGTTTATCGTACTGACTTTAGTAATGATGACCGAGGTTTATGGGAATTTCAGTCACTTAGTTCTCGGTTCATAGTGGATCATTTTGAATGAAATTTTCACCAAATTGCCTTTACATTATCTAGTTTTTAACTATTATAGTGAGAACTGCCAACTCGTTACCGAATCTCCCATAATGTATCTTTAATAATTTATATAACATTTAAGGCCTAAAGAAAGACCGGCAATAGGCAGATTTAGCTCTTGCATTTTGTATGTTTAAAAGATTTTGAATCCATTTCGTACTACAATATTTTAAAAGGGAATATCAGTACAAAATGATTGAACTCTGTTCAATATTTACAAAGATATGATAAAATGAAAAGTTTACAACATCTGCTGCAGACGATATAAACAAGCCAGTGCCACCTACAAGTGTTGTGTAATGTACATCACTTTAATCTAATTGATATTCTGATTTTAAATTCTCATCATAATTAAACCATAAAAAATTAAATATTGTCAGAAAAATGTATAATTAGCGACTTTAAATAAAATACAGTGTAGCAATACAAACCTGAGAGCTGTTTTGACTATTTGTTGCTAGATCAGGTGCTAATCTATCATCTGTTTGGTCCGTAGTTTGACTAGTTGATGCAGAATTATTTTCTTTAACAGATTCATTATCATCCTCTTCTCTCTATATCACATATATAATAAAATAAAGCATCTGTTAGTCTCTATATCAAATATATAACAAAATATAGAATCTGTAGTCTCTATATCAAATATATAACAAAATATAGAATCTGTTAGTCTCTATATCAAATATATAATAAAATAAAGCATCTGTTAGTCTCTATATCAAATATATAACAAAATATAGAATCTGTAGTCTCTATATCAAATATATAACAAAATATAGAATCTGTTAGTCTCTATATCAAATATATAATAAAATAAAGAATCTGTTAGTCTCTACGTTAACAAAATGAAGAATTTGTTGGTTGTAGGCTACACAGTGTAAAAACTTTGTGATGAATAAAGAGGTTAATAAAAAAACCCAAAGAAGTAATCCCTCATAGGTGGTATAATATCATAGGTGTGTCATGTGAAACTGTCAGTCCACCCATGTGCATGAGTGGGACTTGATATCATGGCAACAGTTTCTTGACAATTTATAACCAATCAAATGTTGAATGTTGCCAAGTAGGGGACTGAGAGGAGGGCCAATGTCACTTCCAATTTCTAAAGTTTTATCATCTCTATTTAGAGTTTTTGACAATGAATCTGAATAAAATAAGACTTAATAGCATAGTTAACAGGTTTCACATTTTACCTCAGCTTCTGCTTTTTGTTGCCTTCGTCTTTTTTTCTGTTTTTTCGATAATCTGGGAAAAAAATAAATAATAAAAATAATAAATTTCTGTGGCATGCAAACTAGATCATGACCAATTAGTTTTGTGCCAGAAACACAGACCAATTTACCTGCAAGGTTATTTGCAATAATTACTAATGCATGATTCTTCAAAATATCATTTTTCTTTTTACAAACAGAAAAGGAACAGACTAGGCCTATATTACATCTTTCCCATCATTTATGATAGAGAATTAAGATTCCATATTTTCAACCAGAAGTATGAAAATCCTGGTTTTTGTTACATATTTACATGTCTTGGAATCAATTAATTTTACATAATAAAATAACAATTTTTATGTAAATCTCACATTAAATGGGATTCTTCATGGCTAGTATTAGTAAGCTTTATGTTAAAAAAACCCCATCATACGTTTAGAAGAATACAGGTATTGTACTATATGTAACATGATACCTGACACTGTCAGGTAAACAATAGAATAACAGTTATTTTTTTCTACAACATTCGTTTTGTTTTAAAACATGATTTAGGTTAACTATGATTGACAGCATATTAACCTTTTTAACATTCTATTTTTGTGTTTGTTCTTTCTTTCTCAAATACATTCTGCTGTCATTCTAGTTGATGCATATTTAAAATATTGGTAATCGTGCCAGGCTATGTTGTTATCAGTAATATTATTGGTCCACTGAAAACCCACATGCCTCACAGACCAATAGCATGTTAGTCATTAGTGGTACATCTTTTCAATCTTTGATCAAGATGTCTTTAGAAAACTTTCTTAACCAATTTAGCTCACATTATGACAAGCGTGACAGTACAGAAAAGATTATTTATGCTAAGAATGAGATTTAATATGAAGTCCAAACAAAGTGTCTGTACATGTATGTAACTAATAACATTTCAAGGATCTGAATTCAGAAAGGTTACAAAAAATTTCATGACTAGGGAAAGACGGGTCGAGAAGTTGGGTTTATTTTGTTTTTCATAGATTATTTTTGTCCTGTTTTCCATTTTCCCTTGTATCTATGATTGGCCCATCTCTAGTTATGGCGAAAGACGTATATACCATGCACTACAGGAACGGAAAGAAACATATCTAATTTACCATGTTGTTTTTGTATATTGCATCATGTTTAGGCATATTTTATGTAAATGAAGATAATAGTATTTGAAATGGTACATGTATATTGGTTTTGTGTATTTGTCTTTTTCTTTAATACATTAAAATCTTTTCAATATCCATCACTAAAGATAATAAATTGTCTCTGACCTGACCACACATCAGTACCAGATATGGCAACACATCACTTAATATTTGCCAATCAAAATGAAAAGAAAATCCATAGCAAGAAAAATCTGATCTGGTGATTTCACAGAATATGTGTTTTCTGGGTGAGATTGAGTGAAACAATTTTTACAGGTGTAAAGTCATTAGTCAGAAACCTGATAGTCAATTTGCGTATTTCTTTATGTTTTTGACAGACATGTACATGTGACTGGACCATGAATACACCATTGTTTAACAAAATCCTTAACTTGGGAACATTTTTGGTTCATGTCATAATCTAGCTTTGGAGTCAGGACTACAGTGGGCCTTTGGAGTCTGGAGTGGTATGAAGCATTTGAACTACTGCGATAAAAATATTCTTTGAAGAACAGCTGTAAGGAACTCATAAGAAAGATTTTTCCGATCTTAATGGATAAACTATAGAAGAATTAATAAATTCTTAGAAGAATTTTTTATAATTCAAAGTTCAAGCCATTTAGTTTTGTTAAATCACGATGATTTCTCTAGTGTTGATTGTTGTGACAATATCAGGTATTGTTGGTCTACCGGTGAACCAATCTAACCCACCACATGCTGTACCACAACCAAGTCTTGAAGATCGCGTTTTACTTGTAGAAAGAAGATTAAATTTAAATGATCAAAAGTTCAATCAAGTTGATGATCAGATGCTATATATTGTTGGTAAGTAAAAATATCATTCATGTTTTACATCAGTAAAAGGGGTATATCACTTAATTTACAGAGAATTAAGAGATTAATACCTGAATATTAAGAATTTCAGAAGTTAATATAACTAATCAGAATTTTAAAATAATGTAGCAATTGTATTCAATATATATTAGACTTGGCATTCTTATTAATAATTACAAGACTGCAATATATGTAGTTATGAATCTCTAAACCTTTTTTTAATCTATTTATTGGAGTGATAATCTATTTAAAACATGTAAACATGTATCTAAAAAAAAACCCTCTAAATCTCAATCTGATCAGAAGAGCATGCATTAGCTTCAATTTGATTTGGGGCAATAAAATTGTGTAGAATTTACATGTGTTTGCTAGGGTCATGAGAAGATAAAAACATAAAAACTTTCAAGTTACAATTTATCAGAATGATCAATATTAGGGTTAAAGATACATTAGTTAAGAGCTAAATCTGCCTATTGCAAGTCTTTCTATAGGATTCAAATGTTATAGAAATTATTAATTAGACCTTTATTTACATAATAAGTCCAAAATCAACTCTGGATACAGCTTGGATTTGAACAGTTGTCCATTTGATAATTAAATCAAGGGTACCATTGCTATTGAGAATGTTACTTGATAATCGAGAATATGTGGTTGGAGTTATCGTCTGTCAATCAAATTATCGGTAATTCTCGGAGATGGCGCTTAGATAGTTAATGCCCATTTCTCGTCCAAACTTCCAACAGTGACAACTTTATTCAGAATAAAGTAATTTGACTGAAATTTTCAATATTTTAATTTATCATCTAATTTTGAATTATCATAGCAAGAATTGCCAACTCTTTATTAAACTCTTAACTAATGTATCTTTAACTTGTGTCGTGAAGCAGGCATCACTGTAATTCATTAGTCAACAATGTGTGAACATCACAGCTTTAATGATGATGCACAAAAAGTCCAAGAGAAATTTTGATTGACTAAATTTATGGAAGGCATTTATAAAACACTGTCAACTAAAAATTATACAACATCTGGTGGAATTCAATGCAGCAATAAGTTATGTAAATTGCACCGAAAACATTGAATTTAAAAAAAAAATTAGATTACTCTCTATATAGCCTTTGTAGTTGTTTTCAACTGCTGATCCACGAAAAAAGCTACCTATCCATGGAAATAGAATATTGCTCCTTCTCTTAAAATATTCTATTTCTGGCATTATCATTTATTGCTTGTTGCATTTTATTTGGCTATGAAATTCTCATTTAATAGAATTACGTTAAAAGACTAATACACAAAATAATATATGACTAATATTTTTGATTTCTACTGAAGTATGTCTCCTATTTTCACTGGTCGCAAGTATAAAAAGGTTGAAAACCACTGGTCTAGTGGACATTAATTCTATTCTTTTCCTTTTAATATTTTTCAGGAATAATGATGCATCAAATGAACTGGACTCATCCATCTCAAGGTCTTCATTCCTCTAACACAGCTGGCAATACACCAACTGCAAACAAAACTGTTACAAATAGTCAGGTTGTTCAAGAACCAGTGACACCAATATCACACAACCAAAACCAAAATGGTGGTCATACCCAGACTCAAACAATCACTACTAACAGTCAGTCTGGGGTCCAGGGAAGTCATTCAAATTCAGGAAATCCAAGCTCTAATGTTCCTCGAAGACAACACAATAACCGTCCATTTGGGGGTCTCGTCAGTATTGAGCAAAATTCCATGGAGAGAACCTTACGAAGAATTTTCTTCAATCAACCCATGGGAGGGGTAAGTACAGATGCAGAGTCTTTTGAAGATTTTGGAAGATTTCCTCATGGTCCCAATCACAGCAATAGAGGAGAGTATCCTTTAACTGGTCTTCATGGCAACAATCCTACTGGAGGACAAAATACTCATACGTCAAATAATGGTAATGGTCAAAGCAATGGACATAACCATGCTTCTACTTCTAGTGCAAGTAACCAAAGCATCAATCAGCCAGATGGTAGTATGAATCAAAATAATTCACCGAACAGCCAAAGTTCTACAAATAACAATGAAGGACACAACAGTGCCCACAGCAACCAAGAACAAAACAGTCAGGGTACACAACCTACAGTAAATAATGTTGATAGCCAAGGCAGTCAACAGACGTCTAGCAATCCACTAAACAAAACCTTCCAAGATGGTGCTGCAGCTGAACAGAAAGACACCCAACAAAACGAGAACCAAAATACAGAAGTCAGCACTCAAACAGATACACAACCTGAGAAAATAGAAAACTCACATTCAGAAGGCAGCAACAACCAACAATCTACCACAATTACTGAAAACAAATCATCTAATTCTCCCAGTAATAATCCAGTGGTTTCTAACAATGGCAAAGTTGAACAGAAACTTCCAGAGGCTGATAGAACTAATACTATTGATCATGAAAATTCCCACCAACCGGAATCAATGACTGGAGGAGAAGAAAAAGATGGGAAATCAAACCATGAAGTGAATGAACAAGAAGGTGAAAATCTAACAGAAGCTGGTTTAGAAAATGGTGAAGAAGAATGGCAGAATGAAGGTGGAGAAAATGAGAATCATGAAAGAGAAGAAACAGAAGGTCTTGAAACACAACAAGCTACACAGAGTGATCATGGTGAACTACAACATGGTTCACATATCTCACATCCAGGGGAATCCCCATTTGAACAAACACCTGCATTACTAATGCCAGTTGAAGTTGTAGAGGAAAGATAAACAATGGTTTTAAAGAAGATTGTTGCACATAGATTTATAATTCATATTATAGACTAATTACAAACCATATACTAATTACGTCTCTGACATTATATTAAATATATGTAATGAACATGATTCGAAATAAATCTATAAGATTTCATTTATATTCTAATTTATACACCAATATTGTTTTAAAAAAAATAAATAAATGAGCTAAGGGTGGGTGGGGGGGGGGGAGAGAGAGAAATGGTGTTAAAAAGGCAATCTGATTAAACTACAGATCTATATTTTGTTTCGTTTTTTTTATACTTTCGATGGCCTGCACTACATGAAGATCAGGCTGGTTGCAGTGGAAAGTCGCATCAGGGGTCATACAAGCGTCTTTTGACATCAGACATTTATTACCCAATCAGCGTTGATGTTACTAGTGGGATAGCCACAGCTCGGTGCACCCCATGCCAAGAACTCGCTGTAACAGACTTTTTCATTGGCTAATCTCTCACACCTACCAGAATGAAGGTTATATCACAACTCTTCAAGATCCTAGTGTAGTAAAGACAAGTAAAACGAAATTTTGAACTATTAAAAACAAATGAAATAGGATCTGTGTTTTAATTAGATTGGTTCAAAGGCCACTTGACACAAACTAGGCCATTTCTGGACCAACATATGGTTAATTTAATTTCAATCATTTGCTTGTGTGTATGGGGTCCTTAGAGAAAACCCATGAGGTTGGACAGGCGTCTCTACCCCTTGTCATGTCACATTTGGGATCAAAACCACGCCACCAGACTCAATGAGTATTTAGTTTCGTATTTGATTGATATCGCCACGCATGCGTGTCAGACAGGAACTTGTCTTGTCAAGGGCATTGAGAAAAACATGTCTTTGTCCAACATTTTTTGACAAAAAACACAATTTAACGGTGTCAGGAAGGTTAAAGACTCTCAATGTGGTTGAAATGCTTATGAATGATTCTGACTCAGATTGTATCGATGACACCGATTCTGAAGACAATATTTCTGATGATTATGATTTAGAATGATTTGCAAATTATAGATCAATTTATCCTCTTCAACTTTTTTATTGGTGTCAAGAGCCTATCACTTATAATTATCCGGCAGTAGTCGATTGAAATAGGCATACAAAATATTTCACTTTAGCCTTTATTTAGCCTGACCACTTGACGTCATAACGTCAAAATGATGTCGACCGGTTTAGGGTTAATCTGCAGTGAATATAAACAGAGTTCTTGATACTGATCGTCTATTGATAGATCTCTTGCAAACTACAATATTATGAAAGCTGAAAGAATATCAGTCGTAAAATGGTTCAATTCTGTTCCATATTTACAAAGATATGATGAATTAGAGATTTGGCAACATTTAGAATTCTCTGCAGACAATATAAACAAACCTGTGCCACCTATAAATGAGGGTAATTTTTAATCCCGATGGAATCCTAGCTGGAATATTATTCATTTTGGTTTTGTTTTCTTACTAAAATGTTCAATGATCAATCTGAGTACATTTTCACATGGATCAAGTCGTGAAAAATTAGATATTGTACAAAAAGTGCGAATGATGACCAGCGGATTTAAAAGGCCATCAGATTCATAATATGACCTTTAATTGTATTTCAATATACAAATACAGCTCATGAGTCATACACACCATAACCTGGGTATCATTTAATCTTGCATATTCAGCCCTAATTTCTTTCACATTCCTTTGATATCATATCTGTTTGAAATTTCGTAAAAATCATCTAAAATCACCAAAACCATCTAATTTGTACTTAAAGCTGACCGTTCAATTATTATAATGAGTGTCCAATTTACAAGATTAGATATACTTACTTAGATTTGGGCTGATCTAGAGTAAGATCTTGTATTTCATCTTCTAGAGCATCATCTTGTAAATCTACATTATCTTCATCTTTTTTATCTATATCATTATCTTCATCCTCCTCTAATAATTGATCTCGTAATATAGCTACATTATCTTTATGTTTTTTAGATTTTTCATGATTGGCCATTCTGTAAATAAGATGTTTATAAGTATTTTATGTAGCTCTGACATATAAATTAGGGAGGAATCACAATAAGTGAGAACAGATCTGGTCCTAAGAACAATGTTAATAATAAATACATTATTAGAGTTATTGCAGTCGTCTTTTAACATCAGAGAGAAGACACTTTCCCCCAATTAAAATGCAACAAGATAACAGTGTTTTATAATGTTCAGTCAGATGTCTAGAATATAGAGCAGTCAGGTGTGCCGCGAGATCTTCCTAAGTGCCGTTCAAAATTTCTCACTAAAGAAGCCAGCTATTTGACTGATGAAATTCGAAACATTGTAATACAGTAAGTTCATAGCTGTGTTTTTCTTTATTTAGTTTGAGTCATTCTATGTGTCTATGACTAGTCTGTGTATACGGTTGTTTGCCATCTATGACTTGCCATGTTTTTATTTTGTAAAATTCAAATATTTTTCATATATACTTAGCCAGATGTGCCGCTTTTTTTTCATGTGTTCCAAAGTGTGCCATTGGTAAATAAAGGTTGAGAATCACTGATATAGAGAAATGGGGTTTAAGGTCCACTTGACATACGCTAGGTCATTTGGGGACTAACATATGGTGGAGTCTTATTTCAATAATTTGCTTGCCCAAAGGAGGACACAAAAGGAATGAGAAGAAACCCATGAGGATGGAGAGACTTCCATACATATAAGCTTGGGACTGAAACCGTGCCACTTGACTCATTGACAAACCTTATGATCTAAAGCACATACGTTAAACCATTACACCAAGTAAACCCCTGACTATACTATAACCCAAACTAACAAGTTTAAGTTTCTTACTTAAAACCTCTTTCAATACCAGGAGATAATATGTATATAGTTGGAACTGCAAATAAATGGGGAAATGTTCTGTTCACATCGCTATTATATTTATACATGTACTTACGATTTTTCACTTTTAAAAGATTTATTGCAGGCATAACAATATGTATTATCAATAGGTATTTCTTCTTCTTCTTCTTCTATAGATTCTGTGAAAATAAAAATAGTTTATTTCATATACAAAACTAAGAAAACAAACAAAATATGATGAATTTCACAAAGGTGGATTAGTTTACATTACCAAAATTTATCATAAATCCCAATCTTCAAAATGACTCCAGGTTATATTTGCAAGTTAAAGAGTGTCTTCTAATTAAACTTTAATTTTAGAAATCATACCATTGCCATTCTGTTCGTTTTCATCAATATCGCTTTCACTTTCATCTCCATGATGTTTTGCTAAAGTTTTTTCTAACTGGACAAACTGATCTTCTAAACCTGCTGTTGATGACCAGCCAACATCCTGATAGCTCTGCATAGCTCTTTAAAAAATAAAGCATCATCATATATAAACAACACTAGAAGGGGTTGGGAGGGGGTTGGGATGGCCAAGTGGTTTAGAGTGTCGCGCTTCGAGATCTAGCTGGCCCGTTACCTCTGGCTTTCGGTCGTGGTTTCGATTCCTGGTGTGAGCGTATGTGGCATGGAGATAGGTGCGCCTTCTCAACCTTGTAGGTTTACTTCGGGTACTCCGGTTTCCTCCAACAGGAAAGACCCCTGCGCGTGCGTTAAGATTATAAAAACAAATGAAAATAAGACAACTTGTATGCGATATCACCCTCATTGAAGCGGACGTTAATCATTAAGAACAACATGAGTATTGTAGCTGAAAACCGTATTGCTCTATATTTCAATATTACTACACACTGTATTTCTGTATTTCAATATATTTTAAAATATGAAAACTGTCTTATATCTTGTATATTATCGAGAGACATGGTGGCTCAGTGGTGAGGCGTTGGCGCATTAACCTGGAGGTCCAGGGTTTGATCCATTCTGCACACAGAGATAAATCGACTTCATACTATGAGAATAAATCTCTGCCCTGAATGGCTGCCATATCCAAAAGTTAGTATATTGGTTTTTAATGCGGTTCTATTCATTTTACATCTGGCATACACACAAAGGCTAAATAAACCTATTCAATTCCATTAAATGGAAGCAGAAAAATACTTTTCAAAATTATTGAAATATACTTATTGTTTTCGACTAAAATCGCCACTTTAGGACATAAAAAGTCGGTCAACTAGCTTAGTGTCTGTTCTCAAGTGGAGCTAACTGTCTACAGGCAGCCTAAGTTTAATATGAGTTTGATTATGATGTTGGCTGTGAAAGTGCCTCGGGTTATGCTAGCATGGTTTCACACTATCAGTGGTGCAAGAAAAACAGCCTGGAAAGGATGAGCATCTAGACATTAAGATGGGATGAAAAACCAAAAATCCTTGGCAGTTGGAATTCAATGAATAGTAAGTAAAAACAGCACTATATAGACAAAATTGTCCTCACAGCCCACAGTATGTGATGTGCACATCTTCATTGGTCCGGGTTTTTTTTTGCAGAAAAGTAGGATGTGAAACCCCATTTGAGTCATTTCATTTAAATAAATTTATTTCATTTCATTTCTATTTTAACAAAAAATATTCAGAAATGGGCTTTATTTTATTTAATACTGCAATTAAAGTAGGTTATTAGTGTGATTGGTTTAAAAGTTATTAGTGTGATTGGTTTAAAAGTTCTATTAACCAACAATTACCCTTGTGTTCAGTGAAAGAATGGAACTTGTGAAATCTAAATGGTTAAAAGCTTTTATTTGTAAATTACACACATATGATCAGTATCAAAATCCTCTACGCTGCCTGAAAGGATCTTCTTTGACAGAATTATTGAAGGATTAAGAGAGATTGGAATGAAACATAAATTCTCACTTACTCTAATCTTTCTCTTTTCTTTTTTTCTCGGTTTTCTACAACTTTTTTTGCACTTTCTCTTGCTTTTTCTTCCATTTGTTCCTTCAAACAATAATAACAAATTGTTGTGATATATTTATCAACAAATACCACGGAACCTTGTTTATATCAAAATACATTTCCACAATATCTATATCACACACATGTAGTAGTATAAAAACAATGTATTTTAAGACATGTGGTCTGTAATACGTTTTCTTAAGTCTGAGATAGATGATATACCTACCCTATAAGCCTGTACTCTTTTGTCACGCTTTTTCACAAAAGCAACCAAATTCTAAAATAAATGAAGTTTGATTTTTTTTAAAGGATAAGTCCCAGATATATTTAGTGAATAAAACTGGTTAAAGATACATTATGGGAGATTAGATAAAGAGCTGGCAGTTCTCACTATAATAGTTAAAAACTAGATAATCTAAAGGGAATTTTCTGAAAATTTCAGTGAAATTGATCTACTTTGAACTGAGATTTTAGCGACTGAATTTTCGGCCTAGCCTCAATCATCATTACTAAAGACGGTACGATAAAAAACATAGTCTCGATCATGATTAAATTATGAATGGAAGTCGAATAGCAAATCGGAACCTAATCCAATAAAAATCGCAGTCTAGTGATGACATCGAGAGCTGATTATGGTCTGTATAAGTTAATTAATGTCTAATTAATAATTTAGATAACATTTCAAGCCTAAAGAAAGACCTGCAATAGGCAGATTTAACTCATGCATAATGTATGTTTAATTGCAAACTATTATTCTAGTCCTGTGCATCTTTCAGTTTCCATGAGATTGACTGTACGTTCCCAAATTACACAAATAGTGCCTGGATAATCATGGCCATATACTTTGCTGAAGTTACAGCAGTAGCTGATCATCAAGTCCTCATGCACTTAAAGAACGAAATTTCTGAAATGAGTTAGGTGAACCAAATCTAACAATTATTTCCAAACAGCTCAATATTTTGATTTCAAATTTTCAGACAGGCTAGCCAGGGTTTTATTTATAGTGTACTATAAAATTTGGATTAAACCTTTAATCAGAGAAATAATTATAAATATATACCGGTATGTTCATATTGCTTAAACATTCAAAAATCCATTTGAACATTAATATAACCTCATTCTAAATGTGAACAACTTATCCCTACTAATCATTTTTAAACATAATGACATTCTATTAGAAATTGAACAAATTAAATGTTGATGTAACAGGAGTTCAACATACATGCTGAAAAAAATTCAACAAAAGTTGTGACATGTTGTAAAAACCAAGAATTTTAGTTACAGTACCCTTATTTCTTCATTTCTTTCTTTTTTAGCAGCATCTTTAAATTTTTTATTTTCAGCCTCTGCTTTACGTCGAGAATAACGATCAGGTGCTTCTCTAGTATCGTATTTCTCCACCCAGACATATGACTTCATAGTGAAATAACTACTCCAAAAATCATAAAATGGTCGGACATCCTAGAAAAAAAAATCAAATGCAGCAGTAGGTAAATGTATAATCACCTCTGTATCAAATATACTTTTTTGCACCAACTGGGCTAATAATGACGGTATATGCATACGGTTTTTTATGAGGGAAATAGCTCGGACAGCTTCATTTCTACCCACTCTTCATTGGATTCCAACGGTAGGAAATGAAATGAAATGGGGTTTAACATCCTACTGTTATGCTCCGACTGGGCTAATGAAGACGGGGGAAATTTTGCCCGGACAACGATGCTACAGGGATTGAACACAGGACCTTTGGGTTAGCGAGCCAATGTCTTACTCACTGATTACCGTGGCTCTCTCCAATGGTAGGTTTTTTTTTTACGTGCACCCTAACCTGTACACATTACCTTGGTTTTTGGTCCAATCAGAATGACTATAAATTGTTTCTTGCCAATCCCTCTGTACTGCACAACCAATACGCTTATAAGGTAAGTAAAGTTGTGTGTGGTTATGTATCTACATAACAATTTCAAATTTACCCTCGTCAGTAATGCTAAATAAAATCAAAAAGATTTCAGCCTTTTGTCATTCAGAAGAATTAAACCCCATGCCATGATACATTTCATATGATTCTATTCATTTATTTTCTGAAATTACTATTTAGAATATATACCTCTTCATATGAACTCTTTGAGTTACCAAAATCTGGATACTCAAAATCACTATCTTTATCTTCCATAAATGGTACATCTTCTTCAAATATTGTCTTAAAAACTTTACGATATACAGCATAAAATCCCTAAAAGATGAATGGAATAAATTATATAGAATTTCTAACACAAAGCTAGCATAGAAATTGTTAGGCATTACATATAAAATTATTTTGGTACTGAGACAATTCTTTAAAAAAACTAAAGTGAAATAGACATGTTTTCAAATGTGGCGGTACAGAGAATCAGACTATTTTTTAACTTTAATCAACTGGACGTGGTCGTGTCGAATAAGAATATATTGTTCCTAGATTTTCGAATCATTAAATGACAATGAATCATGCAGACTCACCTTATCATCATCACCATACCCAGAGTAACAAGATGATGTAAAATACTGGAATACATCTAAACTATCATCGGTATAATTATCTCCCTTACCTAAACCTACAAAACACAATATTTATGGTAAATAAATGGGTTTTAACGTCCTACTGTTCTGCACCAACTGGGCTATTCGGGAAATTTTGCCCAGACAGCGGCACTACAGCCTAGTCTGATTTTGAATTCCAACTGTCATGGGTTCTTTTACATGCATGCCAATGAGTACACAGGACCTTGGTTTTTTGTCCCATCCGGATGATCCGTACAACTATACATTGTGCTATGCCAGGCCCTTGGTCCTGCACCACTGACATGAGGAACCAGCCCGGAAAATCCTGATGAACTTTATCAGCCAATACCGGGATCGAAAATGGGACCTTCAGTTTAGTAAGCTAACATCCTACTCACTGGGTCTCCAAGGATTCTGAATGTGTAAATAAATATTAGAATCTAAAAATCCCTCATTTGATATGAGTAAGCTCTGGCCAATGAAAGAATCTCGAATCCTTGCTGCTATTGTTGAATTACACGTTGATCTGATAATTGTACCTACATGATTTATACTTTGTCAACCTAGAATAACTGAGGAGACAGATTATTGTCAGTATTGTCACCTTTCTGATCCATTCATTTGATTTGATAGTACTTTATAAAATACAAATGTAAGATTATTGATTAAAGTCTAGTGTTTGTCAATATTTTCCTCATTTTCAACTTTATAATAATATACACAAAATACATCATGCTAGTTGCTAATGTCTTATCACCAGTTATATGTATACATGTACAATCTGTGTTTATTTAAAGTGCATATATGTTATGTATGTATGCATAATGGCATCTAATCATAACGCAATTTGTTTTATGTTAAAAAGTCATGTACATGTATACAAAATAATTTTAATATCATTTTAATAACTAAATATATCTAATATTGTACGTTTTCTAACAGATTACAAAATAATAAATATGTGTAGTAGCAGCATACCTCCACGTAATATGGCTTCTCTATGATTGTCATACCAGGCTCTTTCTTGTGGATCACTGAGAACTTCATAAGCCTGTTGAATCAAACGAAACTGATTTGTGGCTTCCTCTAAACAATCAGGATTTTTGTCTGAAAATACAGTTAGGCATTAATAATTGTAGACCCTATGAAACATAGTATCAGATATAAAATTTGTACTGAGACTCTCAGTCTATTGTAGTCTGGTTTAAAGGAGCTAAATCACTAATATTTGGGACCTAGAAATTGACAAATATATAATAATGTAATATGAATGTATATAAACTGATTTACATTCAATTGTTTCTGTTTTTACTGTAATTTCTAATCAGTTATGTTCGGCTAAATACGCCAGAAGTCCAATTTGAATGGCAATCTTTAGTGTCTGGTTTTTCCAGTCTACACCGATGGTATTTATTGCGCATGCTCTCCAGAAAAGAATATAGCGTCACCATTTGACATGACTTGTGGAATATGTCTATCCCTGTTCTTTGAGTCCCTTGTTCTAATTTGCGCTGAAACGCATTATGATACACGATTTGTGTACCAATGGTAAAATGTTTATTTTGTCTTGAATATTGGATGACAGAAGCCCATCTTTTCCCTGTAAGGTGCTAAGACAAATGTTTATTTGAATTGACAAATAATTTGTGTTTTCAATGTCAAAGATTTTTGATGATATTGAGTTAGAGACTTAGCTACTTTAAATGATTTAAATCATAATTGGTGGTCACGATAACACACTTCACAGAAGAGGTTATTTGAACTGTTCGATTCACAGCAATCACATCCTTTTTACAATTTTTGATACTCTCAAACAGTTTAATACAAATGATGTGACCGTATCAAATTAAAACACATAACATCATTCTTAATAAATACACTCACATTCAGAGCTGAACTAATATGTAAGTAACTGACACAAGATGAAATGATTAGATAACAATCAAAGCGGATAAGGCAGACATTTCCATATCAAGTTGAAAACGGAATAGGCTAGTCCAACTGTCATTCAAAATATATGACAAACTCAAACTGGCATAGATATAGATAATTAATGGACATACTGATGTGATGGCAACTGGGGAGTTTACACCGTCACAGGTGAAAAATCTCACTTACTGAACCACAATATTTGCAGCTGTGGGCATAAGAATACTTTACTTTTGAGACATTAATCATTAGACATAATAAAGATAAAGAGTTCCTAAAAATACATGGTAAATTAACGGGCCTAACCGTTGCTAAAACATCAGATTTATCTCACTCAACACGTTTAGCGTAAATAAATAAATAAACAAAAAAGTAAATTATTAACAACCTGGGTGCCACTTCAAAGCTAACTTTCTATACGATTTTTTCATATCTTCAGCATTTGCGTCTCTAGGAACACCAAGAACATCGTAATAACACTTTATTTTCGTAGTCATTTTTCAGTTTTATAAAAATTCAACACGTTTTGATTTCACAACAAATCCTACTAAGGGACGTTACTCTAAAATTATTCGACATCATCCAGGCGGGTTTTAAAAAGACGGTCAAAGGGAGGCAATTCCATATTCAACAGGGGAAGACCACCATTAATTTCCCCATTGACATCAATGTTAATTCTGGCCTCTTTGCCCACCTCCAACTTTTCCCAAAATTTTCGTTGGGCTGAATGCTTTTCTCTTACAGACAGAGGAACAAATGGTCATGTCTTTGCACTAAAATTTTTATGAGGTTGACCACCAAAATTTTGAGATACACAAACTTGAAGAAGTATACAAAAAACATGTAACTAGTTGCCGTACATATCACCGTAACCAGCCTGAACATGACAACTCTGTTATCCTTCCGCCTCAAAATCATGAATATTTACCCAAACTTGGCAGAAAATGTTTAAAGTTTAAATAGGTTCAAACGTACAATTGCCAACACATATCATTACAGTTTGTATTGAAATAAGTAATTCTATCACAAATATTGAAGACTGGACCACTAAAATAGTTACCGAACAGTTTTTCTTTGTGGTAATGCGTTCTACATTTTCAAAGCGATGTTTCTTAAAATGTGAAAGCCGGTCCGGCGGTAGTCGAGAAATTTCGCGTAGCAGTTGGGTTTCATATAATTATGCGGTAAGGCTTCATATCACCTTTATTTCAATAGGAATTGGTTTATTATATGTTAAGCTATGTGCAGTACAGTTTTGGGTCAGTTTATGTGTAAATTAAGGGAGCTATAGCCCAGTAACCTTTTTGTAGTCATTTGACTAAAAAAAACTTGCGCAAAGGAACTCCGTAGGACGAGTCACTACTGTGGCTGGAGTAAGGCGGAAGACATCAGTAGTGGAACCATTTCTAGCAAAGGGGGGGGGGGGGAGACAGAGAGAATTGCTATAAATAGACGAACTGCAATTTAATGGTGGTCGCCTCCAACAGAGATCAGAGCACACCCCACCTCAACAAAAATACACCAGTTGTTAGGCCCGACATACATACTGTCACTGTAATATCCCATCTTTTTTATCAGGTATCTTGTGGGTCGTGCTCTGTTAACATTTGTTTCTTTAACCAGGAATTCATCTGGTTAGCCTTGGGGGCCGAAGCTCTTTAAAGGAGCTAAGTGTCTAACTCAATATTATCCAAAATCTTCAACATTGAAAACACGATTTATTTGTCAAATTAAATCAACATTCATGTTGTGATCTTACCGGAAAAAGATGGGCTTTTGATATCCAATATTTAAGACAAAATAAACATTTTACCATTGGTACACGAATCGTGTACCATAATGCGCTTCAGCCCCAGATGTATCAAGAGACTCGAGGGACGAGGCTAGACACATTGCACCAAATCAAACGGCGTATGTAGACTGGAATAACCAGACGCTAGAAATTTGCACTCGCTTGAGACTGCTGGCTTATTTCGCCAAACATAACTGATTTGAAATTGGAGTAAAAACGGAAACCATTGAATGTAAATCAGTTTATATACATTCATATTACAGTATTATATGCGTTGCGACCCACTTTTGTCAATTTCTAGGTCCCAAATGTTAGCGATTTAGCTCCTTTAAGTAAGCCAAAGAACTCTCAAATTCAAGTATGATCGACATGGAACTTGGCATGCCTGTTCCGTGCACAGCTACGAATGGATCAGAATTCCATGATGGTTGGGATCACGTTCTACTGGTTTCCTGTACCTGATAGGGACACATATCTAACTGACTTAAAAAGTACAAAAATCAAAGTATGTACTTTCCATTTCAAGCTTCAAGAACATTTATCTCCCTCACCCCACTTATGATCGAAAGCAAGATGCATTTCTTTTGGATTTCACACCCACTGGATATTTAAGGCTGTGTAGTAGGTCTACTATAGTACATTTAACAATAAACAGAAATGAAATGAAACGAAATGGGGGTTTAATGCCCTACTCTGACTGTCGGGAAAATGCCATAGTGATACGTACACGAGAAATTTAGCTCGGACACTGTGCTGTGGTCTACTCTTAAATCAAAGTCCAACTGCCATGGGTTCTGTTACGAGTATGCCAATGTTTACTGAGGATCTAAGGTTTTTCATTCCTTCTGAACGACTATACATTGTCTCTTGCCTGACCCTCCTTACTGCACCACTGACAACGTGGAACCACACTGGAAAATCCTGATGAACTTTCCCAGCCACCTCAGGAAATGAACACAGGACGTCTAAGTTAGCGAACCAACGTCTTTCTGAGCCACTGTGCCTTATAATATACAGTATGGGTTTCTAAATGTAGCCATGAATATCTATTAAAATTCACAACAGTATTCAACCAACGTAAATAGCCAATTTTAATCAATAATTGCATAAATGTACCAGTTGAAATTCATGATACACACCTTAAGATATAAGCCTGTAACAGTTCCTCTCTTTCAATCATCTTCCACATTTACTTGCTAGGATCAATAATGATTATGATGCTGGCTCACTAACCAGGAGGTCCAGGGTTTGATCCTGGTGTTCAAGTTCCTTGGGATTTTCCAGTCTGGTATCGCCATGTCAGTGGGGCATGATGGCCTAGCATTACAAAAGTGTATCGGATTGTAATGGATTAAAAAGGTACTCTTTGGCAAGTACATAAAACAATTGACAGCTAGAATTCAATAAATAGTAAGATTAAACGCTGCTGATTGGGCAAAATTTCTCTAGCACACTGCCCGTCATACATGTCTATCTTAATTGGCCTGGTTTGTGCACATTTCATTTATATATTTTTGTCTCTTGATGTTGGCCATTGGTATGACAAGACTTTTGTTCAGTGCAGGAGGGAGACAGGGAGCAATGATGTTTGGCTAATTAAATAATTGACCTTTCAAAGTTTCTCCAACAAATATTCAAATTTGTAATCTTCGGCTTCTATCTCTGACCATCAACCCATTAATTCTCAAAAATTACAAAAGTAATAAAGCCAGAGGGAAGTATCAAAAGATAAATCTTTTAGTTATGACTATTTTGTAATTTTGTCAGAATTAATTACTGGTAGGTTGTTACAAAGTAAAGAAAAACATTTTTTGTACATCCAGTCATTTATTCAAATACAAACTAAATATTTCTTCATGCCTGGAGACATAATCTGAAAAACAGATAAACATTTACTATTATTAATTGTTAGAACAATGGTCCACATTGACATCCCAGATGTCTGTAAGATTTTTCATCTAAACTCATAAATTTTGGCTTTGATTAGCAAAAACAATGCCAGAAAATCTATTCCTACTGTTTCATGTCTTCTTCACATGATATAAACCTTTGATACATAATCACGATTAGCATCTTGTATGATATCTTATGATACAAGTAATTTTGTTGAACATTAAAGAGAGCAAAAAGGTAAAATACTGTTAATCTTCACACATTGTACTAGACAGTATATCATGTTAGATTTTATCAAGAAAAAGAAACCATTGCAGCACTGACATTTAGGAACAATAAAGTTAGGCCACAAATGACAACTGAACAAGGGCTGAAAGTGGGACATGTAAAAAATGAAATGGGGTTTAACGTACTACTGTTCTGCTCCGACTGGGCTAATGAAGATGGGCATACGCCATACAGTGTGCCATGAAGAAAATTTTGTCCACATAGTAGAGCTACAGCTACAGCATATCGAATTCCAAGTGCCAAAACAAGGGTTCCTTTATGTGCATGCAGGACCACAGGTTTTTATTATCCCATCCGAACGACTATACATGGTCACTTGCCACTGCCAGACCCTCCATCCTACACTACTGATAAAGGGGAACCATACCAGAAAAGTGACATGTAAGCATTGGCGCACTGGAAAACAAAGGTTGCCAGGTAATGAAATGTATGTCCACCAGCACTATGGGGGTAGTTTAAAAGGTAAACAACTCATAATAAAAAGTTCAAAAAGAATGAAAAGTTTAGATCATAATTGAAGCATCTGAGATGTGAATCAGATTAAAATCAGTCCGGTTCTTGCTTTTAAGTTTCAATAGGATAGACAAATTGTAACAAAAATAAAATCTGTGGGGGGTTTTTCCCTTGAAACTTAAGAAATAAGTACCCACTATTGTTTGAAATCTGCTACTTTAAATTTTTTAACTGAAATTTACCTATCCAAGGTTTAAAAAATTCCCTTGCAAACTAATGACACAAAGAACAATCAATGCCCATTTTAAAAACAACACTGTGTAAAGCATTTGCAAGAAAGGTTGAATGGACACAGGCAACAACAATCTAATTGAGCTTGAAATTATCCATTGAAACAATCACACCTAGTGAAAACTTGAATTATCAGGTCACCAACAGTTAGTGATCTCTCTGGACTTAACGAGTTAAACTTAAATTTGATCTAGTTTGATACTTTCAAAATGAAATCTTGACATTTCCTTGAACCCATCTAACTTACGCTTTTTTCTTTTTTTTTTATTTCATACTGCCCCTCATCGTAATCTTCTGGCTTCTCTTTCAGATTCTAATAAAGTTAAGATATCGCCTTCTCTGACGGGGCCTTTAACATTTCTAATAATAGATCGATTACTTTCATCTAAAAACTCCACTCTGACCTATATAAAAAAATTTTTTTTTTAATATACAATGGCTTAAATTGACATAAATTACAGGTTAGACAAGACTACTATTTAATTTCACTAAATATTGTTTTTGGTTTCTGACTGTTAGTTGTGTTAGTCCATGGATGTTAATGATCATTAATCACATGTAAACTACAACAATCCTTTAATCAATGAATATCGGTCCAACAATTCTGTTAAGTATTTCAATTTGCATGGAGTTACAAAATAAAGAAATGCAAGGAATGGGAAGTCAATCGGGTCATATATACAAGTTGTTTACATAAAATCTGTCAATGATCAGCATCAACTTTAGTCTTTAGACAATATATTGTCGACACAACCCCATCTATGATTTTCGCTGAAATCTTTTTAATCTGAGTGAATTCTATCCGGGAGATTATCTACCTCTGTTATTTTCATTTCGTTGTCTTAAATAAT